ACAGCCCCATTGCTCGCCTCGTCAAGGTTAAACTCCTGCGAAACCCTGGTTCCAAGGGCTTTCTTAACGCTCTGCCATGTGTCACGCTCTATGTTGGCAGCCTCCAGCAATCGCCGAATCGGAGGCACCGAATGGCTGGTTAGTTTCGAGGATGAGAGCCCACTACATCTCGCAGGGTCTCTGGTTGGCTTGTTCACGACAAGTCGACCACCGACCCGGCCATAGGGGAAGCTGCCGCAAGTGATTCTATCTCCCACCCCTCTCTCCTCCCCTTGCCTCGACGCCATCAACACCAGGTTGCAGTTCTGCAAGTCCATGTCATAATCCGTCCAACGCTGTTCGGAGCAGCCAATGTCGTCAGGCAGATGCAGCCAGGACCCGTGGCTCGCTGCATGTCCGCCGCCCGCCGTCACTACTACTGCACCTACCACTCCTCCTCCTGCTCCTGTTGCTGCAGCAGAGGCGGCCTGCTTTCCTAGCCCTGCATATGTCCCACTGCTGCCCAAAGGGCAGGGCGGAATGGAGGCACATTGCATATACAGGCAGCGGACACTTTTCCCTCTTTTGTGCCTCTTCTTCCTGCTTGGATGTGCGGTTGCCATGGCGTCCCATCGGCAGCAAGCAAGCAAGTGGCTGCATACGCTCAGGTGTATGCTTGCCAAGTTCTTTGCATGGATTTTCTCTCCGTTTTTCGTTCCATGCATGAGCACCTCGACACGTCGCCGCAAAAGACACAGGGGCACCAGAGACATGCACCCGCAGCTGGCAAACCCTACATAAGCGAACGGGGATTCGTGCACGAGCCGAAACCCCAAGCAAGAACGACAACAACAGCAACAATGATAATGATGATGGCAATCTCGTGGGGCAAACATACAGCGAGCCCCTACCCACCTTCTGCTCGGAGTGACCCAAGGGCGGGTTGCTGCAGTTTCTTTGCTCTTCCTCCTCCTCTCACCGCTGCTGCGTTGGGCTTCACCCATTCTTTGGCCCTGGTGACTAGTTGGGCAGCGCCGCCCGTGGGCCCGGTTCGCAGCCCGCGACGCCCTTTTTTTTTTTTTTCTCGCGTGTTTTTTTTTTCGGCGGTCCCCGTCTACCTCTCGTCAATGCCAGCCTGTCACGTGGCAAGGCGTGAATTCTTTTTTTGCACGCCAGGCTCGCAGTTGCACACCCCGAGCCCGGGTGGGTTTTTTGAGTCCTGTTCACAGCAACGGGTCTGTGTTTCCGCATGGAGGTCGCTCGCCCCACGCGCGCAACTGTGGTGGTGCGTGTAAGTCGTTCAGTGGAGCCGAGTCGGTAAGTGTAGAGAATGGCAAGAGGGACCTGCCAGAGGAATTGCCATGTGATTGGTCCCGCTGCATTTGAAACAATGTGCAAAGGAGGAGGGGCAGGGCCTTGCACAGCTGAACTGGATGGCGGAGTGGCTCTGACTGCGCTAGTTGGTACTGGGCGTGTTGTCGGGAATGGCAGGGGCACGGAATGATGGGTCGTCAGCAGCACCAACAGGTTGTGAGAGTGCCGATGATGTGTCCAAGCGGTGGGAATTACATGTGACAGAAGCAGATGGTTGACATGGGAAAGAATTCCGGACCAACGAGTTGTGGCGACTTTCTCGGACTCGCTACGAAAGACCGTCTGCCTAGTTTACACTGCCCGGGCGATGAAGTCGAAACTTTCAACAAGTCGCATGGGAGAATCGCGTGGGCATGGAACCTGCACCGGCCCACTGCTTGGCTTGCGCTGCTGTGGACATGTGTTTTGCAGGTGGTTGAGCACTTGCGCGCCCGCCCGCGCTTTGTGCCTGTGTGTGGCAAATTTCTGGTGAATTCCGGGGGAGAACAGTGAGGCCGCCTACACCTTTCAAAGCGCTGTTCTGCTATCCTTGTCCTGCTGCTGGACCTGATTACTTAGTACGCGCGGATCGAGTTCCGGCACGTGCCACGCACCCACGGTGGCCACTGCCATCGCCTATGTCCGTGCTATCAAGCTCTGGGCGTATCATTATGGTGTGTTACCTCCTGGTTGGTTGACTCAATTGGCGCAGTCCCACTCTTTTCTCTCGACAACTCCCGAGCAAGCGGTTGCAAATTTACTTCCATGGGAGGGCATTTAAAGCGATGCGATATCGGCATCGAAAGAACTACTGCCAAACGCGATTGCATAATCTGTAGCGAACGGCGTCCTGCTGTTGCTGCACAGCGGCAACAAGGTTGAGACCAGGCCTAGTCTCGATTATTAAACACTGGGACGACAAAGTGTGGCGAAGTTCGACACATGCAAATAGAACCAATCCCCGAGGCAAGCCGGAGATCAATCACTGCTCAAATATCGCCACGTGACTCATAACTACTTGCCCTTATTGCAGTCACGGCGATACACCAAAGTGCCTAGGCAGATGTGTGCGCAGCGTTCGTGAATCTCCAAGCCACGAGTCGGACCGAGCCTCGGGCTCGGTCCGATAGCTGAAATCGCAATGCAACTGCCTCACGATATCGCTTTACAGCTTCACCAAAGTATTTGATAACGACGTGCGTGTTTTTTCTAGGCTGCGGTTGAGCTTGCGTCACCAGATCGCCTTCGGGTTCGACTGTTGCCTCTGCGAATAAGCCGATAATGTCGAGTCATTGGCTGACTGACGACGGCGTTGACCTGGGTGTGGCCATATCCTCGGATAGGGTTCTTAGCTTCTGGCATTGTGAGTCACTTGGGTGTGAAGTGTAAGCCATACGCGTCGTCGTCGGGGGCTGGACCATGTGAGGCAGAACCTGCGTGGTCGGAATCCGGGAGATGCTGAGCGTATGTCACTCGGCACGTCCTTCGGTGCCACGTGACACCGACGCCTAGAGTAATGCCTGTGCTTTACGAGAGGATATCCTAGAGGACACTGGCTGGGATTTGGTTGGTTTTGTCGCCGAGGGTCGACGATCCCGCGAGGGAAACGGAGCAGCACCTTTGCTTGCCCAGAGAAACCAGTTATTGTGAAGTGCCATATACACATGGATTTTGAACATGACCTTGGTAAGCTTCTTGTTTTCCTTACAGTACTCAAAAGACACACAATATTCAAAGTTCACCAAGTTCCGGAAAAAGGATCTGCCTATCGCTAAACAAGACTCGCAAGCTTGCCAACCCTGGCTCATCACACAGTCAAAACATAGAGGTGACTGTCTCAATGATGGCAAATCAGCATTGAGGATCAGAAATCTTGACCAAGAAGGTCGAATCGACACGCTATCGGACCAGGCCACACCGGAAAAGGCCTGCACAGACGGGCATTGCGGTACGTAGTCAACTAGTCACATATGAATCACGATGAGTCAGGTGTTTTCTCGAAGTTGCAGCAGAGCCTCCGTGGCGCTTTAGCAGAACATGTGTTGCGGTAGCCCACTATGATTGTTCTGGCTCACTCTACGAACTTCTGTGGCCCTCGCTGACTGGCAAAGTATCGCCCAACCTGTTGTTTTAAGCTTAATTTGAAGAGTCCCTTTCGCGCATGAGGTGAAGTGCTTTGTCCTAAAATTGACACAAATCGTGGCTCCGATGCTTGCCATACTTTTTGCAAGATGGTATGACAGAGAGATTATCTGTTCGCAGCGAGCCTTGGACACAAATATCGTAGCTCTCATCTTCGAAGCTTTGCACTATATTCTATTCTATTTGGAAAAATGTCCCGGGTGAGTTTTATGGTCGCCCCTTTGCGTAGCGCGCTGCCGTTGTAGTTGGTAATTCGGACTGGGCTTCTCAAGAGTTTTCTTTTTTTTCTTTTTTTCAAGATTGAACACAAGATATGGACTGCATATGCACGTCACAAACTAAAATAACAATGAGTTGCCAGACATTGTGATCTCAACTATCATGCAGAGTCGCAAGACTTTAATGCAAAAGTACCAAATTGCTTTTGGATAGTTATTGGTAAATAAGTCTTGTCAAGATTATGTTACAACTATACTTCGTTGCGATACGTTCTCCATCTTTTGAACTCTTTGAATATTGTATGTATAACCGGGCCTAGCTGACACGGCACCAGTTGTACGTACTTGACAACTCCCGAACATCCGCATGCCAGCACATGGGGCACACCTTGACACACACCGCGTTGGTCCTTTCGCTGCCGCATTATGCAGCTTATGGCAACAATACACTATTCAGGTACAGCGGCGAGCGTTGAGGAAATGCCATGAAGATTTTCACGGTTGTCCCGTTTCTGCTGTCTTCCCGCTTAATACAGTTCAAGCATCACGACTGTTTCGTATGGCTCCCTCCTCACTGAGCCTGCAGATTTCAACCGCACAAGTGATCTGTGCAGTATAGGGAAGAGTCCTGATGACATCTTCACCTGCCTCAGGTACTTAGCTATACCCAATGGCATAGATTGATATGCTTCTTATGGCTTTCTGTCAGGGCACCAGGTCTCGGTTGACACAGTTGAGTGCTGACAGGCCCGCCCCACCTGCTGGATCAGGCAGGAATGACGTGGGAAGCTCCTTCCCCTGCCGTCCCGCCGAGCCGCTGATTGCCCCCGGTTTTCTCGTGCGGGACCCACCACATCCGGAGCATTTCTGGCGAGGCAGCTTGGCAAGAAGATCTGCGCTCACTGAGCAATCGCGATGATGCAGCAATGATGATGTCAGGCCCAGCCATCCTGACGCTGCGCAGCTTGTGCAACGGTCATCCTGTCTTGTCTACTGGCAGGCACGTCAGGGCCCAGCAGGGCGCTTACCTTAGCCAAGGCCGATAAGCAGATAACAACGTTGCTCTCTGTGCCTCTCCGGCCCCTCCGGTGTCGTCATATGCGATACTTAACTTGAAGCTGTGCTAGCAATCTGCCGGGCTCGTTCTTTGACCACAACAAACACCCAGCTATACACTGCCCTGACCATCTCGAGGTGAGCACAAGACCCTTATACTGACACCGCAATCCATCGGAGCTGACCATTGACGCGCGTGAACAAAGATACCATCTTCCAACTCTCACACAGTTCATCCATCCACCCATCACAATGCCTGAAGGCCGCCAGTCTCCATCTCCCTCGCGCCAGAGCGGCCGCCAGATTCACGACGCCCCTGCCTCGGGCCACGGTGTCGACAATGCCAGCAACAAGGAGAGCACTAACAGCGACCAGCTCAAGGTATGAAGCCCCCGACGGCTGCGAAACCTCAAGCATGTCACAGTCCGGCTAACCAGGGTGGCCACAACCAGAACCTCCAGTCCAACCCCGCCGAAGGGCCCATGGACAAGTCCCTTAAGGACAAGTTCAGCAAGACCCAGGAGCCGTCGACCGGCAGCAACTAGACCCTGCCAGCTAGGCACGGTAGAGCGACGTAGTTGTACGATGACGGACAGCTGTGATGGCAGGATGCTGTCAATCCACATGCATGCAGCGTATACAGATGAATAATGAAAAAAATAATGCCACCCTGTACCATCGACAAGACTGTGCCCTGTGCTGCTGTCGCAGGCTCACCCAACACGTTCTTCTTGCCCTAGGGGCTCTACGCCTTATGACCTGGGTGCCAATGCCGCAGCCGTGTCGTACACTTGCGTAAAGCTAAGCACCAACCAGCTCGACTAGTGAGTTTGAGCGGAGCGTACCGTCACTCGCTCTGTCGGTACGGAATGGACTCATTAAAACAATCCTCCATGCAAGACATGAGACTCATGCTGAGACTCTGCGAGTTCTCGCTTTGTTGTCGTGGTTTGAGCCTGAGGCATTCGTGCAGCATGAGCCATCTCCACCCTGACAACATCCTGAGGCAGCGACCCCGCACGACCACCGCCAAGTCAAGCTGGCGATGCTGCAGCTCCAGCCACTCAACGCGTCCTTGTCGACATGTGCACACGAGTGTCGCTCCCATGCCAATCCCAGGAACTGACGCTCCCTGATCATCCGTGCGACATTCCTCTTCGGCCGGTGACTGCACACAACAGCCACAAACGACGTCCAGAACCCAAGAACCCAACCCCGAACTCTCATCCACTGCCCGTCTCGTCTACCGCTCGCCATTGAAACCGACTTGTGCCTCGACCACCAAGAGCAAACAATCTCGCATGACTGGTTGTCATCGGGAGAGACGACCCGTTTCGCAGTATTCGACGAGCGCTTCTACGCCCGCAGCGGTGTCCCGTGCGACCTTCCCGACAGTACTCATTCTCCTCCGGCATCCGCACGATCCCCATAATCGACGAATCTGCACTTTGGTGACAGCACAGAAACACAACACTCTGCCATGCCTGACCTCAACTCGATCCCGCCGTCGCCCTCGCGGTCTCGACGACCTACAGGAACGAGCATATCTGGCGCAAACTCAATCCAGGCTCCCGGGCAAGCTGTCTCTCCTGGATCGATCAACATCCTGCCATCGAACCAGCAAGCCGTCAACAACGCAGCATCCAACTCGTCCCTTCCGTCGCCAGGCCTTCCCCCCAGCTCGACCACAATGGTGTCTCCGCACTCTTCTCACGGCCAAGACAGCTCTGGTTTCGGGGCCGGACCGGGCCCGATCCGCCATCCGCGCCCCCTGACCGCTGCCGAGCTGCATTCGGAGCTTGAGCAGGAGCAAGAACTCCTGGTCAACCGCCTGACCCGCGATCTCACGATGCTCAGGGCGGCCAATAACTCGTCTGTCGTGTCGAACGCGTCTTCCGCAAGCGCCTCCACCACCGACCAGCATGCTTCGTCGTTCACTGATACACACATGCTCTCCGGCCCGGGATTCCACATCCCAGCCACAAGCGCAGACCGGCGCCACCATCGTACGAGCTCCAGCACAAGCACCCGCAGCTTCAGCCAGATGGCTACCCAGGGCTCTACCCCCGCGCCGATACCAATTCCCCACCACTCTGGGAGCGCAGCCTCGGTCCTCGAAGCCGCGCGGAACCCTCGAGGCGCATCCTCATCCATGAGCAGACAGAACAGCACCACATCGCACCGCAGCCAGAGCCGCAACCACTCCCCGGGTCCTTACCACCACGGATCAAATCCGAGCCTGGGCTCCTCCTCATACCCATATCCACAGCATGGAGGTCTGCCATACAGCGCAGGCGACCCGACCAGCGGCTACTTCCGCGGCCGCCCCGGCACGAGCAGCACCGCGGCTGCCACGCCGGGGTCGGAAGTACTTTCGCCCGGGTTACTCCCCGCGACGCACCGCTACGAGGAGACGGCCTTCTACCGGCACGAGCTCGAGTCTGCGAAGCGGGAGAATGACGCACTCAAGCGGCGCGTCAAGGAGCTCGAGAAGATGCTCCGCGAGCAGGGCTCACGGCGCGACACATCCACCTCTTCTACCCGCCAGCAACCATCAACATCATCACAACCACAGCCAGCCGACCACATCGCTGGCGCATCTGCCCGTGAGCGCACGGACAGCGTTAGCACCACTACCAGTGCAGTTAGCCTAAGCGGCGGCGCGCCGGGTGGTGGCGCTGCGGCCGGAGTGGGAGGAGGCGCGGCCATCGCACCTGGCCGTCGCGGAATGGAGCGAGCAGTCAGCAGCATCAGCTTTGCGAGCAGCGTGGGCGTGGGCGTGCCCGAGGAGGAGGTCAAGGTCGGTGAGAGCGCGGCTAGCAGTGCCGCGCTGAGGAAGCCGTCGACCGCTTCGTCATCATCCGCCGCCGCCGCCGCCACAGCAGCGGCAGCGCCGGCGGCGCCTGATACTGCGGATGCTGCGCGGTAATGACTATTGTCTCGGGACATGTCTGCTTGACTCTTGCTGAGCGGGTTTGTCTCGATCAAGTAGTCGATCAATGGCGTGCTTGCGCTGCCGGGCTGGGAATGACCTCAGCTGAAGGGATGTTTCGAGCTAAAAGCCGGCTTTAACTACCATGACATTACGTAGCCCATAACACGAATGAAGACGATGAAGTCACACATGGTCCTGGCCTTGGTGTAAGCATTGCGCTTTGTGAATCTTAGGTATTCACTCTTTCACACATGGAGATAGCTCAGCGGGCAACATTGCAAAAGCATCATTTGATAACATTATGCCTAGAGTACGATCGCAGGCTAGAACAATTGAAATCATGATATCATTAAACCTTGTCGTGCCACAAAAACCATCAAGAAACGTATCGCTGCCCCTTAGTTGTCGTGAAAGCCAACGAAAATGTCCACTCCGCCTCCCTTAGTGCTTCTCGTCACCAGGAGCCTTGGAGGGAATGTTGCCGGTTGGGGCAATCGGAGTGGACTCTGTGGTGCCAGCCTTGGGACCAGGTGCAGGGGTGGCTGAGCTGTCGGCAGTAGTGGTGGATCCAGAAGTGGCAGAAGACTCGCCCTCCTTGGCCTTACCAAAGACCTTCTCGAGACCCGAAGCCTTGTAGGCGCTGCCGCCGTGCTCCTCCTTCTTGAGGTCAGCAAGGCGGCGAGCCTCCTTGTGAACGTCCTGGACCTGCTGAGAGCTGACGGTGTAGAAGTCGACGAGCTTCTTGCCCGTGGGGGTGTTGGTAGCCTTCTCAAAGTACGAGTTGAGGCCGTTGAAGAGGTTGGTGGCGCGAGAGGTGACACCGTAAGACTGGTCAGCAGCCTTGGCGCGGTCGGTCGCGTGGTACTTCTGGTCGAGGCTGTTGAGGGTGTTCATGAAGCGGTTGGTGACGCCGTGCTTGTGGTCGAGCTCGAGGGCGCGCTGGAGGGCAACATCACCAATGACGTAGCCTTGCGCCATGTACTCGGCGAGAATGCGGCTGCGGGGCTTGTCCTCCTGTGTAATCTCGTCCGAGTCGCGGTGCTTCTCGTCGGCGGCGACGTGGGGGACGCTGCCGCCGTCATCAGCGTGACCATCGGCAGGGACGACAGAGATCTGGGAGCCCTGGAGCTGAGTGTTGTTGAGGAGCTGGGCCGTCTTTGCGGCCGTCTCCTTCTCAAAGGTGACGCTGGCATTCTTGGTCGTGCCGTCAGGGGTGCTTGTGACGTTGAGGTCTGTGATCTTGCCGCAGAAGCTGAAGAACTCCTTGATCTGCTTCTCCTCGGTCTCGGCCGAGATGTTGGAGACGTTGACGGTGAGGTTGGCAGCCATGATGGGCGTGCTTTGTGCGTGTTGATGAATAATTGCTCGTGGATGGGAGTGATGTGAGGTGTGCACGAGGATTGGGTATCTCACTTTGTAGTCGTGAAATTCCAAGGTTGTTTATGAGGAAGGCCAGGAATGAATGACGAGGATGGCAGCAGCAGGCATGTAGGTTTATAGCGTGACGACAGAGGGGGGAGGGGCAACAAACGACGACGCATCCATGCAGGGAAAGAGGCAGCCTGAGGGCGGGCAGTGAGTGTTACGCATGCGTGGGAGCTAGCGGGAGCTCCCTGTTGCACCTTCCCTGCCAGCCTGGGAAGCTCTTCTCCACTGGGGCACCACCACACTACAGTTAGGCCGCACAGCATACCAGCACAGGTTATCAACCAGGGGGCAGGGCAGCACGAGTTTTGCCTTCCAGTGCCCCGTCATGTATGGGCAATGGCACAATCATGCTGCCTAGAGTGTCACATGTCCTCGTCTTGGATGGAGGCGAAACCAGTGGCAGAGAGCTTGGCATTGCTTGGTCTGCCCAGCTGCCATTACAAGGGCTGCCTGCTGGGCTCCATGACGTCATTGGTCCCTTTGCAGATCCGGGTCCACATCCCGCTAGTGGTGTTCTGGTACTGTATTTGCTGGCCTGACAAAAGGTCGCCCTCAAGCCGCAGTCAAGCCTCTCTGCCTCTCACATTACGCCGGCTGCACCGCCACACTTTCGCTTCTTCTCGAAGGGTCCAGCTCTTCCATCCTTCCCCGTGCCTGCATCTTGCATGTGAAGATCGTCCTGCTCTGCAGCAAATGCGAGTCCTCGCCCTCAGTCGCGCACCAGCTCCGCATTCGGCTCACTCGTCCGTCCAGCTAATCACGCCGTCAATCGTCCCGCAGTGCAGGCCACCGGTGATGACAATGTCCGTGCCCGTTGTGAACCGCGAGGCGTCGGACAGCAGGTAGATGATGGCGCCCGTCAGGTCGTTCTGCGTGCTGAGTCGCTTCATCGGCGGCGCGAGCCACATCTGGTCGCCCTCGCGTTTCGTCTTGGTCGCGCGGACGTCCCGTGTCATCTGCGAGTCGACAAACCCCGGCGAGATCGTGTTGACCCGGATGCCCTTGGGGCCCAGCTCGACTGCCAGCGCTTTTGCCAGCATGTGCACCGCCCCCTTGGAGGCGTTGTACGCCGCCATCCGGTAGCCGGGAAGACCAATGTGTGCAGACTGCGACGCTACCAGCAGTATCGATCCGCCGGTGCCTTGCTTGATCATTTGTTTCGTCGCAAGCTGCGTGATGAAGAACGTGCCGCGGACCTTGAACATGGGAAAAGCAGCCGGAGTGTTAGCGCCTATAGGTCCTCGTGACGTCGTCCACTGGTCGTCCCCCCTGATGGGAGAGCACTTACATTGATATCATGGATCCGGTTGTACTCGTCCCACGTCTGCTCGATGAAGGGCTTGTCGATCGCGATTCCCGCCGCCGGTAGTAGCCCATGAATGCTCCCGCCCAGCTGCTCGAGCGCGCTCTGGAAGCTCGAATTGAGGGATTCCTCTTTGGTCACGTCCGTCTGGATGTACACGGCCTTGACGCCATACTTGGCCGCCAGGGTGTCGAACTCGGCCACGGGCCGGCTCTGAATGTCGAGCACCGCCACGCTGCCGCCCATCTCGCAGATGGCCCGCGTCGCCGCGAAACCGATGCCCTGTGCGCCCCCGGTCACGATGAAGTTGCGGCCACGCAGCTCGAACATGGGTCGAACATCTTCGAGGGGGTCGACAGACATTTTGGAGGTCGGCGTGTGCTTAGTCGTGAGGCGTTGTCTTGCGGAGCAGGCTGGGCTAGGTGAAAGTGGCAAGGCCTTTTTGTGCAGCAGAATGGAAGTGGCCAATGTGGTCGAAATAGCCAATGTAAGTGTTCGTCAATTGAAGCAATTGGGCGATTTCGACAGGTTCATCAAGTCGAGCGCAAAGGACACGACAAGAGGAAGTAAGCACGGAAGAGCTTCAAGCCCAACAAGGAAGCCCCTCAAACCCCTCACGAAGCTGGAGCAGCCCCCCTGCAGCATGTCTCTGGTTCAGACGAGCTGATAACTCCCGAGGCACACGGCACGAGGCACGCAGCTCTTTTGCTTCTCCGGCCACCAGCGTCGGATATGCCACCTTGACCAGTGCCTGCTGATCTCGTCTGAATACGTCTATCTGGCTACGCACACTCTCCTGTGCTGCGTCATGGGACACGTTCATGGTCTTCTCAATCAGGAGGGGTCATGTTGGGGAATCCATGCGGAGGTGCTCCAGGGCCTCCCGCATCTGAGACTGCGGTGTGGGAGCGGGGGCGGCAGACTAGCTTCCCCATGGCAAAGCTTCAAGGTTTGGGGGCTACACGGCGGTGCTCGGGCCGGTTCCTAGTGGAATAGTGCAGCATTGCCCCTGGTGTGCACAATGGCTGTTCGTGGTGTCGTGGTCGAGGCAAGATCATCTGTCACTGGCCTATCCGGGATGAAGGGGTCTTCTCATTGATCACACGACCACGCCATGCTTCTCTCCTTATCAGGTATGCGGAACTGGGTCAGCTTTGCTGATACGAATGTTCCATGGACGCGAAACTGATCCCCCGCAGACCAAAGAGGCGTCGCCCCGGTAGAAGCATGACTCGAGCAATGGAGATGGGTTCAGAGATATCGCAGGAGAAAGGGGGCTTGATCACGCCCTGAATCTAGTGGGTCGCTGGTCTGAAGCACACCAGGAACCTCTATACTCTATAATGTGCTTGACTTGAACCAATTGGCCCATTTTACGACCTCGCAACTGTTGAAATATCTCACACTGCTTCGACGACAATCCTGGGCGCTTGATCCCGGATCAGCCATAGGAATACGAAGCAGCCGGTCTCCTGGATGACTGTCTTGGAGATCTTGTTCGACGAGGATGTGCCACTACGCGGTATCTCAATCACCCATCCTCTACAGAGATGCCGTTACTCATTCTTCTGACACTTTGGTCCCCTCGGGTACGGGCGAGCTGGGCGTCGGCTAAGGGCCAAAGCTAAACGATTACAGCACAAATAGAGTTTATGGCGTTCGACACTTACACGACCCACTCTCGTCCGGCACTTGCTCACTTGCCTCTTTGGCTTCGTCAAGTGGGCGAGGCTAGTACTCTCCCCACAGGTTTTGCCAGACTGAGGCTAGCCGATGGGCCTGGTTTCGAGTAGCAACCCGGCATTGGAACCCCCAGCCTCCGCACTTCGAGCCTGGACCCCTTTTCCGAGGACTCGTACTGCCAACCACTCACGACATGACTAAGGGGTGGATCGTCGGCCCACGAGGCTTCTGCATGCAAGTGCTCAATTCCATGCCGCCTCATGCAAGGATACCGTGCTCGGCAAGGCACTTACCCGTGGGGGATGGGCACGGCTGAGCAGCTTGAGACGTCGGGCTTGGAAGCTGGCTAGGTACTGAGATTCGCCCTCCCAGAAGCATTCTGGGGCCAACCACGATAGCGTGTAGACAACAGCCGGGATACTTATCTTGGGCTCGACGCGGGGAATCTAGCGCTAGCCCTGAGCAAGAGATGGCTGATCCCTCTCGACAACGGCCCCTTCTCCGCACTTATCTTCGTGCCTTTGCTTTGGCGGGATCATGGAGAGATATACATAAGTCGCGCTTCTGAGCTGGCGTTGTGGCTCAGCACGAAGCCGACTCCTCTACATCTGCCAACGATTCCCTGTTTCTTTATCTTATTATACCCCTCAGGACAATTGCCACCATCTCCAGCACTACCTTGAGTCACAGAAAAAGGACAACATCCTTGAGACTTTTCACTGAGAAAAACACACTCCACCACCCTGCTGGCGCAGCCACATCACTGTCCAAGATGGCCGCAACAGAAAGCTACCACGTCATTGTTGTCGGCGCGGGTATGTGTCTTTCATTAAACGAGATCAGATCACCCATGGCAAATACCCTCAACTCTGATGTAGACGCGTGTCGCTGACCACATCTGCCCGCCGCGCGATAGGATGGTACGGCTTGGCCGCCGCCAAATCATACCTGGCAGCGCACCCCGACCACCGGGTCCTTGTGATCGAGGCGGAGCGGACGGTGGGCGGTACCTGGTCTGAGGACCGCCTGTACCCGGGCCTCAAGTCGAACAACCTATGGGGCTCGTACGAGTATCCCGATTTCCCCATGTCTCAGGAGGTGTACGGCGTCGGGTACGGGCAGCACATCCCCGCGGCGGTCCTCCACCGGTACCTCACAGACTTTGCCAAGAAGTTTGGCGTCTTCGAGCGCATACAATTCCAGACGAAAGTCACTGCCATTGAGGCGGTGGAGGCCACCGGCGCATGGCGGGTACACACGACGAGCGTCAAGCCGGGCAGCCAGGGCGAGACGGCAGTATTTGACACGGAGAAGCTGATTGTCGCATCCGGACTGACGTCAGAGCCCAACCTCCCGCGGTACAACGGCCAGGAGACGTTCACGTCCGAGTTTTTCCACGCCAAGGACTTCTGCCGCAAGGCCGACGTGGTACAGACGGCCAAGACGGCGGTCGTCGTCGGGGGCGGCAAGTCTGCTCTGGACTGCGCGTACGCGCTGGCCGTGGAGGGCGGCGCAACGGTGCACCTCATCATCCGGCCCAAGGGCGACGGCCCGCTGTGGCTCGCGCCGGCGTTTGTGACGCCGCTGAAGCGCATGATGGAGGAGCTGCTGGCGACGCGGCTGCTGACGTGGTTCAGCCCGACTATCTTTGGCGGCGAGGACGGGTACGGCGGCATCCGCAACTTCCTCCACGGCACGCGGCTGGGCAACTGGCTCGTCAAGGGCTTCTGGGGCGTGCTCAAGGCCGACGTGCTCGGTGCGCATGGCTACGCCAAGCACGTCGAGGTCGGCAAGCTCACGCCCTGGCAGAGCCCGATGTGGACGGGCTCGGGCGTGGGCATCCACAACTACGACTCGAACTTTTTCGACCTCGTCCGCGAGGGCAAAGTGCTCATCCACGTCGCCGACATTGAGCGCCTGAGCGGCAAGAGCGTCTACATATCCACGCGGGGACCCAAGGAGCCCATCGAGGACGTTGACGTCGTCATCTGCGCGACGGGGTGGAAGAAGGACGCGGCCGTGGCGATCCGCAATTTTGACGTCGGGCTCGCCGCACAGGACGCCGAGCGGGAGAAGCTCATAGCCGAGGCGGACGCCGCGGTCCTCAGGGAATTCCCCATGCTCAAGGACCAGCCAAAGCTCACCTACTCGCGCAACTCGGCACCAGCAGAGCCCACTCCCAACAACAACAACACCAACACCAACACCAAGGGCGCGGGGGCCAAGTCGGAGCCCCTGCGCAACTACCGCTACATTGTGCCGACCCAGGGCTTCTTCGGGCGCAGCTTCGCGTACGCGGGCATGGTCTCGACCGTCACCACCTCCATCTTCGCGTCCGTCCAGGCGCTCTGGATCACGGCCTACTTTGACGGCAAGCTCTCCCGGTGCCCCGCCACCGAGGACGAGGTTGTGCGCGAGGTCCTCCTGCACACCCAGTGGAACAAGTGGCGCTACCCGTGCGGCTACGGCTCCAGCCTGCCCGACTTTGCGTTCGACTCGATCCCCTATGTCGACCTGCTGGTGCGGGACCTGGGGCTGGACAACCACCGCGGCAAGTCGACAGTCGCGGACGTGTTCAAGCCGTACAAGCCAAAGGATTATGCGGGCTTGGACCAGGAGTGGCTAGCTTCGCAGCAGGGTAGGAAGGCACAGGCACAGGTGAATGGCAAGGTGTAGATGATATGATCTGGGCGACTTCTTGTTGGAGAGACTGGCGTTGATATCGGGGGACGATGGGCTATATCCGTGGTTGACGGGTCTTGTGATGGGCAGAAATGTGGTTTCAATCACGGGGACGGTACGATTGCGCGGCGGTTGTCCCGGAAAACCAACTGTTTCAAAGTATAGGGGATGGAGATTGTCTTCCTCTTTGAGCTACACAGCATGTGTAGGCACCGTCAAGCAATGCACAGTGAGAGCTAAGCCAAATCCTTCGGTCTTCGCCTAGATTCAGCGTAGACCATGCCTGAGCAGAAAGCGCTTCGACTAAAAAAAGACGCTTCTAATCTCTCGATGATCCCCTTGATGATGCGGTCAAGCTCGTGACAAGTTGACGTGAGGTAGCAGTCTCGGATGACTCAGATGACCTGAGTTCGGCCTTTGCACATTTCCCAACCATGATCCCTGCACATCCTGCTCAGCCAGCCAATAAGACCCGTGCTGAGGAGCCCGATCGGGTAAACCCGCTTTTCTTTGTTCTCCTGGGTGTCTTAAGGTTTTTCCCCCTCCCTCTGTGCCTTATGGCTTCATGTTGAGCATCAGGTTCTTCGTACTGGACGTGAATAATCATTGCGAGGAATAATGGATCTCGCAGTTCAATGCTCCCGTGACTTGCCCATTGCGAAAGTGCAAGGGTTGTGATTTGGCTTCGTCAGGCAGCAGTTTTGCAACCTTATTTGTCAATGAGGAAGTAGACAACAACATCATACTTCGTGGCTTTTACACACCGCGAAGACAAATCACTGGGCTTTCAGAGAGGGGCTGCTATGCCAGCTGTATTTCGTGGTTGCGTGTTCTCGAAAGCGCATTGATCCTCTGACACCAGCTGGATTGTGGAGCTTTCCTGCCCGGGTCAACTTGCCACAAAAGGCTGTATGTATTACAGGCGCCTAGTCCAGGAACCAGATCCAATAACGCTTCAGTTGTGCACTGAACGATGTAAAGCTCGCACTGGCACGAGCTCCGGTTAACTACGACGACGATCAGATATGTTGCTGGTCCGAGGCACACGCTGCGTAATAGTAACTTAGGCTTCGGCCAGAAGTGGTTATGAGCCTTTCGTTGTCAAATAGCCATGGCATGATGCGGCTGCTAAGGGATCTGTGGGGGTGAGATTGGAATATATCCCGTCAGAGGCCACTTCTTCTGGTACCGAGAGAATCTTTCTCCTGTCCCCTCCAGCTCCATTCACTGCGAACTTGTGCTTTGCAAAAGTTGTTGGAGGCGAGACCTGCACGCTTGATTCCACTGCCACCAGTGCCAAGCAGTCCATCATCCCGCGATCGGGAACAGCCAGGACTCGAGGTCCAGTAAGAATGCGCTCCACCACCTTCCTACAAGTGCTGCAGCAGTCCCTTGAACCGACAGGTCGACGGCGTCTCTATCGCGAATCCAGAACAGGCAGGCCCAGTGTTCGATAAGTTTCCGCCCGGCGATAAGGCCGCGGACGATACCAGCGGCGATCTGTACCTGACGCTCGATCCGACGGGCCAGGGTACCCGGTGTGGCGGAGTCAAGATCAAAGGTCTTGTATTGTCTGAGTGGATGTGCTAGGCTGCGGGGTTAAAGTGAGGACTGGGGGGGACCTTGTTGGCATCACAGCTTGCAAAGTGAATGTATAATGGCCTTCTTCTTGCATCCAACTTTGGGCCTGCAAACACACGACATGGTGGGGGCCACATGTATAATATGCCGCTAGCTTCGTATCGTAGTGTGTGCCATGGCGATTGCACAGGCTGATTCTCGGTCTGATCATGTTCCGAGGAGGAAATACTGTGGTAAACCTGCAATCCTCACATCTCATGCGAGCGTGACACGGGAATCCCGGGAGACCACTTGAATGACAGCTGGAGATGACCAATGTTCAGGCGAAAGAAACTGCGCCAAGCCAAGCGCAACAGCTGGTTGTGTTCCGTCAAATATAGGATCCACATGAGAACGATTGCAGCATCATGCAGACCGCCGAGCCGGTCTCGCTCGCTGGCGTGTCTCGCGCCCGTCGTGCAGCCCCGGCACCGTGGATCAGCCAAATTGAGGAAGTGGTCCTGGCGCAAGCCCACTCTCACCGGTCCCCAGGTTCAGATTGACGTTATTGAGCCTAACCCCTCTGTCCCACCAGTCATGCGGAACGTACCGCGCGGGTAGGGATGGGGCAGCCAATCGAGTCTGGTGGCCGCGGCCCACAGCCGCAGGCCAGGCGAGAGATCCATGAGATTGGAATTGTGAGATGTGACGGCGGTGGAGTCTTGCTTGCAGGGTATCTGCTCTGGGTTGAATGTGCCCAACTGAGAAGAAGTCAAAAAGAGTACATACTAAGTGAGATGAGTTGCACAGCCAGGCTGCAGTGCAACCGTGATCCTTGAGCGGGCCTTATCCGCTCCGGCCAGGGGTCAAGCGAGTGCTTCTCAATCGTCAAGAAGCGCAATGGTGCAGTCCTTGGTATTGGCCTTGTCCAATACCGGAAAAGACCCGGCTGCAAGCTGCCAGTTGTAATTGAAACTACCTGGTTTGGGCTGCTGCGTTGGCACTGCTGGGCATGCTGTCAATGGGACCCCCCACGCCAGCTTCAGGGGCGTTTGAGCATTGCTCGAATCCCGGGCTTTTGGGACCAGAGTGTTGGCAGTTTCCACGTACCCGGTCCAGAGCTTCCAGTCCGTCGGGCCGAGCCCGGCTCCAAGAGCATCGGCTCACCACCAACATCATAATGCCTCCAGCCCTTTGCCCCTCATTGTAAACGTCCCAGTCAAGTCAACGGCTAGTTCCTACTGATTCTTGGCATGGCCTTACGCCACTGTGTACTTTTGGAAAAGAAACTGCTCCAGGGAAATCAATCAGAACTGTCCTGTCCATATACATTCACGATTCACGATTCCGCTTCAGAGTGCCCCGCCAGCTAGGCCGAGGTCCATCCTGCCGAGACCTCATGCTGGCGACTTGCTGCACCAGTTGACAAAAGTTCCATGCCGTCGACCAGGATGCCAGACTGCATATTCTGTAGGTCGACACGGGTGGACCATCCTACCTCAATCACGAATCAACACAGAGTGGCTGTCCTGCACGATGCATGTCGTACCAAGGGTATGGGTCTCGCTGCCCAGAGCCCACCGTCCTGGGTCTCGGGTCTCGCCCGCCTTGTGGGCCCCAAGACCCCAAGATCCTACGCTGTCAAGTCACAGTCACAGCAGCACCCTCACGTCTCAAAATGACTCTCGATGGTAAGCAGAGAGCCCCCACGGCTTCATGACGCAAGTATTGGCACTTTGCAAGCACCTCGACCAGGCCGATTTGGCCTCGACACAGCAGCTAACAGCCCTGCGTCGCAGTGTTATAACGCCGCCGCGGGGTCGGAAATCCCCAGGTCTCCCTCCAACTCTCCGTGACAGCTACGGCCCATCCACTTGTGGTACGAACGTATTTATCAAAGAGCACAGACATGGAGGGGCAAGAGGACTTCATCGATGTCCCAGAGGACATCCGCAATTACGTTGAGGAAGGCAACTTCAGGTTCCATGCCTATCAAAACGCCTCCTATGCATTCCCCAACGACGACACTGCACAGAGTGTTGAAGACGAAAGATATGTGCTAGGGATTATATTGTGCGAAGATCGCTTGCATCTGGCTCCAGTTGCATCGGAGCTGAGCAAGCCTGGAGCTAGAGTGCTCGACCTAGGTATCCTCCCAACATTCGTCTCTCTACATCTATATACTTGAAAAAAGGGCACCATCTAACTATTAGAACACAGGGACTGGCACGGGATTATGGGCCATGGACAGTAAGTCGATATTGGCGATGGCCATCAATGATCGCCTGGGGGCTCAGTACTGTGATAACTGCTGACATACCGTGTAGTGGGTGACCACTATCCGCATGCCGAGATTATAGGCGTGGATATTTCGCCGATACAACCCACACTCGTCCCCGAGAATGTCATGTTCCTGGTGGCTGACATGGAACAAGATTTCGACGGAGAGGACGAGTCGTACGACTTCATACACGCTCGTCACACGCTCGAATGTGTGGTGGACCCGGCTGGGCTTCTGAGCAAGATCTACAGGTACGCAGATCAGATTTTTGGATATCCAAGCAGCGCTGCATATCCTCACGACAATTAAGTGACATATCAAGTAACCTTCGCACCTCATGCAGACTTCTTAAGCCGGGCGGCTATGTCGAATTCCACGGCAATGACCATATTCCGCAGGTCGACGACGACGGGACACTCCCGCCAAACACTTCTTACGCAGTCCGCGAGCTCACCCAGCTTGTAGCCGAAGGCGTAAAACGGTACTCCAAGACAGAATATGACATCATAGCACAGGCGGGCCCTCTGGTGGCCGCGGCCGGTTTCGAGTCCGTCACGAGCGAGATGCGCAAGCTGCCATTGGGTTTGTGGCCACAAGACTTGCGGATGCACACGTGCGGCTTCCACGCTCTTTCGTCATTCATGAGAGGGATGCGCGGTCTGTGTGCGCGGACTCTGGGGCCAGAAGGGCTGGGTTGGACGGCACCGCAGATTGAGGCCTTTCTCACGACAGTACGACGCGATGCCGTGGATCCCAGATTCCACGCTTGGTTTCCGTATCATGTTGTATACGCAAGGAAACCGTTGTAAAAGGCCTTTTGACTCTCATAGTGCCTTTCTTTATTCTTTAGCAAATGTATAGCCACGCTCTCGGTGTTAATCAGAGCCCTTCGTTCCACGGATCATGCAGGTTATATAACTTAGGGCTTCTCATATTCCCGTTTCGAACCATACTTAACCTCCGGCTTCAATCGGAGTTTGGTGCCTGGATTTCTAAGCTAAGTGGGAGTTTCTCCAAAGTAGCATCCCCTTCTCTAGATCTCACTGGTGCTTTGCTGCCACATCCATTGGTCGAGACTGCGTGGACGTTGCGGGAGAAAGTTTCTAATCGTTGCTGTGTCCTCGCTGAATGACCATGACCAAGCCTGACCGACCATGACCAATCATCTTTTACGAGCCTTATATGTGGGGTCCAAAAACGACCAAGACAGCAGCATCAAGCCTAGCTGCGGGAATAACAGCCAAATTGTCCGGTCCTTAGCGTCATTAATCATCGCTCTGACGATGTGAGCTCCCCATTCTTGCAGGGAATCAGCACATCACAGCACAGCAACAGCTCGCAGTCTATCGAAAGTCTTGTGATACACAAGAGGGCCTAATGCGCTAGTCTAGTCGGCGGCTTAACACAATCGGTGCACAGTTGTAGTTATTGGCCGACCAACCGCGTGCCACAACGTGCTTCGACTTTGTATGTACTCAAGCCGAAACATGGCAACCGAATTTGAACAGAACGCCACGAGCGACGCCGACAATGTAGCCGCCGAATCGCCGGCCACAACGAGCATCTTCAAGCGCATGCTGTGGTGTCCACCGTGGACACGCTGGGATCCCGATGCGAAACACGAGCTCGACTGGAGCAAGATCATCCTGTTTGCACTTGTAAGTTCTCTGCTTGGGGTCCAAGTCGCGTTGAACGATCACAATGCACAGTCAACATACTGACCTTATGCCGACCAGACTGCCGCGTGCAGTGTAGCGAACCTGTACTACAGCTATCCGATCCTCAACGTCCTGGCTCACGACTTTGGCGTCACAGATGAGCGTGCATCTCTGGTGCCGACAATCACGCAGGCCGGCTACGCATGTGGGCTCCTTTTTGTGATCCCAATTGGTGACCTCGTTCCTCGTCGTCCCTTCATTCTCGTGTTGATGACCATCACCGCAGTCTTGGTAGGTGTCATATGCCGACTTTTACCCAATTGTGCAGACTACTAACAGGCTGCAATCAGTGGCTCGGCTGCACCTTGACATCGTCCTTCTCGGCATTTCTAGGACTGTGCTTCGTCGTCGGCGTCACCACCGTGACACCACAGCTCATGTTTCCCTTGACGACGCAGTACGCGCCCCAGAAGCACAAGGCCATGATGATCTCTATCGTCATGTCCGGCATAGTCTTTGGGATCGTGGTCGTGCGCATCCTCGCCGGGGTGGTCGCCCAGTTTACTTCGTGGCGCGTGGTGTACTGGGTCTCCCTTGGCTGGCAGCTCCTCATCATCGCCCTGCTCTTCCTAACCATGCCCGACTACCCCATCCTGCGGCCGGGCACATCTTACCCGGCCATACTCCTCAAGATCGTCAAGCTGCCCTTTCAGTACCCCGTGCTGACGCAGCAGAGCCTGATTGCATTCATGGTCATGGCCGTGTACACCAACTTCTGGACGACCCTGACGTTCCAGCTCGCACACGTATTCAGCCTCACGACCCTATCCATCGGCCTGTTCGCGCTCATCGGCCTGGGCCCCGTCCTGCTCAACCCGTTCATCTCACGCGTCCTCACCTCCCGCGTGCACCCCACGGGCACCCTGCTCGTCGCCCTGACCACAGCCATCACGGGAGCATGCGTGGGCACTTTTGCGGGGACGGTCTCGCTCGCGGGGCCCGTCGTGTGGGCGCTGCTGGGGGACCTGGCGATGAACACGAGCGTCGTGGCGAGCCGGATGGCGTTCAGCCACGTGGAGCCGAGCGCGCAGAACGCGGTCAACGCCGTGTACATGGTGTTCACGTTCTGCGGACAGCTCTGCGGCACGGCCGCGGGGAATGCCCTGTATGCGCGGCACGGGGGGTGGCTGGCCTCGGGCGGTCTGGCGATCGGGATGCTGGGCGTTGCGATTGTGCTCTGTGTGGCCAGGGGTCCGCACGAGGCTGGGTGGGTTGGCTGGAAAGGCGGGTGGGATTTGAAGGGGGGTGTTGTTGTTGGCACTGGAGACGGAGGAGCTCGGAAGGGTGGTGATGTTGAAAGCAGCGCCGGTGGTGGTGGTGGTGGTGAGGGCGGGCTTGGGGATGATGATGGTGAGAAGCATGGCGGTGCTCCAAGGCAGGCTCCAGCTGGGGATTTGAAGACTACGACGTAGACAGCCACGTATTCTCGTGCAGTGTGATTTACGATAAACAAGATCTCTCTTTCCATGCTTTGAAATAGCGCTGAAATAGCTGACCCTCGAGCTGTAACATCCACCAGGTGAGGCAAAACCTCTCCTACTGTGAGCCGTTCACACGGCCGACCGTCCTTGCACTGACACCCAATTCGTCGTGTGACGGATTCGTCACTGAAATGCTAACAACCAGCAGCTACCACCAGTCTGTTGTGGCAATGATAACAAGAAAACTTTGTATATCTCATTGATTGTGGGGACGGGTGGGAAATGTGCACAATTCTTCCCTTGGCATGTTGCTTCATTATCCGGTCAGCAAGAAAGACAGAATCCTCCAACAGCACTGGTAACACTTGACAGACGCCAGTACTTCCGGACCTATGAGTAAAACGGCCCAAAGAAGGGCAGCTACAATTGTTGCGCGCCGAGACCTGAGCTACTGCAACGGATCCCCGCCGCCCACACCAGCCCTGTCGTGTCGCGGAACGAACCTCGAGGAGGGAGGAAAGCGGCTTCGTTTGGGGGCGGTGGCGGGTCGCAGTTAGGTGCTAGACGAGCCGGCCCGGCAGATTTGTTGGCTCGTGAGGGGAACCCTGGCCTGTCGTTGGGGGCGCCGGTGTATACTGGTGCGGGGACAGACAGGGACCCGCTAACATGCAAGTGCTCCAAGCTCAGGCTTAGAGACTGACGTGATGGCAACAATTTTGAATGAACCAATTGCGCTCAGAGAGACGGCCGGAACCACCAAACAATTGCAATTGTTCCCACTGGACTCCCTGTATCAGCCGTACTCGACAAGTTGGCGCACCCAAAGCACCTCTGCGTGAGGGCGACGAAGAGCTCCAAGTAATTTCTCAGTGCTGCGGGCAACCCGGTCGTGCCAAGGCGATAAGAGTGGCGCGGGTGCGACTCTGGGTAACTGGAAGAGGAAGGAACAAACCCCCAAGCCGGACATGATCGTCAAACACAGCAGCTGCCACGCCTGTCCGTGCCTGCCTCGCCATGCCGCGCATTGCATCACGCCAGCTGCACCTGCCTCAGGCACTGCTCAGCGGCCACTCACCAGGCACCGCTGCCGTCAAAGTCCAGTATCCTGACGAGCGCAAATATGGATCGACCATGGCAGCAACCCTGCCAGAGGGATGTGTGACAGCTACTTAAAGGCAGCACTTTGGCCGCCCTCGCCTCGCCGTCTTGTCTTGCCCGGTCCAGGCTCTGCTTCTCTGCCCGCCGCGATCGTGAACACTGGGTTCCATCTCGTCCCGATTTCTTCTCGTGCTGGTCCTGCCTGCCCGTGAAAATGAGGTCCACCGAGACATTGACGGCCCTGGCGGTCCTCCTCCAGGCCGTCGCAGCCATTGAGCCGCCTCGGCAGCCTCGGCAGCCCCTCGGCGGCGGCGACAAAATCATCTCCTGGAACGACACCATGGTGAACCGCCTCTTCCGCGCCAGCTCCACCTCGGTCAGCTGGCTCTCGGGCGGCCAAGACGGCGAGTACATCTTCCAGGCCGCCGATGGCGCTCTCATCCTCGAAAACTTCATCACCAGCGAGAACGAGACCTTTGTCGCCGCCGACCTCATCCCGGAGGACCTGTACGACTACTCAATCCGCAGTGACCTCCAGAAGGTCCTCTTCGCCACCAACTATACCAAGCAGTACCGCCACTCGTACTTTGCCGACTACTCGGTTCTTGATGTCGCGTCTGGAGAAGTCGAGGCCCTGGTTGACGACCAGGTCGGCGACATCCAATATGCAGAGTTTGCGCCTGCCGGTGACGCCATCGCCTTTGTCCGGGGCAACAACCTCTTCCTCAAGAAGAACGGCACCATCAGCCAGATCACCGAGGATGGCAGCCCGGATCTCTTCCACGGCGTGCCCGACTGGGTGTACGAGGAGGAGATCTTTGGCACCCGCAGCACCTTGTGGTTCTCCCCGGACGGCCAGTCTCTTGCCTTCCTCAGTTTCAACGAGACTGGCGTCGAGACCTTCACCATCCCTTACTACATGGACAACCAGCAGATTGCTCCCGTCTACCCCAAGGAGCTTGAGCTTAGATATCCCAAGGTCGGCACGACCAACCCTACCGTGTCGCTCACAGTGCTTGATGTCGTGACCGAGGATAAGACTCCGGTTATTATCGACGTCTACGAGCCCGACAACTTGGTCATTGGAGAGGTGGCCTGGGTCACTGAAGATCACAGCAGCCTGATCTACCTCGCCTACAACCGTGTCCAGGACCAGTCAACCCACGTTAGAGTGGATATCGGCTCCGACGGCAAGGTTTTGACTGAGACAGTCCGGAACCGTGATGGCACGGATGGTTGGCTCGACAACTCATTGGCCATCCAATATGTCGGTGAGATTGATGGCAAGGCGTACTACTTGGACCTCTCAGATGAGTCTGGGTGGATGCACATCTATCTGTACCCGTTGGACGGTTCGGAGCCGACAGCCCTTACCGAAGGCGAGTGGGAGGTAACCTCGGTCCTCAAGATCGACCTCGCCCAGAAGCTCGTCTACTACGTGTCGACCCAGGCTGACAGCACGGAGCGCCACGTGTTCTCCGTTTCCTGGGAGAACAAGAAGATTACACCTCTTGTGGATGTCGATGTGCCTGCGGCCTGGTCTGCCTCTTTCTCGTCTGGCGGCGGCTACTACATTCTGTCTTACCAGGGACCGGACGTGCCGTACCAGGAGCTGTACGCCACCAACGACACGAGCACACCTCTACGTACCATTACATCAAACGAGGCGCTGTGGACCCGCCTGCAGGATTACAACTTGCCCAACATTACCTACCTGACTCTGGAGCACCCCGACGGCTACAGCATGAACGTGATGCAGCGCCTGCCACCAAACTTTGACCCTGCCAAGAAGTACCCGGCGCTGCTGACCCCCTACGGCGGCCCTGGCTCTCAAGAGGTCAACAAGGCCTACCAGACGCCTAGCTGGGATGCTTACATCTCGTCGGATCCTGAACTTGAGTACATCCAGTACACAGTGGACAACCGCGGCACTGGGTACAAGGGACGAGCCTTCCGCTCCCTGGTCGCCTCGCACCTGGGCGACTTTGAGGCGGAGGACCAGATCTGGGCGGCTGCTGAGCTTGCGAAGCGCCACGAATACGTCGACGCGGACCATTTTGGCATCTTTGGCTGGTCGTATGGCGGATACTTGGCGGCCAAGGTTGTCGAAGCGGACTCTGGCGTCATCTCGCTGGGTCTGATTGTGGCTCCCGTGAGCGACTGGCGATTCTACGACAGCATGTACACGGAGCGGTACATGAAGACGACGCAGGACAACGAGGAGGGATACAACGGGACGGCGGTGCGCAAGACGGACGGATTCAAGAACATTGCCGGCAAGGCGGCGATTATGCACGGGACTGGCGACGACAACGTGCACTACCAGAACGCGGCGGCTCTGATTGACCTGCTGGTGGGCTCAGGGGTGACAGCGGAGACGGTGGACTGGCGGTCGTTCACCGACAGCGACCACAGCATCAACTACCACGGCGCGACCAACTACCTGTACAAGTACATGACGAGCCTGCTGTACGAGGAGCGGCTGCGAACCAAGGAGGACGCGCTGAAGCACCAGTGGAGCAAGAAGAGCGAGGGGCAGCACCAGTGGGGGGAAGTCAAGCTATAGCTGTGGGTTTAGCAAGCAGACGAGGTACCGGTATAATTCTAGACCATAAAAAAAAGCACATGTTTTGTTTTTTTTGAGAATGACGAGTCTATGTATTCGTCTTTGTGTCGGGGGTGATTGGCAGCAAAGTGGGTGCATGCCCGGAGCGGAGGCAGTTCCGCAGGGCGGGCCGAGGGCGGGAGGGGCGAGGCGAGGAGAGTGCGGGGAGTCTCGGTCCCCCGCACTGTCGCGGCTGCAGGCGGGAGAGCGCGCACCCCAAGGCAGCCCGGCTCGCGTCGGCCGCTTATGCAAGTGTGGATGACGCCTGGGGAATCTCCAACGCCCCCAGTGTGCCCGTGGGTGCTTCCCGGGTGGTACGCAAGCAGCGCCCTGACAAATGACTTCTAATTCTCCGGTGCTTGACTTGGTCGAGCCTGACTCTTTCTCAGTCCCTCACAACGACGTCGCCATCTCATCACACAGCCGCCATGCCCGTCACACAATTCGACTTCAAGGAGCGGTATCGCTACCAGAATGGCTTCGGCTGCCAGCACGAGTAAGCGTGTCTTTATCTCTCTCCCACTTGACATCTCTATATTGCCCATGTCTGTGACTACTAACACTGCTCCTTTGCTCTTCCGCCTTGCAGGACCGAAGCCGTCCCTGGGGCGTTGCCCGTAGGTCACAACTCGCCCCAGAAGCCGCCACACGGTCTCTACGCCGAGAAGCTGTCCGGGACGGCCTTCACTGCGCCACGGCATGAGAACCAGCAGACCTGGCTCTATCGCATCCTGCCATCATGCGCACACCCGTCCTTCCAGAAGTCCCCGGCTCCGTCGTCCACGCCCGGCGGCAGCGGCAGCGAGGCTGCCTCGTCGCTCTCCTTCTCCAACCTCCAATACATCCCCAACCAGCTGCGCTGGGACCCCTTTGACCACGACACCGAGACCGACTTTGTCTCGGGGCTGCACCTCATCGCCGGCGCAGGCGACCCGACCATGAAGGCGGGCATTGGCATCTTTGTCTTTGCGGCGGGCAAGTCGATGCCGGCCAACGAGGCCTTCTACTCTGCCGACGGCGACCTGCTGCTGGTCGCGCAGGACGGCGTGCTCGACATCCGCACCGAGCTGGGCTGGCTGCTGGTCCGGCCCATGGAGATCTGCGTGATCCCGCGGGGCATCAAGTTCCAGGTGCACCTCCCCGGCAACACGCCGATCCGGGGCTACGCCCTCGAGCTATACCAGGGCCACTTTGCGCTGCCCGAGCTGGGGCCCATCGGGTCCAACGGGCTGGCCAACGCGCGCGACTTCCAGGCGCCCGTGGCGTGCTTCTCCGAGGACCACGGTCCCAGCACGGCCGCGGACGGGCCCAACCGCTACAAAATCACCTGCAAGTTCAACAACACCCTCTTCCACACGGCGCAGGCGCACACCCCCTTTGACGTGGTCGCCTGGCACGGCAACTACTTCCCCTACAAGTACGACCTGGGCCGCTTCAACACGATCGGCAGCATCTCCTTTGACCACCCGGACCCGAGCATCTTCACCGTGCTCACCGCGCAGTCGGACCGGCCGGGCACCGCGGTCGCCGACTTTGTCATCTTCCCCCCGCGCTGGCTCGTCGCGGAAGACACCTTCCGCCCGCCATGGTACCACCGCAACACCATGTCCGAGTTCATGGGCCTGATCGGGGGCGTGTACGACGCGAAAAAGCCCGGAAAGGGCGGGTTCTCCCCGGGAGGGGCCAGCCTGCACAACGTCATGTCCGGGCACGGGCCGGACGCGGCGAGCTACGAGGGCGCCAGGAATGCGGAGCTGCAGCCCACGCTCGTGGGCAAGGGGGGTTGCGCCTTCATGTTTGAGAGCTGCCTCATGGTCGGGGTCACCGAGTGGGGGCTCCGGACGTGTCGGAAGGTGCAGGAGGAGTACAACAGTCACTCGTGGGAGACGGTCCGCGTGCACTGGAAGAGGCCCGAGGGGGTGGAGGCGGAGGAGGGCAGGCGTGGGCACTTGCTGTAAGGGTGTTTTTTTTCTTGTTCTGAAGCGATAAGCGTTAAAAATGACGTCGTGGAAGGAGGAGAAAAAAGTTTCTGAGGAAGAGGCACACAAATTGCAAGCTTGAGGATTGAGGAAAATCCGTGCTGTATTTCTCTGAGACCAAAAAGTGTGTTTCTCTCTATTATCATGAGCATCTTTGATGCAATGTATGGTCGTCCTGATGAACCTCCTCCCATCATTAAAAAAAAAGAAAAATGCTAAGTATGACAAGCGCTAGGTATGCCACCTGAATCTATAAGTGCAAATGCCACTTCCCATCCATCCTCTCTCTCTAACCTCAACCCAATGCCAAATGCAGCAAAAATGCAAAACGATGCCAAATGCTAGTAACACCATGCTTTTATCACCCGTTCCTCTACGTTCACGCATATAGACACACATATACAGGATACACACTCCTGCTTCGTACCTGTTTCGTTCTTCTTTTTCTTCTTCTTCTTCTTCTTCTTCTTCTAGGCCCGGGCGAACCTGCTCCGCTGCCTGAGCTGCTTGCCGTACTTGAAGAACAAGAACGGGAACGGGATCATTGCGACCGTCAGGAACGCCACGAGCGACGTCGCCCAGTGGATGCCCAGGGCCTTGTACATCTGCGTGCCGAACAAGGGGAACGCGGCTGCTCGTGGTGAAGAGAAAATCATGTTAGTTCAAGAGTGTTTTCCCGGCATGGCTCGTTAAGTGGTGCTTAAGGGGTAATTAGGGGTAGGGTGAGAACTGACTTGCGAATAGGCACCGGGAAAAGGTGTTTGCGGCCATGGCGCTGGCTGCGTAGGCTGGGTAAGCGTCGACCTGGTTTTGGGGGGTTGTGTCAGTACGGTGTCTAATTTTCGGATTGTAGTCCCAATGTGTGGCTTGGAGTACGTACCAAGAAGGTGAACACGCTTGTGAAGACTAGGACGATGCTATTGAGAGCAAAATATTGTCAGCATCACGATGCCTTATTGAGACCGCCGTAGCCCCTTCCTCGCGGTATGTGACGGGGATCCAAACTCACCCAAAGCCAAACAGCATGGCTCCAACCATGGGCACGATCCAGTGCACCGAGGGGTAGCACGTCCAGGCAAAGATGAAAATGCCCACGGGCACGCACAGCGACCCGAGCATGGCAGCCGGCAGGCGGAACTCGGGCTCGCTGGCGCCCTCGACGCCCGTCTCGGCCGACAGCTTGCGGCTCAGCCGGGCCCGGACCCCGGCCCAGACGGGGTCCATCGCGCAGCCGATGATGAGGCCGGTCAGGATGCCCAGGAACGACAGGCCGACCTGGTCGAGCGTGAAGCCGTACACGGTGCCAAAGACCAGGGGGAAGGCGCCGAAGAAGAGGTACAGGATGCCCAGCAGGATCGCGGTGAAGGTGCACAGGCACAGGCACATGGGCTCCAGGACGAGCAGCTGGATGGGGCGCAGCAGGGAGAGCCCGATGGCCCGGGACACGGCGCCGAAGTCCGTGGGCGCGTGGGGCGGCGTGTCCTTGCCGCTGCCGTCGCGGACCGTCTCGGTCGCGGCGTGCCACCTGTTGTCGCCGGTCTCTGCGCGGACCTTGTTTGCCTTTTTGCGGAGGAGGACGGGGTCTAGTTTGGTTGAAGAGATGCGAAGGCCATGATTAGTTTTGAGGACAGCGGGGGGTTTTCTTTTTCTTGACTTGATACCACGAGTCAAAAGTTCGACTTACGGAATGTCTCTGGGACGAAAAACACAATGGCCACCTCGAGAACACCAGCCCAGATGAGCAGCACCCAAAACGTCCATCGCCAGACGGGAGTGTTCTGGTTGATGAAGCCGCCGATCAGAGGACCGATACAGGGGCCGGTGAACGGGGCCGCCGAGAAGATGGCCATGGGCCACTGGAGCTGCTCGCGGGAGAATAGGTCGCTGACGGTGCCGCCGGAGACGGCCAGAAAGGTGCTGCCCGCGAAGCCGTCGAGGAAGCGGCAGACAATCATGGTCGCGATGTTTGGGGCGACGGCCTGTGGGATGATCCAGATGAGGTACATGGTCCAGGCGACGAGGTAGATGGGGCGGCGGCCGTAGAACTCGCTCAGGGGCCCAAAGAGCATGGGGCCCAGGGCGAGGCCGAGGACGAAGAGCGAGAGGCCCAGCGTCGAGACGATGCGCGAATTGCCAAACTCGGCCTCCATGGCCGCATAGGCGGACGTGTATATAGAGGAGGCGCCAGTGCTGCAATAGGGCGGTGCCAGGTCATGGTCGGCCCGAGGGTCAGCAGGAGGCTCAACCTTGTCTTACTTAGATCCCGTGCCGTGCCACGCCGCAATTGCCTGTCTAGGCATGTCGCACAGGCACAGCCACGGGGTCGCGAATCAGAATCGAGAGATGATGGACGGGATGACTTACACACAGAAGCTGGCGGCCGACACAATCAGGACAATGGCCCATTTGCGGCCGTGGCTGATGCTCCGGGGGCACATGGGGTCATTGCTGCCGTCGCCCTCCCATTCGACCAGGAAGGGGTCGGCGGGCGGAGGACCGCCCTCTTCGGCCGCGGTGCTCTCGCCGGACCGGTCGCTGCCCGTGTTGCTGAGGCTGGGGCGCCTTGGTTTCTCTCCGTCGTGGTCCATGGTGGTGGTGGTGTCTGCTGGACTCGAGCCTGGGAATGTGTCGTCATGGCCGCTGCTCTTCTCCTGCAGCACGGAAGCGTCTCCAGGTGCGACATCGGCGGCAGGCGTCGAGGCCATGTTGTCGCGGGTCTCTGTCCCACTGGGCGACATCATCAGATAAGGGGGCAGGTCTTTGAAAGAGCGCTTTAGATGAGTACGTAGTTGCTCTCAAATGTCGAGCTGTAGTTTACACGACAAGACCCTTTTTTTTTTTTCTGTCTCTCTCTCCCAAAGACGCGACGGGCCCATGGCGATGCAGGCTCTTAATATGGAGCACCCACTCTCCGGCCTGTTGCCGTGGAGCCCCGTCATTATTAAGGGCCCAGCCCGGGGTCGCGGGCGATTGTCGGCGATTGGTCTCGCGTCCTCGCGCTTGAGTAATGCGGGCGCCCCGAGGGCACAAGTTGTTCCGTAAGCCCGGCGTCATCCATCCAGGGGTCGTATTGCCAGAACCCAGCTGGGCTAGCCCTATCTGGATCCCCAAGGGTCCTCCCCCACGCATTAGGAAGGGCTGGCCTGTCTGTTGCATCCCAAGTCGTCGCCGTCGTCGCCAATAGCAATGCAGTCAGGGGGGTCAACTTGTCCCCGAGGCGTTGGTGGTTATGCCTGTTGCTGATTATTCTCAGCCATCGGATTTAGGCATTGGCAAGGTCTCAAACCTGCTGCATCAGCTGCCACGTCTCGCCCTCGCCCAGCAGTCGTGTTGCGTGGTTGCATGCGTCGTCATCATGCCGCGCTGCGGCTTTTTAACGCCGAACACGCAACCAACACGAATTCGTGTCTGTCCAATGACAACATCGATCGCTGCGCTTCTGTCCACCTTCAACACCAAATCTCAACTCTACCATTGACAACTCCACGGCCACGGAGATGGCTTCACACAACCGGACAGCAACACACCTCAACTCATTTCAGCACTCCGCAGGCAATCATTGTCGCCCACTAGTCGCAGCGCGTGCACAATGGCAGTTCAACGCGCGCTGGAACTGGACATCATCTTGCAGATCGTGAGCTATATTCCATCACAAGACCACAATCTAGCACATACGACCATAGGATCGAGAAAATTGAGGGTCCCGTCCGCTCCCCTGTACACAAGCTCGATACCGCCGGATCAGTAGTTGGGTCGGTGACGACCAGCGAATCCCCGGTGTTGTATGTTTTTTTTGCCTCTTTTTACGCCTGTCCTTGCTTGGCTCACGGTTGTTAGCGACCTCTTGGTTTTCTGTGTTTCTGGATAGATCTGTCCGACTTGTACGGTCCTTGTTCTGGAGTCAATACGTGAATTTTTGTGACGAGGGAGAGTGATATGACAGTTCGACTCATCAGAACGGTCACGCGTTTCCCCACCACGTTGTTGAAAATGACTCGTAAGGCTTGAAATAAAGCGAAGCACTACTGAAAATGCGATGTGAGTACTCCCTGTTGAACAGGAATGAGATTGCCTGCTCGTTCATCGTGCCATGCATGTGCATTTCGCTAGGAAGAAGCTATCCAGGTCAGCCCCTTCTCGACAGCCCCACTGTTAGCTTGCCAGAGCTAGAGCACACTCGTTGTGATCAGTACGCCGCTTTGGAAAATCCCCTGTGAATATGAATGATGGGCATGGCACCTGGTGTTTCTTCACAAAATGAGAGCGTGATGCAAGTTCCAGCTCATTGCCATAGATATTCGAACATGGGTTGCGTTGCCTCATGTACATTTCGTCATTCCAGGCCAGCCAATAAACTTCACATTCCAGTGTCCGCAGTACTTGTGGAAAATGCTGTGGGGAGAATACCTTTACTGGGTAGCACGGTTTGAGAAGGTGGTGGAACCATCACCCAATCTTGTTTCCTCTTATTCGGCTTACAGGTACCGTATCGGATGCTGAACCAACGCCGTCATACATCTCGATCCATCTCCTCCCTTTGATTTAAGCCTCATCCCCTATCCCTCTCTTCCCCTTATCCCTTTCCGAGTGGACATGCCTACATGCAATCTCATGGAAGCCACCAGGCCCAGTACGCAATTATTCAAGCCTCTTTACCAAATGGTCAAGCAGGAAGAGGAATTCGTCCGACAAGACAGCTAGCAGAAGAGCCGCAGAATAATGTTTCTCAGCTTGGATAAAAAGCCTTGTACACCTGCAGCGCACTCTCGACGCACTGGACGAGCCCAAGGAACGCAGTGACGGCCAGAACCAGGATCGCTACCCAGAAAGTGTACCACCGCTCGCCGTTCCTCCGGTCATGCCACCACTGCGAGATGGTCGTCGGCGTCGCCTCGTCAAAGGCTTGCTTCAAGATCACCAGTCGGTCGCGCCAGTAGTGGAAGCGCTCGATGTGTCGCTGCTCCGCGCGCAGGGTCCCAAAACAGTGGCCCAGCCGCTGGTCGACCGCGCAGGGTGCCGCCGCTGCCGTTAGCTTGCGCAGCCATTTCCTCTTGTATTCCTTGCCTCGCTGTGGTGCCCCGAATGTCCCCTGGGGGAAGAGCAGTGCGAGGGTGTGCTTCGTTTCTTCGATGAAACCCGGAGGGAAGAGGTTGCTAATCTCGCGTTAATTCCATGGCGATGACCCGGAGTGAGACGGCATTGAACATCAAACCAGTAGGGTCGACGGGGTTTATACCTACTCTGGTCCTTGATATTCTAGAAATGTGACGTGATGAAAAATGAGCACCGTGGTGTCATCGTCGACAAGTAGCAGGTGATCCGCGATGTTGTCAGTGAACTCGATTGACAATCCTGAAATTGAGTCCAGGCTCCATGCATCGAAGGTTTTGGGGAATCTTGTGTGAGTAAAATCTAGTATCGGTGCGTCGGAAAATCGCTGCGAGATAAGTTCTCGAAGAGTGCCTGCGCTCCAGTCTAGGTAGCCTCGGGCGGCCACTTGATTTTCTGCGCGGCCGATTTTGAGCATGGTTAGCAGTCTTGCTGCCAGGTTGATCGAGTTCTCGCGGAATCTGTCTGGGCCCGTCAGCGATGTGTCAGTTCTCAGGAGCTCAAGCATGCTCTCCCTGGGCACATCCGCACGAAGTTGTCGAACTATGAAAACCAATGGCTCGTAACTGCGGATTGTGACATATGAGTCTGCTGGGCCATCCATCGAGTCCTTCTGCATGGTGTAATAGTTTCGATATGCCGATAGATCCAAGACCTGCCCCAGGGCATCCATTCTAGACTGCCAGAAATCGTGGACTAGATGCATTGTGGACGGAAGCTGCAGTTGTGAAAGTCCAACGGATTCGTGTAGTGAACCTTCAACCGCATTGCAGTCACTTCGTCTTGCTGCATTTTGAGGATTTTGTGATGGATTGGTGCCAGGGCTTGCCGTGCGTATCATCGTGAGGTCTTCAGACAAAGTAGTCACACAGTCTCTACACAGGCACGTTGCAATCGCGGGGCCTTGAGACTGCAATTTACGAACCAACCATGATGGTCAAGGCGTTTGCGCAAGGCTATGAGTCTTGTGGTGCCCACCGGGCTATCCACAACGCGTTGCATCGCAGCCGACGCGGGGAAGGCTGTACATTTGCACAAGCAGGGCCTCGGGCTCGAACGAGCCCTCGTTCATTCTTAGCATGTGTGGCAGTGCCAGGTTGACTAGGGCTGCCTAACCTTCACCGAATGTAAGAAATGGTCGCAATGATGTCATATGATTGGGCTCAGAAGCGCTCGCCTGCGGGCGCCACGCAATGCTGCGTTGCTTCTGCTTGCCCTTGGTCTACCATGGGTGTGGCTACGCCTCTGGAGCACATGACACCCAACTTGTTGAGATAAGGCTGCACTGAATCCATAGCCACAAAGAAAGCTGAGCCCGATCTTCTACCCAGGAGGATTCCCTCAGGGGATATCCCCAGGTGAGCCTAGGTATTTCACACATCTCCGATCATTCCCAACACAGGATCTGCTGACCTTTACAACATCACAGTGGTGCTCCATGTCACGCCTCTGCGAACCTTGCCTTGAATCAATTCGACAATACTAAGAAGGCCGTCGAGCCAGTTAGTCAATTTCCAAACCGTACCATTTCTCGCGCGCTGTTGTCCAGCTCTCATACTGAATAGAAGGTACAGCAGACTCAAGCCCCTGCGACTGGCCGAAATATTGGCTAGTCAAACATCGATGCTGGCATAACTTGTGGCAACGATGGACACTACTGCTGGCATTAAGCCAAATGATTCTACAGAATCAATCGGCCGACAGATCTTGACGCCTCGTGTACGATGGCCGAAGCGAGCATGGCATGCACAAGGCCCAGCTCTGCAAATCTTCCAGGATAGCATTCGCGAATTCGTTGACAATCTTCTCGACGACATCGATACTGCACATGCCGATATCTTTGTCAGGCTCTAATGATTGGCCGCAAGCCAGAACGCGCAGATCCCTTCGTCTTTGTGTGTTGCACGAACCTTTCAGTGCTCAAAGACGCGGAACATTGCATCCGGAGCAGTGATTTCAAAATTCGTTTTCAGGGATTCAAACTGGGTGCAATTGCGTTGCCTCTGGAATCACAGGTCCCTCTACGCCGGGTATGCAAGGACGAAGAAATATACGGCCAGCCACAAGAAGTCGCAGACTCGTCACTCGAAACGTGCATCAACACAGCAATGCCAAACTTGGCAGAATACGCATTGCCAGCCGCATACGAGAGACAGGTCACTCCAGTTAATCATGAGACAATTCAAGATTTGATTGGTGCCGAAACCCTAGAGATCCGAGTATACGCCTCAAACCATGACTCTCACCATACAAATGAGCATGTGCAGGACACCAAAGTGCTTCCTAAAGTCGGTGCCAGACTGTGGTATTCTCAAGATGATAGCGTTACTCCATATGCTCCTCAATCGACCGGTGGAGTTATTTTGAGCAACGGAACAGACCTCTTCCAACTCACTGCCCGGTACCTATGGGATCGATCCATCTACGCATCTCCAGGAGAGCCCGGCATCGCGACTCTGGACTACTGTCATTTCGACGACCAGGACACGGACGAGGACGATGACTTCGAGCTTTTGAGCCAGGCGAGCTTGTCATCAGCTGAAACAGGCTCACCAGACACAGCTAGCGAGGGCCAGTTCTCTCCTCTTGAATTCCGATTCGAAACCGCGAGGGCAGAGCAAACACATGCGTCTCATGTTGACCTTCAAAGCCACCTTCAGTATCTCGCATATCCTAGTCGTACGACGCTCTCAGCTGGAAGAATTTCAAACGATGGTTACAAGGGACCAGGGCCGACAGAGGAGGCTGAAGAGTTTTCGCCGGTGCTTTTGGGAGTCATCGACTCTCCGCACGACAGCCTCCCCTGTCAAGCTCTAGACTTCTCCATGCTGAGACTACCAGACACCCGATCATACTCATCCAAGAATCCCAACGAGTTTCAATTTGATGGGCGTACAATAACCATACATGACGCCTCAGAGATCCCATCCACAGAGACAGAGATCATCGCAATCTGTAGCTCTACAGGTCCTTGCCGAGGTGTACTGATTCCTGGTGCGATCAGCCACAGATTCAGCAACTGCACAGCGACTATTTATCAGATCCAAATGCAGAATGCAATTCTTGCGGGAGACTCCGGCTCTGCTGTGGTCAATGCAACAACAGGCGAGTGGTACGGACAGATTGTGCTCGGTTGCCCTGGCACCAATCAAGCTTACTTTAGCTCGGCGGTTGAGATCATGAACGAGAGCAACAGGGCGATGCAACCAGGGCACACCTTTGAATTATATGGCCGCCGCCATTTACTTGCTGCTCCTCAAAAATTGAAAAACGAAACTGATCCTTTGTTATGGCTCGAACGAGTTCAAGAATGGAAAAACGAAACTGATCCTTTGATATGGATCACAGGAAGACCAGGAACGGGCAAAGAAATCCTCGCGCGAAGCTTGCACACCCATCATCTTGATATCCCTCCGCCGGCGACTAATCTCCGTTTTCAAGAGTCGAGATCGTTGCAGAGGGCCTGGGTTTGGACAACACAGTTCACCCGAACAAAAAGGACCAAGCTGTTGAAGCATGCCGGTCCTGCGTCATTCCCATTGGCGCTCTGGGAACCACTTCAGTTACTCGATCAGGCACAGACATCTTATGCGTCAGTGTTATCGACTGGAGCTATGCCCATAACCCAAACAAACGCCACATTTCGACATCCCAACACTCCGATGTATTTCTCACAGGTGCCACTCAATTCTGACCGGAAGCTTTGCACAACATTGGAGTCAACAAGGAGCATACCTTCACTCGGGCTATCACTTTCACAGGGAAAAGAACTCTGGAATGATTCGCGAACGTCGGAGTCGAGCTGGAGCCGAATATTGAATGTCATAGAGGTTCAGCCTACGCAGTCTGCAGACAGAGTGTTTGGCGGTCACATTGATTCAGATCCCATGGTCTTCTATCCCTCAATCATCGTCGTCATATTGCGGCCAGCACTGGATACAAAGACGATATCGAGGCTAGCTCATCTTGCTGATGGCAGACTCACGTGGAGGGACTCCGTTTTGGGAGATTCGGATTCTGAGCGGCACGATCCCCCGCCCTGCTACCAGTCTTCGAGTCGCAGCTTGATCTGCGTGGAACCGTCGAGACTTGGGAGACAGCACATCATTGCGCCACATCGCGTCTTATCCGAACGTTACTTTTACGAGTTGGAGAAGACAGATACCTACGACAAGGCCGCTGTCTACGTCGCAGACACACATTTCAGGCCGATGCTTCCACAAGAAGGACACTATTGCAGTCGAACCCACTCCCGAGATACTGGTCAATCTGGCGATAGGCATTCGCGTCCAAATGAATCCGGAGACTGGATGTGGGGCATCTCGATCGACAAGCACGGGACGATTCATCCCATGGCTGACGGGGATGAAGTTGCTGAACGGGACCATCAGGTCAGGCTGCGTGCCCTCCACGGTGTTCGCGAGATCCCAGAAGTCCCCAGGCGGCTTTTCGAAACTTATCTGGGAGCTGTGGCTCAGGAGTCTTTCCATGGCGAAGTGCACCAAATCCACATACTTGATTCAGAGCTCATGGATGCCTGCGGCAACCTGGGCAAGGCCCCTTCAAACTCTATTTCTGATTGTCCTGCGTACGGGATATGCCTGAACGTGCTGCACAAGTGGTATGTACCTCTTGTGCAGCGCTTTCAAAAGTAGACTTGCGTATCCCGTGCGCAGGCCACATACCACTTGTACAGTGCGTCAGGCGTATCCCGTGCGCAGGACAATCAGAAATTGAGTTTGAAGGTGCCTTACCCAGGTTGGTGTGAGTCAACAAATGATACCCGCGAAGAGTCCGCCTGGCAAAGATCCAAATCCTGTCGCAGCACTTCCTTCAACATGTGTTTCCAGCTTCCAGTTGCTGTTGAGGCATCCGCGAAAAGTATTGGTTTATGAGTTATAAAAGTCCAGATTCAGGCATGGTTTCCTGATGGGAGAGTGCTTGAAGATCCAGTTTGTTATATGGTACTTTCAGGTTACAATTGGCTTATCAAGACTCAACGTCTGTAATCATGTTGGTTGTCGACACAAGCACCATCACCAAGACAGCTTTTTGACATCACTCCATACGGGAAATAAGTGACCGCTGCCCAGGCAATGGCTGCGACCAGGAAGCCCCCCTGTACATCAGCTCGATACCACGGGATCGGCATTTGGGTGCTGGGTCCGGTCTCGATATTATGTTCATGGTCTCAAGAGATCTCCTCGACTCGTGCGATCTCAGTCCTGAAGCGCACGCCAGCTAGGTAGTTAACACGTACAAATTATTATGAATGTCCACTTGCGGCGAGAGTTCATCTACGATTCATAACGAGTGAATATCAAGGAGTAAGAAATATTGTCTCCCCTTGATAAATCAGATCGAAAAAAGCAATGGTGCCAGTAATCAGGCAAGCAAATACTCCATAAAAGTACGTAAAACGGTCAAGAAAGAAAGGAATGAAACTAGGAACTACTTTGCCGCAAGTAGAAGTCGAAAGAAGAGACAAAAAGAAGAAGAAAAAAAAGGAGCAAGGAAAACTACCCCAGTGTTCGTTTCTTTCGACCACCTACGCAGCCTGACTCACCATCGGCGCGGCCACAAATAAAGCCTGCAACTTATTCGCAGTTTTGAGTGGCACGGCACCACTCACACTCTTGGCGTCCCAGCCCATGACTTCAGCCCACGCTGCGACTGCCTGTGCACAGGCCCCCTCGCCCACCCTGGGCTCTTTCCAAAGCGTCTGCACTACAGGTGAACCCCGGTTATGCGGAATAAAGGAGACATTCCGTTCAATCCGCTAAAATGAGGTATCCGCAGTATTGAGGGGAGGTCATTCTTGAGGTATTTCACGCCTATCCAGGCTCTGTATTCTACTGAAAGTACATGCGGATATCTCTCTGCTGTAAGGCTTCAATTGATGAGTTCGTAAGTACCCTTTCCTGCTTATTGAGGTAAGAAATGAGGCCAGTATCACCACCTGATTGCTCCTGGTAAAGGCGCAGTCGGCGGAGGGCCTCTAGGGCCTCAACTATGGTGATTCGTGGCTCAATTTCAAGCTCAGCATTATCGTCGTCGTCGTCGTCGTCGTCGCTATTGCCTGCCGGGGTAAACTGGTCGAGAATCTGCTGGTCAAGGTCGTCGGATTCTTCAGTCAGATTCTCGTCAGCCGGGTTCAGGAAGTTATGGATGTTCATCACCTCCTTGACGTGATGATTAGCCTGAAGCCTCTGCAAGCCGTACGTAATCTCGCGAACGGCTTCTTCATGAGTAGCAGCAATTGCTGCCTCAAGTGTGGCCTGCTGGGGGTCTCTAGGGGCCTCCATGAGGCCTTTCTTGAAGCACTTCGTGATAGTTTCAGGAGTCACATCTAGCTCCCAGGCTTGGATGCCCCATCGCAGAGCCTTTAGTACGTTCATTGTACTAAGAGGGTCTCTACCGGCGTCATATTCCGACAGCATATAGCGTACCCAGTACCGTCGCCAGTGAGATTTCCAGGCTGCAATGATTCCCTGATCAAGAGGCTGTGTTTTGCTTGTAGTATTGGGTGGCAGCCATATGATAGCGGTGTTTTGTAGGGGGGTCGCACTTGTCAGAATAGCTTCATATCCGGCTTCATGAGCAGAGAAGTTATCCATCAGCAAAATGACGCTTTTACCAGCCATTTGGCGGTCGAACCAACGTAGCCATTGCTCAAATATAGTCCCTGTCATCCAGGCCTTCCTATTGTGAGTCCATTCTAGGTTCATATGGCGGATATCGACCCCCGCAGCGGTGAAGGCGCGAGGCCTTTTTGCCTTGCCAATGAACCATATTGGTAAACGGTCAGTACCTGACCAATTACAGCAGAGATGGGCTGAGATCCGGGCCTTCTCCTTTTTGCGGCCTGGAAGGCTGCGCGTCGAAAGAGAGCGATCCGGAATCATCTTCCAGTAAAGACCTGTTTCGTCGCAATTGTAAATGTCATCATGGGAATACTTCGAGAGGATCTGTCGGATTGAGGCCATCTCCTTCTCAGTATTGACGATATTGACACTGCCTAGCTCTCCATGCTGTACGCGTAGTTTTATATCGTGTCGGCTTTGGAAACGATAGAGCCAGCCGTTCGAGAACTGCGGCGGCTTTTGGTCCTTGTATTGAGGCATTTGCGCCCAGAATTGCCGTGCTTTTGCATTAATGACTTCGCCCGTGATAGTAATTGAGCTTTCAGCTTGCTGGCACCACATATATAAGGCGCCTTCGAGGTCGCGGTGAGGGTTATTATTGACCCGCGTCAAGTCGAGGGCGCGTGGCTGCTGTAGTGGCTCGCTTAGGTACGCGAAACGGCTGCCGAGGATGTCGGTAATGGAGGATGTCGAGATAGGCTGGTCGTACTGCTTCAGGAACCATTGCTGTAGCTCGATATGGGAGTCTGTCGGACGGAGACGTCGTCGTTCGCGAAGGGCTAGCTTCTGCGCAGTCGAAATGCGTCGCCGCGACGGCTTCAAGTTGGAGGGTGCGGTGGCGCGGGGTGCCATTTCGGGGGGTCAAAACGCGGTCCAAACGCGCCCCTATTTCACTCGGATTAGCGGATTTAGGTGGTGGCGATGGCCTCGCTTTGTGCGTAATCGATGAACGCGAGGGATTAGCGGAATCGCATGTGTTTTGAAAGGAAACAGCCAGTTCATCCGCAGAAGCGAGGGAATCCGCTTATGTGAGGTCCGCATAACCGGGGTTCACCTGTACTTGATTCATGTAATCACCACCAACCATTCATAAAAGCCACGCCACACAGGGGGCACCATCACCAATAACAAGGGCATGAAGAAAACCCCTATCTTCATGGTCTTTGTTGGCAACACTCTTGTTTTCTCCTACTTCGGCCTAGTCAGCGCAGGTAATGATCCCAATGCACCCCACGTCGTTCGTGCCTCGACCAAGGACCTCAAGACCTTCCGTACCACGATCTTGACCAATGCTCCTTCCCCCAACGGCTACTCGCAGCTGTCTGCCATTGTCAACGGCAGCCCCAAGAATGAAGGGTTGGGCACCGTCGTTCTGACTTATGTCCAAGCTGGGAGCAATCTGCTCGTCAGCTGGGAGGATGATCTCAACAAATATGAGGTTTGACTTTCTCAAAGGAAACGAGTTATAACGACGACTTTGAGGCCGGTTTGGCAGAAGCTTTCGGTCAAGCTGTGTAGTAGGCAAATGGACCAGTGGTTCAATCCTTAACTGTTCTGCGGGAAATGCGACACTGAATAGCATGTCATGAAAATTTTGTTCTCTACTTTGATTCCTCTGGTTGTTTGCGGCAGTCCTGCCCAGAAGTCGATTACTCCAAACTCTTCGTCGTTATGCAGGCATTTATCAATAGAATGCTTGTTTGTGACTCGGGCTTCCTGGATCCCTCCGCCCTCGAGCAAGGTTTCCTTTCGGGTCGCGCGTCAGGATACTGAGCGATGTAGATCCTTTCAATCTAGTTGCCCATAATCACTTGCTAGATCCCCGATTCAATAGCAGATGAAAGCACTTAATTCAATGGCAGAGTGCGTTGTTGTATTTGACTTTTGAGATACAATTGCTTGTTCGAGATTCAGAGCATGCGACCAAGCTGGCTGTTTACACAAACCCTTCCATCACGACAAATTCTCTTCGCCCCGTCGTACAGGGGAGAAAAGTGGCCCCAGTCTGGGCAATCGCCGTGACGCCCACCCAGACTCAAGATCTGAGACTTTCTGGCAAGATCCTCGAGTTCCTCTCCAGCTCCACCAGGTTGCTTGTGCTTTCCCTGCTGCTCGTCTCGAACTCGGTCATCTTGTAGATCTCCCCGCCCTTCCTGTTGGCGCTCTTGGGCTGGCCCGTGCCCCCAATGGTGGGCGGCAAATCCTGCAGAGCAAAGCCAGAGGGCTTGCTCGGGATGCCCGAGTCGCTGCTTCCAGTCCTGTGCGACCGCCATGTATCGCGGCGGAATAGGGCAGTAAGCGCAGGCGCGTTGACGGCGAAAATGGTGATGAGGGCCTCGCGGAAGACCCACACGGACGACTGGGCGGCATTGGGACCGTGGTCGACCGACAATATGCACCGCGCAATGGCCATGGCCATGACGAAAACTCCAAGGGAGAGGAGGAAGGTTATGCCAATTCTGCGCCACGTAGGCATCAGGAGATCCCGCATTGTCTGAATGGGAACCACAATCAGCAACGCGTCGACGAGCACGTTGCCAGTCGCGATTACAATGTTCTGCGTGTAGCCAGCGGAGCACTCGAAACCGGGGTCGGGGAGAATTTGCCAATTTCGATGAAGGGGCAGGCAGTGGGTGAAGGTGGCGATTATGGCGGCAAGCCAGCACGCGATGGAGATGCCGACGATGACGAGCATGTAAGTGTACAACGGTGTCTGGCGCCTGTATATTTTGCATCAGCTTAGATGGCCCCTTTCTTGACAGGCGCGTACTTACGTCAGACGCATGAAGAGGACGATCAGAATAGCTTTGGCACTCCACACGAAGTTGATGAAGATGAAGAATGATGCAAACATGCCTTGTGCACCCTTGGTCATGTCGACCCTCATCTGCGGTGTCAAAGCCTCGCGCTGTTCTTGGGTAAATCCGAGCGGTGCACCGACGATGGCGAGGTATTCCACCATGGCGAACAGGGCGGTCAGCCATACCCAGACTGAGACTGAGAACCAGTCATCCCAGTACCAGGCACGAATGCTTCTCTTCTTGATGCGGACAAACCAGCGCAGAATCAGGATAACAGAGCCGATGATATATTCTGCACGACTTTCGATGATGGCGGGCGGGACTTCAGCCATGGTGAGGACAGGCAAAAGAGACCGTTGTCCGGAACTGGGGCTGGTTGATTCCGGCAATCGCAACGAAGACGGGATGACATGACCAGAATCATGAGATGGTGGTTGGTACCTCTAAATATCGACTTCTTCGGGCTTCATAAGACTGTAACGACAGGCGAACAACACCGATCCGAGCGATCTAAGCAGCGTGTTGCATCATGTTTGTTGGTTCAGCCAGACTGGGAAGTGGCTGCGGATATCACGCAAGGATTCTGTCGCATGTCAAGGGGCAAAAATGTTGGTCACATTTGCAAATTGCAAATTGCTGCGGTACTTGGCTATTCTGCGGGGTCTGATCACCGTGGCCCTCGCATTCTGGCGTTTCTCGCTGCAAGCCAGTCGTGGGACTCTGTAGACTTGAACCATGGTTTTTCTGCGGCGAGTATCCTAAGTGTTCGGACACAGTAGCACAAAGCAATGGACTCGCAGCTGAAGTTCTGAGTGCTACCGTCAGACGACACGGCGCACGCCGCCCTCGTCCAGATGTGGCGCGGGGGAGGGAGGCACGCCGGAGAAAAGGCCAAGACCAAGCGTGCCAAAGCCATTGATTTTCTGTGTGTTTGCAACCAACAACTCCCGGGGTCTGCAGATGTGCAAGGACATGGGACAGGGTCAGGAAACAAGGGTTTCCGTCCCCGGTCGGAGCCGATACGTCAAGGAGCTGGTTGTCCAAGGTAAAGACGGGGACCCCCAGACGCCACCCCGGCCTTGCGAGCCTTCCGGCCCGGGGATCGCTCACCTGAACCTCGGCGATCGGCAGCATTTGGAAGATAAGAGGCTCTTCTAATGTTTGCTGTGCGACAACCCCTAGCCAGCGCCGTAGCAGTGCATAAAAGGTCATCGTTCGGCACCAACATCCCGATTTGCCTCTGTAGTCTTCATAATGATCTCCTGGATAGGCAGTGAACTCTTCCAATACCAGTTAAACTGCAGGTACGCTCGGAGCGAATTTCAACATTAGCGTGCATTAAGAGAGGCATCGGCTCATAAAATTTCGTGCCAAGGGAGAACAAAAGAGGCAAAAGAATCCTTGAAGCTCGCCAACAGCTGTGGAGAACAAGATTCACCATGGCGACAGACGCGGTTAATCTCCTAGACTCGATCGAGCCAGGCCAGTTTGCGAACGATTCCGACCGCTTCGCTGCCAAAGAGGCTGCCCGTCGCCTCCTAGCCCGACTGGAAACCCCCTTTGAGCAGGTTTGGGCACTCACATTCGAGGCGTCTGGCATCATTGCTGGCCTGCAGCTCGTTCAGGATCTCGGCATTTGGGCAAAATGGGCAGAGGCCGACGCGGAAAGCCCCGGTACTTCTCGAACCCTTGATGAACTCCAGAGCTGGGGTAGTTCAAAGTGTGAAACCAACTTGTTGCGACGCTTTCTCAAGCAGATCGCAAGCTTGCACTATCTCGAGGAAGTTGGTCTCGACACATGGAAGGCAACACCCTTCTCCTTGGCTCTAGGCCACCGCGAGTCCTATGGTGCCGATGTCCTTAAGGCCGGGTACGTTGGGCCGCTCATCAGATGCGTTTATCCTCGAAAATTCACAGATTGCTAATTCCTTGCTTGTGTCTTTCCACAGGCTGGATCATGCTTGGCCTTGTGCCATCAACCTTGCCCAATTTTTGGCCAAGTTTGGCTACAAAGAGCCTCTCGACATTCCTTCGTTCGATAACTACCGTGAGGTGTACGGTCACGATTTTTTCAGCTACGTCCAGCAGCATCCCGAAGCAGGCGGCTCGTTTCAGGGCCTCATGACTGCCGTTACTCACTATAAGATGATCTGGACCAATGTTTATGACACAACTGAGCTCGTGGCGGGCGCAGATCTCAGCAAACCTCTATTCGTCGATGTTGGCGGCGCTCAGGGTCTTGACGCCCAGCGCCTCTTGGATAAACACCCCGAGCTTCCCACCGACGTAATCATCGTCGAAGATTTGCCCGACGTGGTCACCACGCACAGCAAGGAGAAGATCGACCCACGCATCCGCAAGATTGCGCACGACTTCTTCCAGCCACAGCCCATCGTGGGAGCCCGGGCATATTTTTTCCACGCCGTGCCGCACGATTGGCCCGATGCCGATGTCGAGCGCATGTTTGCTGAGATCAAGAAGGTCATGACCCCCGGCTACTCGAAGCTCATAGTGTATGAAGTTGTCATGCCGGCCCAGGGCGCCTCTGCTCTTGCGACAACGCTCGATCTTGCTCTCATGAGCTGCACGAGTGGCATCGAGCGCACCGAAGAGGCGTGGAAAAAGCTTTTGAAGACCTGCGGCTTCAAGATTACTGGTGTCTTTCGCCACCCTCGGGCTTTAGAAACTGTCATGGAGGCTGAAATTGAATAAAGCATTGTCTACTGAACGCCGTCGCTGGACCGCCACACGCCTCGGTTAGTTGGCATTCTGGTTCTTAAGGTGATCTTCGCCGGGTAGATATTCGAGCTTACATAGACGGATAGACTTCCATGAGGAATAGGGCCTTCATAAACTGAAGCGAGCGCCCATTGTGCGCCGTTGCACCTAACTAGCTTCCAGCTGAACCACAATCGAGTACCATGAGCTTTATGGATGTGCTTCTACAATCAGATCCGTAGAGGTCCAGCACAGTCATTGTCCATTGCCAGATCGAGTGACCTCGGCAAACACTGTGTTAAAAAGACAATAGGGCTGAACGCGAGTCATTATGGTGATGCCCCGGCAACTGAAAGCGGACTGGAATGGTCGAGGAACCCCGGCACCCAGTGACTTGGTCCATGACATGCCTGCCTGGGAGTTTCAATGACTTCTCGTTCTCCGTCCTAAGCGTACGTGTAATTGACAAGGCTGAGCCGAGACGACCAGTCAGCTGAACATTGCCCATCAGAGTTCATCATGCGCTGCCATTGTCGTGCCATTGTGAAGCAGAGCCAGCACGGGCTCGTCATCTCCCAGCGGCTTGCACCAGATGCGGGGGCACGCTAAGGCACTGTAATTACCCGACTGCACTGCCATTCCTGGCGATTACTGAGTGAGCGCAACCACTCAGGGCTCAGGATCCTTGTAGCGCCGGGCTCTAAATCAACGTTACGTCGGCCCTGGCAAGCAAGCAGTTTGATCCTGTTGGGAGGTAGGTTGCATCATCTTGGCACAACACCCAGTACTGCTGCGCACATTGACTCTTTGACGTGGCAGGCAGCTCCTCTCTTCTCACCTCCTTGTCACGAGAAATCCGCTGCGACGGACGTCGTCTACTCGAGCAATCACGCTTCATTCGTCAGTCGTGCGAAGCCTTCGAAGAAGGAAATTGCCAAAGTAAGCGGTGCTAGGGGGTCGCTCAGTGCTTTCACGGTGATCTGGCCTGCTAATGGATGTGACCAGCAAAGCCTCTGTCTCGATTGATTCTTGGAAGCCGCAGAAAAGCCACGCCGTCAGCATTGTTTCAAGTGCAGCAAAGTCCGCTCGCACGTTAGTAGTATGGCCGCCCACACCCTTTGATTTGTACGGAATGCACATCAGGCTGCAGAAAGCCACTTCTCTTCAAAACTAATCTTAAGCAGACGGCGTTTTCAATCCCATCAATTAATTTGCTTCCGAGTGGAAACCCTTCTTGTGCTGCATCTTCGAGGACTTGGTCGAGCATGGCTGCCGCCAGTCTTGCAACTCTGCCAAACGAGCTGCTCGAGGACATACTCCGGCCTCTTGCAAGGAGTGACCTGAACAGTCTCTGTATCAGCTGCAAAGCACTTCAGAAGCGCATAGAGCCCTTCCTGTACGCAGATGCAGGCAGAATCATAGAAAGGGTTGTGCACCGGTCCATAGGGAACACGGCCATCATCAAGGCCGCCCGACATGGTCCCATCAAGACTGATGCCTGGTGCTTCTCCGCCCTGCGACAACTTATTAGACAAAACCGGTTTGAGAGCTTTCAGATCCTGTGGGACAGGGATTACTGGGACCCCACGTATGTCCAAGGCCGCATGCACGTATTGAAGAACAAACGATCGGGGGATATATGGAGTGGCACGCCAAAGATGTTTGCAGAGGCGTGCCGTCCTGCGTCCCGTCATTTCATGGAGTACATGCTCGAGCACCCTTGCAACAGCGGACACTACATGGGACAGGCCGTCCCCGACATCCTCTTGATCAAAGTGCTACGGCGCGGAGATGCCACAGCCAGCCTGGTCCAGTACTTGCTCGACCACGGCGCGGATCCCCACCGCTGTCAAGCAACGGGAGGCGCCCAGGCCGACCCGCTCGCTCTCGCCATCCAGCACGACCAGATGGACATTTTCGAGCTCTTGCTCGCCCGCGGGGCCAGTATTCACGGGAAGCGCTTCTATCAGAAGGCGGACGGTATCCTGCACATTCCGATATTCACCGCTGCGGTCAAGATGGCCTCCCAAGGACCGCAGGCCGTCCTCAGATGTGTCGACAGCGGATCAATGGTCAACCACGCCGCAGCGGTCATCGCCAGAGGGAGGGCCCAGCGCGGCAACGGGAGCCAAAAGAAGGCTTTTATGCCGCATCCCATCTACGCTTACTTGTACGCCATCGAGGACTGGGACCCCGAAGAGTCGAGTACCATGACTCCTGTTGAGGGGGTCAAGTTCTGGCTTGAGCTCGGCGTCGCGATTGGAAAAGACGCCAGGCCGGTTCAAAATGCCAGGGCAGTGCAAGAACCCGTATCAGCGCAAGAAGGGGAACTAAGTCAGGAGGCTGTGCGGAAGCCATGGGCGCGTCACGACCTCACCGCAAAGTCGCTGGTGTTTTTCTTGATTCAGCAGCGGGGACTCCGCAGGTTTGAGAGTGATGGGTATTTCACGCTTGTCAAGTTCCTCGCTAGCCTCGGGTCCTCGAGAGATGAAGTCCTGGAGCTACGAGATATGTACAACAGGTGTCATCATATGGAGAGCACTGTTGTGAACGATCGTTGGCAGGAGGTGCTTCGGATGCTCGACGTCCCCTACGCGTGATAAGTGGTTGCACTCGATGTGGAGTGTGAAGGCACAGTCAATGACAGGCGATCTCGCGCCATCGCTGCAGAAACGGACATGGACAATGCGGGACACTGGGGATACGGAAGAGTCTTGAGCAAGGTATCAACATAACTGTATGCATGTTGTCTTGGATCAACGCGCTGGGACGAGTGTCATCAAGTCAATACTGATACCGTGTACATCTTGAACATAGGCGAAGTCTTTCCAGCAGCTGCAGCTTAGCTTAGCTCAGGACCACAACTCGAAAGTAGTTGGTGTGAATATGTGTGATATTACCTGTCCTTCCTAGTGTGAGTCGCTCCTTTCTCTCGAAATCCTGGTCGAAATGTACACCGCAGCTGTGGCTGTTGTTGAGATGGGAGCTAATTTTAATTTTGTGCAGACAACATGAAGCACGACGTCACACAAGGATGCGCTTATTCTGAGGTTAAGAGTGGTTGTCATTGAACGAAGGGTGACAAACAGAGGTTATTGTTATATACATGGACCGCGAGAGAGTCTCTACTCTCAGTGCTCAGTTACTCTCACGAGGGGAGAAAGAATACACGACGGTCTAAGACCGACTCCTTCTTTGTATGCTCATCCTTCCCAGGCGAACGGACACTCTTAGTCGAGATTCGTGGTAGTCATACGCGAGGTACTATCTTCTGCCCAGGCCGTGCGAACCAAAACATGACTCAAGCAAAGAGACAGGAAGGCGAGGCAGGCAGCTGTTCCGGCTCACTGTCTTAGCAGCTGCATCCGCAAGAGCCGCAGTCGCCAGGTCCAACGCCGCAATCCTGCTGCTGATTGCACTGCTGGTTGGTGCTGCAGCCGATCCATTCGCCGAAGCCCCCGTTACCGGCAGTCCAGCACTAAGCACACAGGTCAGTATATCTCTCGTAGTCCATCACGGATACAGTAGCGGAGCGACCCGGAGAAAAGAAAAGTAGACGGGATGACATTGCGGATAGAGTCAACTTACCCACTGGCCGGATCCCGTAGCGCCACACTGCTTCCAGCAGTAGCCGTCCGTGCAGCCAAAAGGAGCGTCGTGGTAGCAGTCACGCCGGCCAAGCAGGGCGGTGGCGGAACCCAGGGGGTGCTCCTTGCACTTGCGAATACTGTCGCGGTCGATGTTGTCGGGCAGTCTCATGAGATCCGGCTGGTAAAGGCCGCCGAAGCCGCACTCTGCCTCGTCGGCGGTGGCATTGTCGGCCATGACGGTGACGAAGCCGGTAGTGGCGACGGCAGCGACGGTCTGGAAGATGGTAGAGAACTTCATGTTGGGCTGTGGAGGAGACTTGAAGTGCCTTGGAGTAATTGAGGAAGAATGATCTTGATGGGAAGACTTTGTGAGTTTAGAATTGTGATTGTAGTGTGTGATGCTGAGGTAGAAGAATCGAGTGTCGGATGAGAATCTCGAGGCTCTTTATATCATGTGTTTGTACATGTTGTGGGCCAACCTGCAAGCTTTTGTGTGAGTTGACTGTAATGGCCAGAAGTTTCTATTCCAAGCACCGCCACCACTACATGGCGATGATCGTGAATCCAAGCCAGCCGGAAGGGAAGATCGTCAGTGAAAAACCCTTTACGAGATCGACAGGACCAAAACATCGTCATAGTTGCTCAAGGTTACTGCTTCTCAGATGCCATCCGAGTTCAACGCCGAGCTCGATCGGCATGGTCTCCAACCAGTCGCGTCGACTGAATCTCTGCTCAGGATGGTCTATATGGATAGCCAAGGAGCGCTGCTATCATTGTGGATAACTTCCGTCAAAAGAATTCAAGGGCTGGGGCTGAGCATGAAGATCGCAGGACGTTCTTCACGGTCGATCCATAACGTCGTCCGCTCGCGTTACGTCGGATTCGGGATCCGGGCAAATTGACCCAGCCACCAACGTCGACGGCGACGATCGATCTTCGTGATCCCGGGCAGCTCACTGAAACAGACACAATCACCATGCCTTTCCAGCAGCCAGAAACGTAAAACTACCTCTTTTAGAACCTATTGACAACCTCAAGCTGAACCCCTACCGTGTCTAAATAGTCGTGATGTAATCCTTAAGTACCCTCGCTGCACATTGCACGAGGAAGAGTGGGCTGGTACCGCTTGTGACATCCTCGACATTCCAGGCTGATCGTCTCCACCAGTCCTCCTGCGATCAACGAATGTTTCAATTTACGAACAGAGAATCCGCCGCTGCCTGCCCATCAGCAACAGAGTCTACGAACTGCCTGATGAACGGCTTATGCCAGCCAATAGGGCGTTGCCTTCTTGGGTGTGGTCATCATTCAGCCTCAGCTAATTATGGCCCAACCGTTACAGAAGTGGAGACGCTGATCTGCGTGGATACTCCTCTTGTTTGCGCCCAGAAACGTCCCTCGAGGTTGCCAGAAACACAGAGAGGTTATTGCGCTAGCGGCACCAATGTCGAGTGGTTGCTCCAGGCGTCTAGCACACTGGCAACAAGGTTCAAACAGGGTCACGGACGTGTTGCCGAAGCTCAATTCCCGCGGGGGCTCTACACCAACCAAATTGCACTCTTTAGATCGACGAAGGCATGCCAAGAAAGGTCATTGTAAGGGGAGAATGTTTCGCTTGTTCCCGTTGCCCGCTCGGGTCCGAAATCCGATGGTGCAGTGAAACTCACAGGGGTATGCCTTTCGAAGCAAGTCGTGCAAGCATACGTCACGTCATCTGCGTAACGAGCTGTTACAACCAATCACATAGCACAGCAGAGACAACGTACGTATGTAGTGTGCGCAACGCGCTGACAATGTGGGTTTGTGTCCAAGGATGTGCCTGGGGCCTTGCATGTTGGGGGCCACGGGAGCGGGAGCTAATAACGCCACAGCCACTGCCGCTGCGGGATGTGGGGATGCAAGGGAGCCAGTGTTCATGCCCGATACAGTAATCTGACCAGTTCCAGAAGACGTGCACGCGATGATCGGCACCTCGAGGAGCATCCGGCTGTCACGGCACTGGTGGCAGTAACACGGCCGGGGCGTCTCGTTGCCCTTACGACCTAGCCGCTTCCCCAGATTTTCTAAATTGGTAACGGTCCCGCGCCTGACCCATGCAGAGGCCATCTTTTTCAAGGCACCCTGCAACTGTGGGCTGTGATAGGCATACGTCAGCTCCGCTCACAGCAGGACAAGGCTCTTAAGTTCGATGAGGCAGGCTGGCCTGCAGCTACCTCGAGGTGCGAAGGTTGTGAGATCATCCCGTCTGCCATCGCATTTAGGTGCACCCCCTCCCGAATCCTTCCACAACATGTGTCAAGCGCACCATGGAATCAAAACGGTCTCCAAGAAAATGGCGTACGGAGGCGATGTCGACCGATGCCCAGTCGCTATTTTGAGCCCAGTCTACAGAAAATCCTTGGCGTCATTGTAAGATTCGTCATACATTGCAAGCAGCTCGAGTTGTGCATGAGCGCGCCGAGAAAAGTCCTCCTAGGCACTTGAGGATCAGTGTTCTGTTAGCCAAAAGTTGACACTGAGAGGCTGGCAATGAAGGACAGTAGGATGTGAGCAACTCGTCTTCTTCTAAGTGCCGCAGTCGGCGAACCATGAGAAGCACCTTCAGCAAGAGAAATTGACATTCAGAGCATTCAATTAAGGACTTGGGCCGACGGCTTACAGTGGTGACATGTAGCGTACAACTGAAGGATTTGGTATTCATTCTCTCTCACTAGCATGAGGGGGGCGTCTACATCAAGTGGTGAAGTGACTAATTACTGCTTTGAACGCTCCTCTCGGACCTTGGACAGCAGAGCCTTGAACTCAGCCCTGTCCTCGCCTTTGCTCTCGAGAAGATCCGCAACCTCGGCCAGGCTCTTCCCACTGCGGTCCACAACGTTGATGCTGGCACCGTGGTCGAGCAGGATTCTCGCTGCTCCAACCTGGCCAGCCATGAGCGCACTGTGCAGCGGGTGCTCCCCTGCGAGCTCTCTGGCGTCGTTATCGGGTGCCGCCCCTTTACTGAGAAGATAGCGCATCATTGCGTCGTTGCCTTGCCCGGCAGCCGCTCCAAGGGCACCCGAGTGTTCCAGGCGCGCGCCATGTCCTAGGAACAGGTCGATTGCAGCGGTGTCATCGTAGCGGGTAGCAGCCAGTGCGATAGGGAAGCCGAACGACTCCGGTCGCTTGTTCGGGTCGGCACCTTGTTCGAGGAGATAACGCAGGAACTCGATGGACCTCCGACTCCTGCAGGCCGAGGAGAGAGGCGTCCCTATGCGTTCGAGCCTTCTGTTCGCGAGCGAAGGATCGCGGGCAATGAGCTGCGAGAGGACAGGGATGGATGCCTTGCATGCAGCCGCGTGGACGGTCTCGTCACTGAGTTCCAGTTGCGGAAATTCGTTGAGGAGAAAGTCCACGACTGAAGTGTGACATCCGACAACAGCTGCCTTCAGCAATTCTTGGGCTGTCTCAGGGGGTATGCTTGGCTTGTGTGCTAGAAAATACTCTCGCAAATGTGCGGTGTCGCCCGTGGCAGCTGCGGACTTGAGCTGGTCCTTACTTGGGTTGTTCATTTTTCTTGGAATGATAATGTGATGATATTGATTCTGGATTGAGTATTGAGATGAAAGAAATCGTCTGAATGCTTGGTGGTCCAAACTGTCATGGAGCAAATTGAGAAATTCACGTCTGGCACCTTTTGAAGAGCTTGCGCGATATACTGTAAAGACTTGTGCTACAAGATGGTACCTCGTGTTACCAATCTTGGGTGCATTTTGTGGCATCCAGCGGCCAGTGACAGATCGGTTGCATGACGTCAGACCACATCTATAAAAAGAGTGGTTTCCCACAGTCATTGTCAAGGTGCCACTCAACTCACACGTCTTGGAGTATCTCTAGTACACATGGATTGTGAATGAAGATCTCGGATTTCCATAGTCTAGTCCATGTGAAGCATCCCTGTAAGCGCTCCGCTTGACCTGGCACTTTTCGCCTTGATATAGTATGACCCCTGCATACTGCAGCCGCTCTGATCCTGGATAGTTAGTCCTATTCCACATCGGCGGAGACGAGCTCCGAAATATGGCATACTGTCTCAGAGTTGAAGCAGTATGTCCATTCGCACGAGTAACTCGCCGATCATCGACATATTTCCTGCTACTGCTCGCATCCGATGCTGTACCGATATGTGCGCAGCGGCTTAGAATAGCAACACCGCCTTGGCCGATGTCAATCGCAGGAGCGGATCGATGATGGCAGACCAAAAAAACAGTGGGCAATGTGCTAGCAAGTGCAGAAAGGAATCCTTTGGTGTGCATCATTCCTCGAAATGACGAAGTTGCCTGCTTCGGCAGTCGATTGCTCTATGTTTAGACGACTGAGCGGAAACGGGTCACTGTCTTCTCTCCTTCTCGAGGATGGCTCCTCGCCTACGGGATACGAGGGCAGTGCTAGTTGACGTGCTGCACAGCGCTCACTGCCATACACGGCACGACTGCTTTGCTTTGACTCGAGGCCCCTTGGACTACGTACTCCAGGCTGTCTTTTCGTGGATTCGTGACAACGGGAAAAGTACATAAGGGCATGTCGACCACAAACCATCATCGTCCCTTTATTGTTCAGAATCACACGAGCCCATCACATCCCAGATATCACAACAACCAGAAAGTATTGTGCCTTTCTCCCTCCAAGCACACGTCTGCCCTCCAATCTCTTGCAGTCTCCCCAGTCAACCTAAGACATTATTCACCATGAAGTTCTTCAACACCATCACCCAGGCCCTTCTCTTGGCTCTCCCCCTCGCCATCGAGGCCAGTCCGGTCGACATGGCCAAGGCCATTCGCGCCCGCGCTGCGTACAGAAACCCTCTTTCCCGGCGAGACTGCCCCAGCCAGGACATCATCGACGACTATGTCGCCGCCTGGGGTGGAGTCGGCGACAGCACAGTCTTCTACACGGGCTTCTCGGACGACGCGGACTTCGACGTTGTGGGAGATTTCGCCGGCCAGGTGGGCGGCAAGTGGTACGAGAGCGCCGTCAGCCAGCAGCAGATGGACACCTGGGACGCCGAGTGCACCGACGACGAGGTCCTCGACAATGTCCTGGCCACCCGCGTGTCCGTCGCCATTGCCAAGCTGGCCACGGGCAAGACCTATGTCCTGCTCGGGGAGAAGGCGATCAGCAGCAGCAGCGTCTGGGTCACAGCCGAGTGGCCCATCCTCAAGGACAGGAGCGGCGTCGAGATCATTGCCGTGAATGCGGGCAACACCGCGGAGACGCAGGCCTATGTGGCGCACCAGAACCCCTGGCAGAGTGCCTAGACAGGGCGTGGCAACAAAACAGGTGGTCGTTGTTGCGGGTGGTTGTTGGTCGTGAATATCTGGGATGGCCTGGAGTTCGAGCCAAGCCCCAAAAGGACTTTGTGTCATTCGCATCTGATGAGCTCTTGCAGTCTCGGACATTTCGTGTGTCGTGTAGTTTTGACTGCCTTTTGTCTTTGATTAGTTCTGGTTACGCCCAAGTACCTCATTGTATATATCAGTCACTCGTTACCACCGGGGACGCCCGCATGCATGAAATATAGTGTACATCCGCATCAATTAGTCTTCCTGGCCATCAACGCGATGGTATCTTAGGATTTTGACTGCTTCTCCCATTGTCCATAGCGGCTATATCGATCGGTTACCTGACGGTACAGCCCTTGTGAGGCAATTTGACTTTGGTTGTCGACGACAAGTCTCGTGCCTAAGCCACAGGCGGCGGAAGCTGCAATGATATCTGCAACTCAGCAAACCCGTTGAATTATAGCTGGTTCCAGTTAGATAGGGACCAGCCTCCTTCGTCATTTATGGTGTTATTCTCTCTTTGGGCGGCGCGGGGGAAGCCGACCTGAAACCCATCGGTCATGATCAGTGAGAGAAATCCGCCCAAGTAGCTTTTACAGCAGCGTATACTACCCTCCGGCAAGATGCTTTACATCATATCCATCCAATGACTCGGACTCTCTTCAGCGTCTACGCCGTTGTATTTGATCCCGGAGGATCTCGCTCAGCTTGAACCATGCAGTGTCTGAGCATGCTATCTCGACCCAATCGACGAGCAAATAATGGTCTCTGCTCGTGGCAGTGGTAGCGTCATCCCTATAGACAGGACAAGGCCAAGTCTACGGCATGGATGAGCTGCTTAGGTAATCACGAGAGCTACGTCGACAGGCCCAAAGGAGCACTGGAACGATGGATCACGAAATCACTGGGTGGCCCGGTAAGCTCCATGATGATATGACGGCGGACTGCGAGCAACGTCAACGCCGGTTGGTCGATTGACCCTGGAGACCGGTTCGTGACAAGAAGCGCGGAGTCTTACGCTTCAGAATAATATTGAAGAGAGCGCAGCAGAAGGCCCTCGTTAGACCACACCCAATTCACAGAAGCGGTGTCGTGAAAAATGAGATCCGCGAAGCATAGCACTAAGGGTTCAGTTGTTTATGTATGAATCAAGTCCAAGCCGGCCATGAGAAGAATGATGGAGAATTTCGGTTGTTCATAATGATATTGTACAGTTCCATTGGTAAAATTGCGAGAAAGCACATCAGAACGTAGTCGGAAGAAGCAGGGTTGAAGACTGAATAAACCCCAAGCTGCGCGTAAAAGTCGCCACCCGACTCATCGCCAAGCTGTAAACCCCAATACAGAAAACTCCGAGCAAATGCGGCCAAAAGAGAGTTGTCAGAAGACTTCCAATCGTACAAGAGATGCCATATACCAACGCGTGCCCGCTCACTTTGACGCAGCTGCAGCCGCTGCGGTAGAGAGGATTGGCGAGTTGCGCGCAGCCTCGCGGGCATCACCCCCAGAGGCTCTCCACCATACGTCGGTGCCCCATCGAACCAGGCGCTCCGTTGCACCAGACAGGGTTGCCGCGGGGCGCACGTCGAGGTAGAAGACAGGCTCGCCGGTTGGCTCTGGGGGGCCTTCGTAGTAATCGATCACATAGCGGACCTCTGTTTCCTTTCCGTTGACTGTGCGAGAAACGAACCAGTCGTGACGATCGAAGGGTGGCTCGGTGCTGGTTTGAGAAAGGCTTGTTAGTGTGGCTGTTCGCTAGCAGGTACAGTCCGAGGTCAAAGAAGTGAAAAACTCACCCGAAAGCACTTGGGTAGATCCATCCCATGACCTGCATCATTGTGGCCTTGGGCGTCATATCCTTTGGTCTTCCCTGGAAGCGCATCAGGCTTGGCTGCAGATCCTCAAGCTGCTTCTCCACGCCATACTGCTTGGCAGCTGTCTCGAGTCCCTGTTCTCCGTGGCTGCAGAGCTTTACGCCTTGCCAGATGCCACCGGCAAAGCGCTTCTCGTGCTCCATGATCTCGGCCCACGCACCCTCGTTCAGAAAGTTGTGCACGCCAACCATGCTCTCGACGGCCGTGATGTCGGTATCGGTATAGCCTTTGCGGAGCAGAGCGTTGTACATCTGCTGAGGCGAAGGGTATTCCCAGTTTCCTGTGCCGTCGCCCCGAGGAATCGTGGAGGGCTCGCGCTCGGTGGGCAGGGTGTGAGTCTGGTCGGGGGCGGGGGCCTGGGAGATCTCCTTGAACATGTAGTTGAGCGGGTTCAGCTTCGATAGCATGGACTCTGACTGGGTGTCGGATGCGGTAGCAGCAGCCTTCCTTGACTCGTGAGGGACGGGACATGCAGAGATGGGCTCGGCCGTGTTGCTGTGCTTGACAGGGCAGGCGGCGGGAGCAGCAGTCAGCGCGTCGGCGCTCTTCTGATGCTTGTGCATGGGACAGCCGGGCTGAGGAGCGTTAGTCGTGATTCCCAGTGTGACGGGCAGGGCTCGAGATGATGCTCACCGGAGGAGTGAGGCCAGCCATGTTCTTGCCGCCGTGAGGCGACGCAGAGGGCGTGGTGGCCGTGGTCGAGTCTGCCCAAAACCAACCCATCGTGTGTTGTGTGTTTCTGGCGTGTGGCTAGTGCTCTGTTGGCGGCGTCAAGGATGAGGAGTGATGAGGGTTGGGTGTGTCGTTGTTCTGCGCTTTGAGATCGGTGGAGGGTCACGGTGGGTGAGGCCCAAAAGTTGTCGCAATGTCGATGATGGGCTCCAGATTGTTTGCCCCCCCACAGTCCCGGCCTGGCTGATTACGACACTCGAAAGATTGATTGGCAATCGATAGACTCGGAGACAGCCGGATGGGCTCCCGCAGCGCGCCGCGCAGTGGCAGACGGCGGTACTCGGGGCAAAGTGGAGAGCCCGGCTAGCAACCAAAGGGACTGGCTGCCCGGCTGGCGGGCACCTCGTCGCATCTGATCTGATCCTCGACGTCACCGTGACAGGTGGGTCTGCACTCAAAGTGGCAGAGACCTGGCCGCTGCCGAGGCTCCCGCCCTGCAACCACCACAAACAACAAGCATCACCAGCATCCTCCCGCCTGCCGCAACCCTTCTCTCGCATAGAGCCTGTCCTCCCTCTCTCGCAATTCACAATGTCCACTGCGCCGCCGTTTCTAGACTCCTAGACCACCCTCTAATTGCGCCATGCCCTCTCCTCTCGTTCGACCTACCGACCCCTCGACATCATAACCAACACCTGCCGCCATGAGGGCAGCTATCCTGCTCGGCCGGTGTTGTGCGCGGCAGGCTCCATCTCACATATCTCTGCATCCCACGGCCACGATACAAGGCGCTTCGTCACGCCTCTTCTCGAGCCATCCTGCTTTCCGCGCGTCCTTTCGGTCCAGCGCTCGTCGGTCCACTAATGGCGCCTATCGGACACACCAGAGCTCCAGCCATGGCTCGTCCCAATCTTCGAGGCACAGCAGGGTGTTGCTAGCGACAGCGGCCAACGGCGCTCTGGGCACCGCGGCCTTTGTCAAGCTCTCCGAAAAAGACAACAGCGGCACAGAACAGACGAGCGAGGGACGCATGCTCCAGGCATCCCGGGCCGAGCTCAAGAAATCAGTACCAGACGATGAAAGAGGCCCCAAGCGTGCCGGACACAAGATATTCTTATTGCTTGATGTATACATATGGGAGCCGCTGTGTACGGGATTCAGATTCCTGCAGCTGGTGGTGATCTTCGTTCCTGTCATCCTGGCCGTACCCGCGGTCTGGATTGGGCCGCGGCAGCCCCAGTTCGACAATGAACGATCCGGTACATTGTGGTGGTTCGGTTTCTTGGTGCGGAGCATGGAGTGGGCAGGACCTGCCTTCATCAAGGTGAGTTGCATCCGAGGCCATGATGGACCTGGTTCACGTTTCTGGCCCACCACTCGAGACTGACGACTGTGACGTAGCTTGGCCAATGGGCCGCATCTCGAACCGACATCTTCCCAACCCAAATGTGCGAGACAATGTCGCGCTTACACTCGCAAGCCCCGGCACACTCAATGCGGCAAACGAGGCGCATAGTCCAGAACGCCTTCGATGGTCGCGAGTTTGAAGACGTCTTTGAAGAGTTCGACGAGAAACCCCTTGGGGTCGGAGCTATCGCGCAGGTGTACAAGGCGAAGCTGAAGCCTGACCTTGCCGTTCCTGGTGATGTCGATGTCGAGGATAAGAAGAGCAACATTCGCCAGAATGTGCGCCGCAATGTCGACACAGTACTCAAGAGCAGCCCGAAACGTGTGCCATCTAGCTATGTCGCGATCAAAGTCTTGCATCCCGGAGTGGAGAGGACAGTCCGCCGCGACCTTCGGATCATGTGGTTCTTTGCCAGCGTACTCAATGCAATTCCCACGATAGAATGGCTGTCGTTGCCAGACGAGGTTGCACAATTTGGAGAGATGATGAAGTTACAGCTCGACCTACGCATAGAAGCTGCAAACCTGGCAAAGTTCCGGAAGAACTTCAAAGACAGGTCAACTGCATGGTTTCCCTTCCCTTACCTGGACTTTACTACTCGAGAGGTCCTGATAGAAGAGTTTGCCCAGGGCATGCCACTTGCTGATTTCCTTGAGAACGGCGCGGGCGTGTATCAGCGCGACATTGCGCAGGAAGGTCTGGACGCGTTCCTGCGCATGCTACTGCTCGACAACTTTGTGCACGCAGATTTACATCCTGGCAACATCATGGTCCGCTTCTACCAGGCAGACCAGCCACACTTGCCGGCATTTGCTCAGAAGCAGCAATCGGTAAATCCTGACGAGCGAACCGACGTTACCGAGCAGGTGCTGGCGCGTCTGAGGCCATACAGGAAGCGACACAACAAGGAGGCATGGGAGGCGGAGCTGCGCAAGATCGACGCAGAAGGGTACAGACCGCAACTGATCTTCATCGACACTGGCTTGGTGACGGAGCTGAATGCCACGAACCGTGCCAATTTCCTCGATCTCTTCCGTGCTGTAGCCGAGTTTGATGGCTACAAGGCCGGAAAGCTGATGTGCGAACGATGCCGGCAGCCAGATGCCGTGATCGACAAGGAGGTCTTTGCGCTCAAGATGCAGCACCTTGTCCTCGGCGTCAAGAGTCAGACGCTGGCTCTGGGCAACATGAAGATTGGCGACATCCTGCAGCAGGTACTCGACATGGTCCGGAGCCACCATGTACGCATCGAAGGCGACTTTGTCAACGTCGTGGTGAGCATCCTCCTGCTCGAGGGGATCGGCCGCGTCCTCGACCCGAATGTGGACCTCCTCAGCAGCTCCCTGCCGATCCTACGACAGCTTGGCGCCCAGAGCGGTGCACAGATGATGAAGGGCGGAGACTTCCACATGTTCTTTGTCTGGGCCGGCTTGGAGGCGCGTAGGTTCATGCAAGCGAGTTTCGAAGATGTGAGTAACCTTCACTGCAATCTTATCCTGAAGCATCCAACTGACTGAGCTCTTCCCCAAAGGTTGAGAACTGCGTTAAGTACGATTTGCTAGCGCCAAACATTTGACGTATGATAGAAGTCATTGTACACTACCCTTTATCACCCATCATTTTGCCTGCTTCTTTCCGTCACCAACCCTTAGCTGGGAGTATTCGCAGTTCTGCGCAAACAACTATAGAGCTGTTTTGAAAATGCGCCAACCAACATCCATAGAGGTCATTGCAAGCCACTCCATAGAGCTAGATCACACATGACACAACTCTGCGACGCAAGATCCCTGGTGAACATCCATTTCAACATGCAAGACGTGAGAATTCAGAACCCATCCATTGGCCCAGAACGCCGCCTGGTCTGGTCATACAAGGAGGAGAATCTCCAGGGCTTCCTGCCCAATCCAAACAAGCGTACACACTAGGCCTGGCGGCGGCGGCCGGGGCCAGGGTTTGTACACAGGACTGCGCATATCCCGCCAGGCGCAGCGGCGGTGTAGAATGAGCTTCAAGGGAAGACGGGCAACAATTCAGATCATGCAGTGTTTGAGTGCTGGCCAGTCAGCTTCGGGTTTCAGAGTGACCGCCTTTGATCAACTGGGGCCGTGATCCCGGCATTCTCGACTTCGTCGGCGGGTACAAGGCTGGGGACAAGCACCAACCAGTCGAGAGAAGTCCAGTGGTTGATGATGGCGGCGGTTGGCGGCCGGCGGCCGGCGCTGCGTGCTGGCGCTATCTCCACTGTGATGCTGCGCCAAGTGCAAAGTGCTGCGCATGGGTTAGGGCTCGGGAGCGGGGACCTAGAGGTAAGAGTTGAGACGCTCGTTACAATTCAGCAATAACAAAGCAACCCAGGTACTCGTTTCAATGGCAAGACAAATATTGAGTGCCCTTGCTATTCAGGTTTATGCTATTAATTACTTGCAATTACCGCTGTTCCGGGCCATGTTGCAAGACACGCGGGGCCGGCCGGGCTGGAATCATCCGTGCCGGTCCAAATTTCCGTTCCGCCTGTGTGTGGATTAATTATCGTGCCATGCCAGTCGGGATGGGGGAACGAAACAGATGGGTTGGCACGGTGGTTGGTTCGCAATCATCCCTGTCTGGCGGAAGGCCGCCAGCTGTGCTTGTGCCCAATCTGGGCCCGTCCCCTCTCCCAGAGTGCGCGCGCGAACCTGGTTCATGCATCGTCATGTTAAAAGAGGGGAGGCCCATGTCGGGTCCCATGATTTTTTTTTGTTCGCGCCCACCCGCCCCGGAAAAACTCGCTGAGGGTGATTGATGATGATGATGCTGTGCAGTCCGCTCGCGGACGTGGTATTTCCGCTGGTCAACACTGTCGCGTTCCGATTTAATTACCAGCCGGTTTGGATTCGGAGCTGTGCGCATGTATCCCTAATTTGGAGACAGCATATCCCGTGGCCATTTCCTGGTTGAGGTTACCGTTACGTCAACCCGCGGGATTCCTGCCGCCCCAACGGGGGGAAGGCTGATGGCGCTTGTCAGATGATGCCAGCAAAAAGTTGCCAATTCGTTCCGTCCCTTCCCTCAACAGTATCCCTGCTCAACCTCCCTGGTCAAGCCCTCGCGCTACGCAACGGCTACCCTGCCCTTGCACGGCTGCACTTGTCATGGTTGCGGATGATGCTAAACCCACCTTGTCTGCACGATCCTAGTGCCAGCCTGGCCGAGCCGGGGCGCTTCATTGGATTGACGAGGTTTTGGTCCGCTTTCACCGCCAGAAGTCGTCGCGAGGGTCGCAGGGAGAGGCTCGCTGAAATCGGGGATTCTCACCAGCCGGCCAGACCGCAGCAAAGACTGGAACTAACGACTAGATGTGCTAAGATAGCGTCGCGAGAGGGGGTTTAGATCGTATCTTTCCCCCAGGGGTCCTAGCAAGGCGGAGGCGGAGAATGAGGTGGTGGGAGGCGAAGAAAAAACCAGGTTCTGGCCCCAGACCCTGTCCTCACCACCAACGACAACAAAACCAACGCTATCTGCCCATGTTTGACTGTATGGGTTTTTTGTCTGAGCGCGATACTCTTTTCTTCCCGCGACTATCATCACTGTTCTGTTGTTTTTGGGGGTTTCCCCTTTATGCTGCCTTCCGAGTTTGATTGCCTGGTCAAGGGTGTGAGAGAAGGGTACTTTATCCAAAAAAGCGGGCGGCGCTCAATCACGGCAGGGACTCCATAAACAATCTCGCCTCGAAGCGAAGCAACACTGGACTGTGCGAAGACGCTCGACAGTCTACAACAACGTCCTAGGGGGACCCCGGAATAGGGAGCATTGGCAGGTAAGCATCAATCTCAAAACAGTCCAAGGATTCAATCCCGTGGATGTGGTCCGTTCCCTTTGGCGGGTGCAATCCCCGTCGCGGCTGGTTGTTCCAGCCGCATGGGATTGAGTAATGTTACATCACCCTGTGATCTGTTCTTTTTCGAGTGTGCTCCTGCATCCTTCCTTTCGCGACGTCAAGACAATAATCACGACCAGCTGTGCTGACGCTAGGCAGTAGACGACGTCGACGACAGATATAATTCAGCATTCGAATTCAGGCGGCATAGGAGTGGAGCGTTGCGGACTTTTGGCACAGTACACAGCCAGACATCGACAATCTTTGGTACCGGAGCAACGGACACCCAGCATAGTTTTGGGGAAGCCCGCCTGCACGAAAAGCACAAAGCGTCAAGAACCATCAAATTACCACGGCAGAGACAAGACGTCTGCCACAAGCAGCAGAAGACGCGGTAACAAGTCCACTCCCTCACTCCACTGAGCAGAGGCGGCTCTCCACCACGCAGCACGGGCAACGATCCACAACAGCACACCGCAACAACTACCCCAATAACAAAAACAGCCGCACGATTCCAAGATAGTACCCCGTCAACAACATCGATCAGCCACCACAATGGAGTTCTTCAAGGATGCCCTTGCCCTGGACCACGGCGCGTCTCTGAAGGCCCTCTTCACTGGCGTCATCCCTTCACTTTCATCCTCGTCAGCCTCACTGCTGTCCTCCACGTCCACCACAGCATCCCACTTCGACCTGGACTCGGCGACGCTCGACAAGGTGTGGATAGCGATACTGGGCATCGAGGCCGTCATGATTGCCGGGCTGGTGCTTGCCAGAGTGTTCCACCAGTGCTTCCGCAAGCAGAGGCACCTCGAGATGTACCTGTAAGGAGGATGGCATTGGAAGCCATGGCAAGAAACAACACGAGCACTTGGGCGGCGGGGCAAACCTATCTTGTCCTGACATGCAACATCTGCTGCCACCGACCCTGCCTCTAGGCCTCAATGGCTAGGCTGCGAAACCAGACATTTCAGTATTCACCCAGAGACACAAAACTACACCACGGAACATATTACCGACGGCGGCGACGAAAGCCCACGACTCTATACGATCAGCATATGAAACGAATAGCACGCATGCAACGATGACCACAAACTACCAAAAGCCAACGCATCTCTCCACGAGACACATCTTTTCTTCAGCCAACGCATATCTACATTGTTGTAATTGCGCGTCACCGCGCCCCCTTCTTCTTCTTTCTCTGCTCTGAACTTCGGTTCTGCATTTTCAAGACATACATGTTTTCAGGCGCATGGGCGATGCATTTTCCCAGATCAGATACCCAGCATGGGCGTTCTTCCATCTCCTCATTTTGAGAGTCTAGTCACTTGTCCTTTCATAGCTTATTCTGCATAATGACACAGCTCATTCTGAATCCTCACTTGCAGACCCATTGTTCTCCGCGCTGAATTGGTCCCGTTACGTGCAAGGAGGCTAGTGGACATGTGTTTGCTGGTCGACCGGCACTGCCTCGAGCTCAGCCCATAACTTAGTCTTCCAAGAAACCCGGGCAACCAAACCAGACCGCGGCCGTCCCACCACCACCAAGTCACATTCCGGACCCCTCTCTTCACTTGTGCATAACATGGCGAGAACATCATCCATTCTGTCAAGATATCTACCCAACTAGAGCTCATTCTCCACGCTTTCTAGTGCGCACGTCGACACTGCTGCGACTCAAGCCTGGACCGCTTGAAAATTCCACTTGCGTCAATGTGAGGGCCTGGTGATTTTCGCACCAAGCATACAGCTACCGCAACACTATCTCACAATATTCACACATGCCACAATACCCACGGTGGTGTCTCTGCTTTCGTCGCCGAGATCATCGCCGGGGCTTTTCAACCCTTCTCAGGCTGTCCCAGGAGGTCACCTTAAAACTGAAACTTGAACGGCACAGCCCGCATGACAAAAACATCATCTCCTGCAGCAGGGATTAGCAACGATAATCATTCCACCTGTTTAGCTCCCGCGTGGCGACAGCACACACCATGAGCGGCCCTCTCTGGAGCCAGAACGATGTTGTGGACTTTGGGGCCAGTCTCGTCGAGCGAGCAGTCCGGTTCCCCGGCAGATCAGACACGGTGACATACCTCCAGAGCATAAGTAGGCAGCCATTATTGACTACCTCGACATCCAAAACGTGGGACACTATCAATGACCACAACTGACCATGCACATATCTCTAGGACTTGTGCTCTGGTTTATGAATGAGAACGGCAGGTGGCCGACAATGGCCGACCTCAAAGTGCTACCACACCACGACCACTTGCAGCTCTTTTGTGCGTGTACATGCGCCATAGCCTGGCTTTGCTCGGCTGGGTACTACAAGATGACTTCCTCACAGCTCACTGCGGTGCGACCATACGTACTGCAGACAGAAGATCTCACGGCGGCATGGGTTAGCCAGTTGCCCAACGTCCCGACTCTATCGACTGGTATCACCGGCAATGCAGCAGCAGCAGCTGCTGCTGCTTCAGGCGGCAACAATCGGCACAGCCAGATTCACCAGCAATACGACACCACTAACAGCATGACCTTGCCCGTCAGTCAGGCAACAGGAGCAGGAACAGTCCCTGCGTCTTCTTAGAACGAAGGCGGCGGTGACTCCCCCAAGTTCCCAAGCAGCGCATACCGCGGCATCGGCCTGCGCGGACCGCCCCCCGCGGCAGGCAGTGAGAGTCCCATGATCGTCCGCGGCCATGCTGCCGGCTCAGAGGGCACGATGCTCCTCGACGACCCGTTCAGCGATGGTCCCGAGCCGCCCCGGACTCCGCGCATGCCACGCTTTGCGTTCCCCGAGGACGACGGCCCCGTGGTCATAGACCTCACCCAGGACGACGATCCCATGCTTTCTGGAAGAAACGAGGAGCACATGCGCGAGGAATTTCCCCACAGCACTGCTGACGCCCTGGCTCTTGATGAAGGGGTGTACTGGCCCTCGATGCTGGATACTTCTGTCGTCAGCACCGAGACCGGAGATGGTCAACCGTACCTCTGGTACGGCGACCAGCTGTTCTTCGCCGTCGATGGAGCGGTGGACTTTGGCTCTTCCATGTCTGCCAGTACAAACGAAACAAGCTTGTCAGAGACTTTCACCGTGGCAGCCTACCACGACGGCCAGCACGATCATCATCAGCAACAGCAGCAGCAGCAGCAGCAGCAGCCTACAGCCGTTACGTCGCTCGTCCCGGCCACATGTCCCGCCGCCGACACGCCGAGCAGCACGCACGCGCCCACTCCGGCAGATGATGATGAGAGCGTTGGATCTCCGCGGGTTGCCGCCTCGGTCGGCGTGCTGCACGTCCACAGCGGCGACGCCACAATCATCGACGTAACCCCGAGGTCTCACGGACAGAATTCTGGCGACAGTCAAGTCCAGGTTCTGCAAGACGCGAGCGGCCCTGGCACAGCTGAGCTCGAGGGTTCGGGCGAGCAGCTGGGCGGACAGTCTTGGCAGGGTCAGGCGTTCCGGATCTGCCCCACGCTTCAGGGCCTGACACCTCTGCCGCATGAGGGTTGAGGTTGTATCAGGAAGTAACGGGTTCACCAGAGTCGTCAAGGAATGAGGAGAAACTGAGGCTGGATGCAGGACTTTGAGATGTCGATTGCCTCCAGTGTGAAGAAGAGCAACTTCAAGGAGCTGGTACCCGATGACTCATGCATGAGCATGAAGAAAGCGGAACTACGTGACATCGTGCGGCAGAGATTGTTCTTGGGACTTTGTTTATGATCATGTAAAGTGCCGTCGTGGCAAAGAATCTCGTATTGAATGGTGGGTTCTGCGAGAAACATGGCATGCCTGGAAAGACATGTTCTTGTCGTGCGGTTCAACTGCGCTCTTGTAAATTCAGCCAATGTTACCACGAAAGTATGACCATAGTTTTTCTTGTAAGCAGCAGTCTCCTTGTCGGATCACGCGCGCGCAAAGAATATGGTCAGCGTAATGCTCCTTCCTTTTCATCTGCGCGGTGCTCTGATTTTACTGATTTGTGAGTGGTACAAATATGTGAATGGCAAGTGCTCCGAGCCAAGACATTCGAAAATCTTCTATTCTAATAGCGCCTTATGCCCGCCTAGGAGCCATTTCCCACAAAAGCGTCTTTCACTTTCTGTTCCATTTTCCCCAAGAATAGCTTTTCCCGACGTTTGGCTGGCCCGATGCGAAGCACTCATCACAGCGCCAACATGTCTGAAGGCTGCTCGGCTGTCGCGTTTTGGCGGAACGTTGACGGGAAGGCGACAATCGACATATGAGGCCTGAAGAATTCGCTCAAGCCTAAATATGACTTGGCAAGCAGTCAATGGAAATTGAATCTACGCACGAATATCCTCTGTTGATTACGATCCCTCCCTGCTGGCCTATGCGTTTGTCATAGATGCAATTAGTAGCAAAATCGACTGTTGGCAAGACCAGCAAAAAGCATCAAAGGAAGCCGCGAAAAGTGAGGTCGTGACAACTGAAGCAGCAAGAAAATTGAGAGGGCAAAAGTGAAAGACAGCTGTTTTCAAAGCAGCGGCTTCATGGAAGCAAAAGGCAAAAGAAGAAGATCTTGGACGTTATGGGAATTGAACCCATGACCTTTCACATCTGCACAACATCTTGTGTTGTTGTTGCGAAGCGAAAATCATACCCCTAGACCAAACGCCCCTGATTGTTGATAAGCATTCTCTTATACGATGTCAATACCACGTTCAAACGATCGATGAAAGAGGATGGTAGCTACGTTGCGAGTTTCCTGAAAGTAGAAGTCCTCATTTCAAGTTCTCAATCTTTAAGAGTCACGAACCCATGATCCTCTTTCAAGCCTAGTTACGGACCCCTTTTCAGAAGCTTTCCATCGCACTTTTCCCTTCCATGAGTTCTTGGCAGATCCCATTTTCGTTGTGCGCAAAACATCTTGAACTCTCTACCGTGCGGTCCTGCGGGAACTTGAGAGGCAGTCATGCCCCATCAGTGCTCAATATGCCCCGCTGAAGCTCTTGCTGCGTCAACGAAAACAGTCCACATCTGCGCAGAGACCGCTCACATGCCCGTCAACCCATCCTCGTGCATGACGACTCCATGCTCAAAGCCTCACCCGAGCCCGTCAACTGTCATCAGTCAGGACTGTCGGCGTATCATAAGCCAATCACGCACGACGGGTTTGCAATCCCCAAGGCGTCACCGGCGCGCCGCGCTACCTTCATCCAGCTTGGGCGCCGGCTAGGCCCCTCCCTGTTCTCCGCAGCGGGAGGAGACCGAAAAGAGATGGTGTGTAGCCGTCACGATCGTTGGCGTCACCACAGACAGGGCATTCGGCATGGCAAGCCTGACCCTTGTCCAGTATCCGCGTTGTGCAAATTATTACAAACGGTAGAAATGTGTCTAGACACGGAGCCTTGGAATAAACTAAGGAACACCAGACGTTGTGATGATTCACTCACGTCTTCTTGCATGCTGTGAATACACTGAGCTTGTAACGTGGTCCTGAGTGTACATGCTCTGGCTGCAAGAGACCGCGCCAACTTTCCGCATCCCAACTTTCCCATGTACAATCCCGCTTCATTCGGCCCCCCCTTTGCGCCTGTTCTCGATTTTTAGTTCCCGCCGTCGTGGGACCAGGCTAGCTCACTGAGCCACTTACCTTTTGCTCTCTTTTTTGGGCCTTCTTTTCCTTGCGATATACTACTGTAGTTAGGGTGCTCTTCCAAGTGCCCTCGGGTGCGGCCAGACGCACAAGCTCCGCCTCACGTCATCTATGCTCGCGAGCATCTCCATCTTCATGCATGTCCTAGGTGTCCAGCCAAGCTGCCTGCGGTGATCCCCACGTGCCATCGCCGACACCTCAAAAGTAGTCGTCTAGTGCTTAGCAATGCCCAATTCCCTCGTCTGTGTATGGCTCGTCTTCCACTCCTCCATCGTTCTAAACTCGATCGCCTTACCAACTCCCTCCTCGTGAGTGGTCAGTCAGCTTCCCTCCCCCACGTCTGCCCCCCTGTTTGAACCCGCAAGGTCTCTCTGGCTCCTTCTCTCTCTCTCGCGCGACTCCACGCGCGGCCGGATGTGTGCAGCATCGACGTTGTTTCGCCGAGCCCTGTGGATCCCAGGGGCGCTGTTGTGTGTGATGCGCGCGTGCGCGTGCCGTGGTCGTCAGAGCGGAGGTGTTCATGTGAGACCCCCTTGGATGCGACCTTGATTACTTCCCAGAGTTCCTGTTGGTCGCTCGCAGGTTCGCGTGAGGTACTTGTCCACGAAGTACCGGCTCTCTTGCTCTCCTCCTCCTTCTGGTAAGTAAGTCGTTCCGTCCACTCGAGCTTCCAAGCTAGGGGTCCCCCCGCCTCGACGCAACATGCGAAGGAGGACCACTCTTTCACTTTCAGCACACCACCATCGGGCGCTTGTGGAATATGGAAGGCTTCCATGCCTGGCTGCCTGCCTGTGTCCGCCCTGTCATGCGCACTTGATGCAGCCACCGCACATCCCTTCCCCCTCCCTCGTGGCATGCTGATCAGGGTTCCCGGTTTTGCTTCTCACAGGTTTGGTAATCCGGGACTTGTGACTGGTCCTGCTTGATTCTTGAGACCTCAGCTCTCCGACCATGTTGGATCCCTCATGTTTGATGATTGGATGATCTTGGCGTTATTCGTCATTGGTCGCTTGGTCGCTCCTCTGTGATGTGATTGGGTCGTCGTATGTGTTAAATCCATGGCAGCATGTTGGACAGAGGGGTTCGCATTGTTGGCATTAACATGTGGCACTCAGCAGATGCGGTAGTCACGGCTTTGCCCTTGTTCGAGCCATGACTCTCTGCATGTCACTTGGTCTTACAGCGGTCATGTGCGCTGTGGTGCAAGCTGGGTGATCGTTCTGTGATGGAAGGTCGCCGTGTTTGAAGTCTCACAGGGGAATCGCGGCTCATGATAAGACATGGGCAAAGTAGACAGGTCAAGAACTGCGGAAGGGAATCGTGAGCAATCTCAGCGGCTCTGACAGTTTGCAGATGGGGACTGGTAAATGATATCATTAAACAATAGCCACAATCGCTTTTCCATTTTTTAACCACACCCGGTCTATATGTCTAAACAACAATCATGTACAACAATGGGGGTATTGCGCTATGATACGTGCATGGAGTCAAACTTTTCGATCAGAGCATCGCTCTTTCCCTGGGTGCGAGGCCAAACATGGCGTCGACAACCTCGCCGGACCGGACAGCCAGGATGGACAACAGAGTATCGCTCAACTAGAGAATCTGGTCAGTGTCATTCTCTTTAGAGACAAGAAAGGAGAGGAGCACCAAGGTACAGAACAAAAAAAGACTTACTCCGTGCGACCCCTCGTTCGTGCCTTGCAGGTACATTCCTGATCCTTGCGCGACCTTGCCAGGGGCAAACTTGACCGCGTACTCACGAGTCACCCGAAGGTCGCGGCTGCCCACCTTGGGGTTGAACTTGTAGTCCATAGCTTTGCCGGCTGGGGTCTGAGCCGATCCCTCGGACTCTGGCAGCAGTGACTCGATCTGCTCGATCATGCCGAGGTGCCCATTCCTCTGATACCCAGTGGCGGAGATGACGAGGTCCACATCGAGATACTCCTGCGTGGCATGAACCGACCCGGTCGGGCGAATGGCGAGCCGCACTTTGTCATCACCCAGAGGTGTGCAAGAGACGAGGTCGGTGTTCCCACGGATGCGGTGGGGCCACTGCTTCTCGTCGGCGCCAAGTTCCCTCCGCTGGTCGTACATCTTCTCGAAGAGGTGCTCGATCAGGTCAAGGCGCACGACGCTATAGTTTGTGGCGCGTGCCCCTGTGATGACCTGACGCCGGAGCTGCTCAGGGCGTTGGTACAAGTCGTCGACATAATCGGGATTGAAGATAGAGTTTACACTGTGGGGGTGACCGAGTTAGTGATGGACTGACTCGAAATGGCAAGCTCCGCAGGCAAAGGGGGAATCATGCATTGACTTACAATGGAGAGTCATCACTAGGCTTGAGGAATTCAGCACGCATCACCAAGGATGTGCTCGAGTTAGGGTAGAGGTTCTGGATGTTGTTGAAGATCTCGGCAGCGCTCTGTCCGCCGCCGAGGACAGCCACGCGATAGGGCGCATTTGGCTTGTTGAGTATCTTGGGCACCAGTGTCGCGTATTGCGAGGAATGGATCACTCTTGGGTGCTTCTGCGGGAGCTGCTTCGGGAAGGACGGTTGTCCGCCGATGGCGATGAGAACATTGCGTGCACGACACTTTGTAATGACGCCAGACTTGCCGCTCCTCGAGGTGACTGTAAACGTGGATACCTTGTCGGCCGAGCCCTCGTTGTCGGGAGAGACAGCCAGCACTTCTGAGCCGTAGTCGACAACGTCGTCGAAGTGGCTGGAGCACCATCTCAGGTAATCCTCAAATTCGGACCGTGCCGGGGTAAATGTGCTCAGGTTGGTGAAGTCGGCAAGCCGCTCGTTCTGGTGAAGGTAGTTGACGAATGTGAAGTGAGACCTCGGGTCGCGGAAGGTAGCCATGTCCTTCATGAAGGAGATCTGCATCTTGGCGCCGGGTAGGAGCATGCCTGCGTGCCACGCAAACCGCGGCTGCTTCTCGAGGAAGCGCACCTTGGGCAAGGGCCCGCCATCTCGGCCTCCCAGACGGCCCGCCTGGATGTTGTCGTTGAGAGCGACGGCGACTGCAAGACTCGCAGGGCCAAAACCAACACAGACTAAATCGTGGACTTCTTCGCTTGGAAAACGGCGCAGGTGAGAGGTGCGCTTTGGCGTGGTGCCATTGCTGTGTCTCGGTGCCTGCTTCTGGTGGGAGAAGCCCGAGTAAGCGTCACCACTATCGGAGGAGCTATCTGAAAAGCTGTGGGGTGCCATGGCGGATGTAGGAGGGGTAGCAGGGCGAGCTCGTGTAAGTGAGTGGTGGTGGCAATAATAGAATATGCCTGGGAGCGCACCACAGAGTGGGATGGAGCTCAGCTAACGGCCAAGTGTCTCGAGTGCTCTGGGTCTGTGAAAGTAAGGATGGGAAGAGGAAGAGGTAGGAGGAGAGCGGGATGGGACGCCTGCCATGTGGCCTGGGGAGGCGCGGATTAAATTGTAACAAAGCTGGATAGAGCCCCAGCCTAGTCAGGTCGAGCCATTGCAACAAAGTAGCGGGCCAATTGTCCGGCGGCGAAGAAACAAGAGAAGCCTCGACGGAGGCCGAGCCGATCCATGAATGGACCTGGCTGTGCGTGGTACTTGGTCCGTAGAACCACACCACCAACGTCACCCGAGGACCCCTACATGTGTAGAGCAGCTGCGGGTCCGCCGCGCGATGCAGTTCCAAAGTCAAGCTCGGCACATGAGCGGAGCAGGGCTCCAGAAGCCAGACACGACCGACCAGCCAAGCACGCCACCACCACCTCTGCTTTGGCCAGTCGCGGGCACACCTCCGCGCCGGCAGCATTCTTCCTCCAGATGGTGAATTGTTTGCCGGCGGCTTCAACGGTGACATTCGAGGCTGGACAATTTGCCCGCTACTTTGTTGCAATGGCTCGTCCCCAACCATTGTGCTCTCGGCAACGAGCGGGCGGTGGGCGAATGGTGACGACACGCCCTCTGGCTGGCTGCCCTGGACGATTTACTGCGGAGACACCCAGTCCCGTTGCCAAGTCAAGCTGCCGGCAGACAAACGTGGGCCTTGCTGTCCCTGACCTCGTCTCCCATGGTTTCCTATTTTCACAAGCTCGTGAAAAAATGTGCCGCGAAGGGGTCCGAACCCGGGAGAACCCCTGAGAGCAAGATGCACCAGTGGTACCAGGCTGGGACGATGGAGTCGCACCGGCACCATGCATGCAGAGGTGAAGCTGGTGCTGACTCTATACCGTGACTCGCAAGCCTGATTGAGGTGTCCTTGTCCCAGGAAGCGCAACAGCAGAGGCTGGGACGACATGCTGGCAACGGGGCCGCCTTGCAGGGATGGCCTGCTCGTTCTTGCAGCAGGAGCTGGCCTGTGCGAGGCCGGTTGCCGCGACATCGGCATTATCTTTTTGATCTGATAAGATGGATCTGCAAGGCCTTCCCCTCTCGTCCAGTCTGTGCCCCGGGGCCATCTCGTCTCGTCCTTGTCTGGCTGGGGCAAGCACAACCTGCTCGACGCCACTCGGCGCTCTGCCCAACAGGGGAGGTCCCTCTGAACCAGCGCGATGCTCAGGCGAGGCACCTTTACTCGAATGATCTCCTCCATCTTGGCCTTGTCCGTCTGTAGCCTGGCACCCAGTCTCACTCCATCTCGCCCCTACTCCAAACCACCACATGTCGCCACGCACGACACTACCATTTCTAGTCTAGCCTAGCTGGAGCGACGGCTCTACCAGGTGTTTGTCTCCAGCAGTCATGCCAATGGTGTCGACAGTGGCAGCATGGACACTGGGGCTCCAAGCTCGTGATGGACCACAACACACCGGCTCGGAAGATCCTTGGCCGCTAGCCAGAACAAGCCCAGGGTATAGCGACTTCGGCGTCAATGTCTTTTAAAGCAGGACCACTTCAGAGCCAAAAGAGTCCGCCGTGTCGGCGAGTCCCGGCCGGACCAGGAAATTGGATGGCTGCTCCCACGCTCTCTTGCCTGGAGCACAACTGCGAAGCTGAGGCAGCTGATCGAATCGAGATGCGACGTAGACCCCACCGGGCACGGCGTATTGCTCTGTCCATCCGTCCCCGCATGCAGGCTATACACCTTCCAAAACCGCCCCTGGCGAGACTGCATGGCGTCCTCCCATGATGGTGGTCACACAAGCCTGCCGTCATCCTCAGCGTGCAAGGACTAAGAGGAGCCAATATACAGTATGAAAAGTCTTACAGACCGTTCTTCGGCTCCTGGATCGCTCGGAAGAAGGTGCTTCGACTCCAAATGCCTCGCCAAGGACATGCTGATGCAGGGATCGACGTCTAGAATAGCTCAGCTGTGCAACCGAGATTCGTTGAAAGACGGCAGACACTGCTAGCGGCCCCCCATGACTCCGCAGCTGGAAAGATTTTCAACAGGATCAGTCACGGTACTGCCGAGTTGAGGAGCCCAAAACGAATGGAAACCAATTTGCTAGGGACCATGCTATGTCACAGGCCAGGGTGATGGCAACGGCACACACACACCCCCACACCCAGACACACACACATATGGCACCGAGGGGCACCTCCGCCGGCCCCCCAACGACGATCTCCACTTAAGATGAAAATTTTTATCTGATGATCTGATAAGATCCTGCTGGGCCAGGGGTAGGTGAGGTTGCCAACACGCCAATCAACCCCCAGCTTGGCACCCGCCGGCGTGGTGCCCGCCTCGACTCTAGTAGAGAAATGCCGCTCCCCACGCTCATTCTTACGCAATCAGAAACCGACCACCCCTGCGCGGCAGACACTGCTTCGTGTCTTTTGACGGGCCTCCGGGTCAGCGGAGCAAAGGTCTACAGGTGAAATTGGATATACATACGGAGATGCTTGGAATCGGAGACGACCCATGTAGCGCGAGCTCCTCCCTCGGAATTTGTCGGCAGACATTCCAGGTCCGTCGGGACGGGCAATCCCCATTTGACGTTATTCATCCCATGCCGCAGTGCCCATGGTGACAATTACACGTGGCCTTTCGTCCGACAACGGCACCGACCTCTGGGTGATGCATGCAGGTCTGGCAGCTGAATGCTGCTTTCCGCCTGCTCGGCGAAGATGGGTTACGTGACATTGTGCGCGCCCTCGATCAGACGGCGAGGAATCTGCTTGCTGCTGCTGCTGCTGCGGGCCAACAGGGCCGCCCTGGGAACGAGACGACTGGCGTGTTCTGGATGGAGCTCCCCAGGGCTGTGAATTGGTCCCCCACCACCAGCTTCAGTGGCCGCGATGGTGAAGCTGCAAAGCTTGGGTGGTGCCTTCGGTCAAAAAAAGAGCGCCGCCGTGAAAAGCGGGCCGTCTGTGCTGTGCAGATGAGGGGAAGCGATCGTGATGTAATGGACTAACCCGTGTCGTAGGCGGCCGGCATGCAGAGAAGGAGGTTGTCCCACTCTGGTCAGCACTCTCGGCCTGCATTATTACCATGCTGGAGTGGCCAGCCCGCCTCGCAGGCATCCATTAAGCTACCAGCTCTAAACTGAAGAAACGAATTGATGAGTGATGCAGAATGAGCGCTATACCAATCACTGCGGCGGCAAGCAGCGTTGGAAAATGGACCTGAAAGTACACATTACTCCGTAAATCCCAATCAAAACCTCTCTGCTCAGCCTGCAGCGCGCATAGAAAAGAAAGGCGCCGTGCCTAGACCTGGGATATATTGTACTGGATGCGAAGGGCGTTTTCGAGGTGGCTCTCAGTGAATTTGTAAGGCGATCGGGGTCGCAAAAGAGGGGTGCTCGCTCCATCATCCAGCTTACTTGGGTCATTAGCTCGAACATCGACTTCCCAGCCTCTCGGCCGTAATCGAACAAAGCGTTGCGGGCAGTGGATGTAGCAAGTGCTACTTTCTAGGGCCGGACCGTCGTGGGTACTACGCAGCAGCGTCGCATCTCTCTGCAATACTGCAGCACCGCCCTTGAGCCAAGCACCGGAAAGTCGTGGCCCCGTTAAAGACGGGCTACTTTGGCTACAAGTACCTTATGGTACTCTGCCAGGCTCACATGGTGCCCCACTGCACGGCTCAGGAACGACCAGGGCATTGCCGTGCGATGCGCTTGCATGGCAGTACTTCTGTTTTTGGATGATTGAGCAAATCATAGGCTCGCATCACTTTTGCCTTGGCTGGACTTGCGACCAGAGTACGGTCCGCATTGTACACAGAAAGCCCCTTCGCCATCCAAAAGAACCTGTCTGTGCACGGGGGGTGGCCGCCTCGTCAAGGCAAAGCACATCGAGCGAGCAGGCCGCCTCACGCAGTTTTGTCTCCCAAGGTGAGCATGACCACCCTGACAGCCTCTCAACACCAGTCCCGCAGCAGCCGGCAAGCAAATGCACCCTTAAAGTCGGTAGCTCAGCCAACCCTTTGTCCACCCAGAGTTACCATCTTATGATTAGAGAGGACCTGCCGAGCACGATAACGGGGAGTGCACACCATGGCCGAAACCAAACAGCCAGAGGGATTATCTATCCTCAACCCATTCCCTGCCAGCATAGCAGGGCCGGATCTCTTACATGACTTGGTCGAATCCAAAACCGGCACAGCGATAGAGTTCTTTTCGAGATCGGGGAAGAGCTGCACTCTATCGTATGTTGAACTACATGCTGCAGCCGAAGTCCTAGCACGGCGCATCGTCAACAGTCTACAAGGACGTGAAGACTCCGACCAACCACAACCAAAGTCGTTCATCGTGCCACTGCTCATTCCACAGTCGCCGGCATTGTATGTAGCCCAGCTCGCCATTCTCAAGGCCGGCGGTGCTTTCTGCCCGCTCAATTTAGATGCTCCGCAGGAGAGGATCAAGTTCATCCTCAACGATGTGGATGCACGAGTCGCTCTCTGCAGCTCAGAACTGGCAGAGAGAATCCCCGGTGGCAATGACAAAGTCAAAGTTCTAATTCTGGACAACCTCCTACCCACAACAACACCATCGACAGGCTCTGACCCCAGCAGAAAGCCTGGGCCCATCACTTTCTCTCAGCCATCACCAGAATCTTTGGCGTACGTCATGTACACGTCCGGGTCGACTGGGACACCAAAGGGCGTTGGAATCTCCCACCGGGCAGCTACGCAGGCACTTCTTGCCCATGACCGGCACATACCGAGCTTCAAGCGCTTTCTGCAATTCGCCGCACCCACCTTTGATGTCTCGGTCTTTGAGATATTCTTTCCCCTCATGCGAGGTAGCACCCTGGTCTGTTGTGACCGCGGGGAGATGCTAGCGGATCTTCCTGGAACGATCACAGGAGCTGACATCGACGCATGTGAGCTGACACCGTCAGTTGCAGGCAGTCTGCTAAGAACCCGGGATGCAGCGCCATGTCTCAGGTTACTGTTGACCATCGGCGAAATGCTCACAGAACCAGTCGTGAAGGAGTTTGGGGGCGACACGATTGAGGACAGCATGCTTTGGGGCATGTACGGCCCTACCGAGGCAACCATTCACTGGTAAGGACATTCTCGGAATTTTGGCAGTCATGGCAAAGCTGACATAGCGTCCAGTACACTACAACCAGCCTTTCTCAAGAAGAAAAGCCGCAAGAACATTGGCTTCCCTCTCGACAACGTCTCTGCATTCATCATCGATGCAGATCCGTCACGGCCTTTTGAGGTCCTCCCCTTCGGCCAAGCTGGTGAGCTTGTGGTAGGAGGCACTCAGCTTGCTGTCGGCTATGTGCAGAGACCAGAGCAGACGGCCTCGGTGTTCATCGATTCCCCGTACGGGAGAGTCTATCGGACGGGAGACAAGGCCATAATGGCTGGTGACGGCACGATCGAGTGCCTCGGGCGGCTCAACGACACGCAAGTAAAGCTGAACGGGCAACGCATGGAACTCGGCGAGGTCGAGCAAGTCGTGCTCGGCACGCCTGGCTGCCATAGTGCGGTAGCTGCCATCATCTCAAACACCCTTGTGGCGTTCGCCGCTGTGGAAGATACGGCGTCAGCGGAGCAAGAGATCGCGGACCGCTGCAAAGCATGGCTCCCTGCTTTCATGGTGCCTGCCGAGATCCGAGTGACGAACGACTTCCCTCGCCTGCCTTCCGGCAAAGTTGATCGCAAGAAGTTGGTTGCGGACTACGAGGCTCGCGAGAGGGAGAGCGAAGCCACGGAAGAGCAATACGCAGACGATGTGGAGAGAAAGATCTGTCGTGTGGCAGAAGACATACTTGGTCGCCAGATTCGACCTGCATCAAGGATTGCTTCAGCAGGCATTGACTCTCTCGTCGCCATTGAGTATGCCTCTGGACTTCGCCGATCTGGAATCGACGTCAGTGTCATTGACATCCTGGAGAGTGCAACAATACACCATCTCAACAACACATTGAAGCATCGTCTGCAGAGACAGGTGAAGCCGACAAACCACGACAGACAAGGATCTGCTGAGACCGATCTTTCGAGAACACCACCGCTGTTATATGGAGAGTCACTAGGTAGCGAGGACACAAATCGTGTCGCGAGCGTCGCTCCGTGTACCTTGCTCCAGCAGTCCATGATCAGCGAGACGCTGCAAGACCCACGTCTGTACGTCAATGAGTTGCGCATTGGATTTCCCGCTGGTACATCGCCTGAATCAATCCAAGAGTGGTTCTGTACCATTTGCGACTACAATCGGATTCTTCAATCAGGGTTTGTACATGGGAAAAAGGATCTGTGCAACGTAATTTGGGATACGGTCCACAAGGGCCAGATCCAGATTGTGGATGAGTTCAACCAGGTCGATCTCAATGATATTGAGAAATTCTTGCGGCGTCCACTTGAAGTGCAAATCTTGGGCGATCCGTCCAGCGCATCAGAAGGTCCCCTTGCGAAGGTCACAATTCACCATGCAATTTACGACGGATGGACATCGGACCTTCTGCTGCAACAGCTGAACCATCTCTACCGTGGCGATCCGCTACCGTCTGTATCACAGTTTCACAACATCGTGCAAGATTGCGAGGGTCTGAAGCTCGAGGGCTCCATGGACGCGAAGGAATATTGGGCAGAGCAATTGCGCGCAAGCACGCTGAACGGCCTGCCGAACTTCCGCACAAGACCAGTCAAGCAACCCCAAATATCCACAAAACGCACAAATCTCAGTGCTTCCCTGCAAAAGGTCAGAGACGCAGGCGCGCGGTTATCCTTGAGCCATCAGGTTGTCTTTCAGGCGGCCCTTGCGTGGCTTTGGTCGAGCATAGTGGGAGCCGACGACGTCATCATTGGCTCGGTATTCTCGGGCCGTACCCTCCCTGTGGCCGGGATCGAGAGCGCCATGGGTCCTTTCATGGCAACCTTGCCATTGAGGGTGCAGATTGGTCACTTTGGGAGTGTTGCGGAACTCCTGCAGGTGATCCAAGCGAGCAACAGGAATTCACTGCGGCACGGGGGACTGCCGCTGTCAGAAATCAAAAAGGCAGCCGGGATACCGCCACGGTCCAAGATTTTCGATGTCATATTCGCGTACCAGGAATCACTCTTGAGCCGAAAGACTGAGAGCAGCGAAGTTCGCGAGATCAACCACAAAGATGCGGTGGAAGCAAAGCTTCTCGTTGAGGTTCAGCCGGTCGGTGACGGGTTTATGTGCCAGATGACCTGGCATGATGATGTCTTTAACAGAGAGTTGATTGAGTGCTTCATTCAACAGTTTGAGAGCATTGTGAATCACTTCCTAGACTTTCCGGACAGCCCTCTCAACAGCGTTCAAGGATGTTTTCCGGCTGCTGCGTTGTCCACATTCAACCCGAATCCTAAAGTTCTAGACGTACTTCCGAGTCTTGCCAGGCTCGTGGAGAATACCGTGGAGCATCATCCGGATAACATCGCGATCCAATTTGCTGAGTCCATCGACGGCGACCAGATACGATTGAAGAGCCTGAGCTACGCGGAACTAAATAGTCAAGCCAACCAGATCGCCAGGCATCTTCAGAGCTGTGGTGTCAAGCCTGGAGACGTGGTAGCCATTGTCATGGAAAAGTCATCCTTGCTTTACTGTAGCATCTTGGCTATCCTCAAGACTGGCAGCGCATACCTCCCGATGCTTCCCAGCACGCCAATGCTGAGGAAGCAGAGGATCATCGAACAAGCCGTGCCTCGAGTTTGCTTGACCAGCAAGGGCCTTCGATCCGAGCTCACCGCAGGACATATCAAGAACGTTGTAGAGGTCGATCCCGGCCGCTTGTCCCACTATCCAACGTCGAATCTTGACATTCAATACGACCGCAATGACCTCGCCTATGTGATCTACACAAGTGGCACAACAGGCGTTCCGAAGGGCGTGGCGGTAACAAATCGGAACATGCTGAGCAATATCAAGGCTTTATCTGCAATGTATCCCCACGAACCGTCCTCAAGAATGCTCCAGGCTTGCTCACAAGCTTTCGACGTTTCCGTCTTTGAGATATTCTTCGCGTGGGCCAACGGGATGTGCCTGTGCTCTGCGACCAACGACACTCTCTTTGGCAACCTCAGCCACGCAGTGAACCTGCTGCGCGTGTCACATTTGAGCATGACAGTCACCGTCGCCTCTCTCCTTCATCCCGATGACGTTCCGACGGTCGAATTCCTAGTCACATCCGGTGAGGCCATGACAGACGAAGTGCTCGCAAAATGGTCTAGGCAGCTGTGGCAAGGCTATGGTCCTTCCGAGACAACCAATATCTGCACTGTCCGCAAAGTACAAAAGGGAGATTCTTCGCAATTTCTCGGCTGGGCGTTTATGAATACGTCAACATTTGTCTGTCATCCTGGCACAAGCGAGTTGGTGCCGATCGGCTGCGTGGGCGAGTTCTGCTTTGGTGGCGATCAAGTAGCTGCTGGGTACCTTCAGATGCCTGAGCTAACGGCGGAAAAGTTCTTTGACCACCCGAAGTTTGGGCGGCTCTACCGCTCAGGTGATCGCGGCCGCATGCTACCAGACGGTTCCCTAATCATCCTTGGTCGCATCGACACTCAGATCAAGCTCCGCGGTCTGCGTATTGAACTGCAGGAGATCCAGAGGGTGGTTCTCCAGACTGGCCTCGCGAAGACATGCGAGGTTGTTGTTGTCAAGCAGCCGGGAAAAAATATAGAACAACTAGCTCTGTTCTATGCCCCCTCGGACGAAGGCGCCGCCGAGTTCAGGATTCTGCCCCTGCAGGCAGGTCTCGTTGAGGCAAGACGTACGATACAGCAAGAGATGGAGGCCGCGCTGCCAGATTACATGATTCCCACGTTCAGCATCCCGATTTCCACATTGCCCAGAACGTCATCCGGCAAGGTCGACCGCCAGCACCTCAGAACAACCGTGGAGTCGCTTTCAGAAGCGGATGCAGCGTCCTACAGTGCTCAAGCGGAGCTACAAAGGACGCCCTCGGAATGGACCGAGGTTGAGAGACTCGTCGCCCAGGCTGCTGCGGACACTGCCAATGTCGATGTCAAGACAATAACACAGTGGAGTTCCTTCGCCACGCTAGGCATCGACTCAATTCTGGCAATGACTCTGGCTCGAAACATCCAAGCTGTGTCACAGCGACGTGTGCCATTGTCTTTGATACTGAAGAATGCAAGCGTCGGCAGACTGGCAGCTGTGCTTGGCACGCCCATAACTCAAGGGCGTGACGATCAAACTCAGGGACATGGTCTGAGTCCAGCTAGAGATCTCCTCCCTCTTGGGCTCGTCGAGGCTGTCAAACAGAAGATTGGGTCGCGGTGGGGAGACATCGAGTGTATCCTTCCATGCACACCGTTGCAGGAGGGTATGCTCTTCTCTCATGCCGATTCGAGCTCCGGCAGTTCGTACTGTAACATAATGCTCTTCAAGTTGCAAGTCTCTGCTCAAGAGATGCTCTCCCACTGGAAACGAGCCATTGGAAGGCACGGCATTCTGCGCACATGTTTCGCCAGCACTGACAGCATCTCGAATGCCGTTGTGCAACTCGTTCTATCGTCATCTGAGCTGCCGTGCAAGCACTTTGAGTCTGTCAGCCTCCAACAGACGATCAAAGAAATTGAGCAGCTTCTTTCGCCTCCTGTGGATTCGGGCAAGCCGCCCGTGTTTCTTGCCTCAATCCAAACAGAGAATAACGTCACTTACCTCTGCTTCGCATGTCACCATGCTTTGTACGATGGAATATCCATGAAGACTCTGTTGGCAGAGATCGAGACTCTGGCGATGGGAGGCTCTTTGCCGGCTCCAGTGCCTTTCGAGCGATTCCTAGCGGATGCGCTTGCACCTGTTCCCGGTGCAGACGAGTTTTGGAAGGAGCAATTCGACGGCTTCGTGCCGTCTCTGCTCGAGCCCGAAACAAGTGGCAACGAGTCAGCGCCAACCACTATTTTTGGTGACTTCACCGCACAGTCCCTGGAATCGATCGAGCTCCGCTTGAAAGAACGTGGCATTTCACTCCTATCACTGTGTCAATCATCATGGGCTACCACGATGTCAATATTACAAGACTCAAAGAATGTTTGCTTTGGAAATGTCGTGAGCGGGCGATCCTTGCCTGTAGAAGACATCGACCGCCTTGTGGCACCGTGCTTCAATACCATTCCTCTGAGAATGGACTTATCCAAGAGTAGCTTCCGCCTGCAACTGGCGAAACAAGTGCAGGAGCTGAACAAAGGCAGCCTGCCATATCAGTTCACATCTCTGCGCCAGGTTCAGAAACTGGTGGCACGCTCGACGAGGTTGTTTGATAGTCTGCTTATCCTGCAGCCGGGGCAGATGGAATTGGATGAACGTGTTTGGAGCTTGGAGCAGGATTCAGGGGCTATGGATGTGAGATTTCTTCGATATTATTCGGAATTTCTAATGCGCAATGCTAACGATCTTCTCTCCTAAGGTCCCCATTGTGTGTGAGGTCACACCGGACCGGAGGCGCAATACCGTTCATTTTGCGTTTTATCGCCAAAGGTTCGTTGTCTTGCGCGTAGAAGGGTTTCGAAAGATATTCTGACAAATCACGATAGGAACACCGTGTCTCACGACACACTGCAACTAGCCCATGACGTGTTCCACTTAGTTATGGCTGGGTGTATCGAACATCCCTACTCGCACATCATCACAAGAACAGACTTGCCCAAAGAGTTGCAAACTCGCTGTGGAGCACTGCACTTCCAAAGCCCGGCGCACTGGACAAACCAAACCACAAATGTCGAGAACGAGACTTCTCAGTGGTCGCCAGCCGAGCGTATCGTGCGCTCTGCGGTCGCACGACTGGTCAACCTGCCAGAGAGTCGCATTGCGAGAGAAAAGCCGCTGTTCCACTACGGCGTGGATAGTATTGGCATTGTGCAGATTGTCGGGATGCTGAAGAACAGCTCGCTGCAGGTCTCAGTTGCGGATGTTATGGAGAGCCCAACCTGTGCCAAGATCGCTGCGCAAGCTGTCAACACCACGAGCCAGAGCGTCCATGATACTCAGCCAGAATTCGATTTCGACACATTCAGAGAAGAAGTCAAAGATCAAATCGAGAAGGCAGAAGAGATGGAGGATATACTCCCTTGCACCCCGATCCAACAGGCCATGCTGTCACAGTCTGCTACGTCAGACGAGAGGCTCTATTTCAACTACGTCAGCTGGGAGCTTGATGTTGGGGTTGATGCACAGAGAGTCGTCGACGCATGGAAAGAGCTCCGGAAGGCACACCAGATCCTGAGGACCGGCTTCGTCCCTGTCAACAACGCGAAAGCTTCGTACGCAATGGTCGTGCATCCCGCCAGCGCGGTCTCAGGCTCTCAAGAGGAGCAGCAAATCCAATTACACACAGATCTCGACATAGACACATGGCGGAAGATCTCAGCAGGCGTGGTGTTCAATGCCCTTTCAAGCCCACCTTGGTGCGTTGCCATTGTTACACGGCAGTTGGAGCCAACAACGATGAATCTCGCAATGCACCATGCACTCTACGATGCACATTCACTTCAAAAGATCTTGAACAGCTTGGCTAAAGCCCTGCGCAAGGATGTAGACATCCCACAGCAGAAAATTCGGCCGGCACTCTCGAGGATCATGGCGACCTCGGAGGATAATTCCGGATTCTGGAAGAACAAGGCATCAGAAGTTGTCGTTAATAAATTTCCGACCATGACGCCACTAGTCGAGCCTCGTGGCATATCGGCCATTTCCAAGACGTCTCAGTTGGGCCTGTCGGATGTGAAGGGCAAAGCCGCGGACCTTGGTGTTTCTGTTCAAGCAGCGCTGCAAGTTGCATGGACTCGGCTCCTGTCCGCATACCTTGGCGAGCCTAATGTTACTTTCGGCGTCGTTTTTGCTGGCCGATCTAGCGATGTCGATCTCGGTGCGGTCTTCCCCATGATCACGACCTTACCAGTCGTCGGCAGTGTCACTGACACGGTCCCGAGCCAGCTACAAAGTATGATGCAGTACAACGCGGGGCTACTTCGTCACTACAGGACTCCTCTGTCAGCAATCCAGAACTGGTTGGGGAGACCAGCCGAGGCACTATTCGACACGATACTTGTCTATCAAGTCTCGGCGACAGAAGAGGAGCGGCAACCTTGGAATGTATTGGACGAACGCGCCTCAGTCGAATACACCGTGTCCCTCGAGATCGAAGAGTCAGCGAGGGGTCTCCGCTTCAATCTTGTGTTTGACACGAGCGTCCTTCCATCTGCCCAGGCGGAGGTGCTGCTTTCTCAGTTCGACGCCTTGCTTGGTGACACTTTAAGGGCTGCCAAGCAGTCCTCAGCATTGACTTCATCTCCTTCACTGAGCACGGAAGTCTTATCCATCCTGCCAGCCGCGAAACCCACAATGCCCTGCGATGACGAACTGCTGCATCGTATGATGGAATCTTCATCACGTAGAAACCCCGAAGCAGTTGCGCTTGAGTTCGTTGAAGAACTCAAAAACGCAGAACGCACGCGCCAGTGGACATATGCCGAGCTTGACAGTGCTGGCAACCGCGTCGCGAACTTCCTCTCGTCTAAGAACGTGCCTCAAGGCAGTATCGTCGCTGTGTGCTTCAATAAAGTCCCAGAGGCGTACTTTAGCATCCTCGGCATTCTGAAGGCTGGGTGCTGTTTCCTAGCGCTTGACACGACGGCGCCAGCGACAAGGCAGGAGTTCATTCTCAAGGACTCCAATGCGGCATGTCTGATTGTCGAGGACATGATATTCGCTGGACTTGGATTCGAGTCTCCAGTGCCTGTTTACGCCATGTCTTCAGAAACGATCAGTCATTCATCTGGGGCCACATCACCGCTCGCCAGGGCAGTTTCTCCTTCAGACCCATGCTATTGTCTCTACACCAGTGGCACAACTGGCACGCCAAAAGGTTGCTTGATTAGCCACGAGAATACCGTGCAGGCCATGTTGGCTTTCACGGAGCTATTTAGCGGCCACTGGACAGAGAAGTCACGATGGCTACAGTTTGCATCCTTCCACTTTGATGTATCTGTCCTGGAGCAATACTGGTCCTGGCATGTGGGCATTACTGTAGTGTCGGCGCCACGAGACCTGATTTTGAGCAACCTGATTGACACCATTTCACAGCTCAAGATCACACATATCGATCTGACACCAAGTCTCGCACGATTGGTCCACCCTGACGATGTTCCCAGTCTCTGCGAAGGAGTGTTCATCACTGGTGGCGAGCAGTTGCGCCAAGATGTGCTGGAAGCCTGGGGGCCGCAACAAGTCATCTACAACGCGTACGGTCCGACAGAGGCCACCATTGGTGTGACCATGTTCCAGAGAGTGCCCGCTAATGGGAGGCCAGCCAACATTGGCCGGCAGTTCCCCAACGTGGGTTCTTTTGTCCTCAAGCCCGGAACCGACGAACCCGTTCTCCGGGGTGCCGTTGGTGAGCTCTGCGTGTCGGGAAAACTTGTCGGCATAGGCTACTTGAATCGGCCTGAACTCACTGCCGAACGGTTCGCCTACCTTGAGAGGTTTGATGAAAGAGTCTACCGGACGGGCGATCTTGTCAGGGTCCTGCACGACGGCTCTTTCGACTTCTTAGGCCGTGCGGACGACCAAGTCAAGCTGCGAGGGCAGAGGCTAGAGATTGGCGAGATCAACCATGCCATCAAGTCGGGCCTTCCCTACCCTGCAGATGTCGCAACGCTCGTGGCCAAACATGGCGGCCAGCAAGACCGCGACCTCCTAGTCTCTTTCATTACCATTAGCGCGGACCGCGATACCAAAGACGAGCTCAAGGTCCACAGGGACACTCACGCGTTCGAGATGTCAGTGATGGCTCAGAATGCTTGCAAAGGACAATTATCAGGGTATATGGTACCAAGCTACGTCCTTTGTGTCCCCTGGATTCCGTTGTCTGCCAACAACAAGGCCGACATCAAGAGGCTGAAGACCTTGTTTCAGGAACTCTCCCTGGAGGATCTGCGACAGATCGCTTCAGGCACTAAGAGTGCGCAGCGGGCTCTGAATTCTACAGAGACGAGGGTCGCAAGTATTGTGTCCGACATCACTGGAGTTGACCTGTCAGACATCACCCACTCGTCCACGATTCTGGAACTTGGCATCGACTCAATATCTGTGACGAGGCTCTCTCGCGCGCTTCAGTCTGCAGGCTTCGATCGTGCTGCCCCGCCGGTGCTCCTGAAGAATGGACAGATAGAACACATTGCTGGCCTGCAGAGCGGAGGTACCCAGAGCGCACCCAAGACAGGGTCGTCAGAGACCGAGCAGCTATTCCAAGCCTGTTATCTGCAGAATCTTGGTATCACATGTGAGACTCTAGGTGTCGAGGAAGACAATATTGAGTACATTGTCCCCTGTACGCCTCTTCAAGAGGGCATGATTGCGAGAGCGCGATCGCGTGCGGGCGGTTCCAGACCTTACTTCAACCAATTCGAGGTCAAGGTCCGGCCAGATGTCTCTAAGGCACGCCTCCGTGCTGCCTGGACCCAACTTCAAGAGGCGTCCGCCATCTTACGGACAGCTTTCCTACAGACCAGTGAAGGCGTTGTCCAGGTCGCCTTGAAGCATCAAGCCTTGCGCTGGGCAGAGGTGACGAGTACTTACAAGAGTTTGGATGAGCTGATTGCTAAGCGACACGCTGAATGGGTCAGAGCAAATGAGCCGACGATCGCCCATCCGTTTGAGATTGATTACATCACCTTCGATGACCAAAGCGTGCTTGTGATCCGAATATTTCATGCCTTGTACGACGCACACAGCTTGAAACTCATGTTTGAGCGTGTAGCTGCATCTGTGGAGGGAAATCTTATTGATACGGGAGCAACTTTCCACGACGCGCTTCAGGCCGGGCCACTTTCTTCGGGCCCAACCTCTCAGCCCTTCTGGACAGGCTTGTTTCAAGGTTGGCAGGCAAAACCCCTTGCTATCGCACCAGAATCCGTATGCCAAGAGGCAGCAGTTATATCAAGGAGATTGAAAATCGATGGCTTTGAGGGAAGGCGAAAAGGTCTGGGCGTCACACACCAGACGATGGTCCAAACCGCGTGGTTGGTCGCCCTTCAACATTACCTTCAAGCACAGCCTTGCTTTGGGATAGTCTACTCCGGAAGATCCATCGATCTCGCAGGGGCAGACAACGTGATTGGCCCTCTCTTCAATACTCTCCCGTTTACGACTCAAATCGGAAGCGACACGACATGGGATGGGCTGGCACGACAGGTTCAAGAGTTCAACGCTACAGTGCTCGAATTCGTTCACACGCCATTGAGGAGTATCCAGAAGTGGTGCTCGAATGGACGGCCCCTGTTTGACTCCCTGTTCACCTTCGACAGGGAAGATATAATCAAGTCCAAGGGTGACGACCTATGGGAAATCTCAGCAGGCTCTGCAGCTCCAGACTACAATCTGGCACTTGAAGCACTCCTCACACGCGATGGTCACGTCGGTATCACAATCGTTGCGCAGCCGCAGACTGCTGACCATGCTGCCGTGACGCACATGCTTGACAGTCTGGAGAGCAACCTGCAGGCTCTGGTCACTTCTGACAAGGACACCCCAGTGCTGACGCGAATGTCAATCTTCGATGGCCTCCAGGAGGATGGTGCCTCTCGTGGGTCCAGGACCACCGGGGACCCCTCCCCTCGTTCTGTGTCACCATCTACGTCCTCGGTCTCTACATGGCCTGAGCAGGATCATCGCCTCCGGCATGAGATCGCCTTGATAGCGGGTGTCAATGATGAAGAGGTTCTCCCTGGGATGACCATTTTCGATTTTGGCCTTGACAGCATCGATGCCATTCGTCTAGCTTCCAAGGCTGCTTCTTTCGGCTACCGCATTTCCCCTGGCGATTTGTTGAGAGGCATGGCCATCGACGGCATACTCCTCACCGAAAGCACCTCTTTGAACTCGACCTCTACTGAAGACCCCAGCTCCACGGCACTCGAAATCATCATCGCTAAGCTGAAGCGTAACCTGGAGCAGACAGGGCACGACTTGACGGATGTTGAAGCAGTCCTTCCCACCACGCCATTGCAAGACTCCATGGTTGCCGAAATGGTTCATTCCGACTTCAAGCGGTACTTCAATCAGGAAGTGTTTAGGATTCCAGCTCATGTCGACATACACCGGCTGAAATCCGCGTGGGAAGACGTCTACGATAAGTCGCCCATCCTCAGAACGACCTTCGCCGAGGTCGATAGTCCCGATGTAGTATCCGCATATTGCCAGGTTGTCAAGAGGACCCCTCTCCCGGTTCAAGAGATCCGAATGGCTTCCGTAAAAGATCTTGGTACCGCCTTGGACCATATTCGTGAAGAAGTCACCAACCAAGGTGGTGCCACAGGACTGTTCCGGCTTACAATCTGCCACACTGGCAATGACACCCATGTCATCGTCTCAGTGTCCCACGCTTTGTACGACGGGCAATCTCTGAGCATGATATACAACGATGTCACGGCCTCTTATCGAGGAAGTCATGTTGACCGGCCAGACTACAAACCGCACCTCGCACGTCTTGTCTCGACCAAGCCTGAAGCAGCCGACCGTTTCTGGTCGAACTTTCTTCATGATTTACAACCAACAGCTCTGCCGGCCTTGCACGATGAAGACGCAGTGGTTCGTCAGGTATATCGGCAAGAGCTTCCTTCCCGCTGTGATGCTGCAGCTCTGAGGACAGCATGCAGAAAGTTGGCTATCACACCCCAGGTTCTAGCACAAGCATCCTGGGCTGTGGTCTTGTCAGGCATGGCTCAATGCCTAGAGTCGACCTTCGGCCTTGTCCTCTCAGGTAGAGACACGGACATGGCGCAGCAGATGAATTTTCCGACCATGAACACTGTGGCCATGCGGGTCGTCCTTCGAGGCTCCGTCAAAGGCTTCCTCCGTCAGCTGCAGACTACCATGTCGCACATCATGGAGCACCAGCACACTCCACTCCGCCAGATACAGAAGCTCGCACAGAGAAACGGGCAGCCACTATTCAACACGTTGTTTGTGTTTCAAGTGGCTGCCGAGTCTAGCTCGGAACCTCCGCCTTTGATGGAACCAGTTCAAGGCTCTTCGGCCGTTGAATATCCCATCTGTGTCGAATTTGAGCTGACCGAGCCACATCCGGTTTGGCGTGTGGCGTGCGATTCTCATTATGCATCCGAAGAGTCCGCCAGCCGCATCATCAGGGAACTGGATCAGGTCATGCAGTTCTTCTGCCAGGAGTCCAGCGAACAGGACTTGCTCAGGACGCAGGCCGGGAGCGAGGAGGTCCTCGTGTGCGGTCTGAAAGGCTTCATCCCCAGGCACACCTCGGTCAAGTCTACATCAGTCTCAAGCCAAGCCGCCAGACAATCCTCGGAGAGACGAGGAGAAGAGGAATCTTCCGCCAAGAGATTGAACTCCGATCTGCTTGCGGTCATCAGGGAGATTTCGGGCGCTGAAGCAGGCTCGGTCCAAGGAAATGATCACGTTACATCCTATCTAGACTCGATCAGCGCGATCAAGGCTTGCGCCCTCTTACGAAAGCGCGGCATCTCCCTTACGGTGCGCCAGATGCTGAGCGCTGGCACCATCGCAAGCATTTCCGCCATTGCCAATAGCAGCGGGATTGGAAGCAAGCATTCCGAACCAGTGCTTGACACACTGAGCAGTGTCGAGTTTGCCAATTTCTTGCGTAGTCTCAACTATGAAGGTCTGCTTGAGCATGCCTCGATCTCGTCCGGCGCGGTCGAAAAAGTGCTGCCTGCGCTGCCAGTGCAGGTACACATGCTCAGCGGCTGGCAGAATACGAATGGCGCGCTCTTCTGGCCAACCTTTAAGTACAAGTTGAAGGGAGCAGTCTCTCGCGAGCGCCTCGCGAACGCATGGGAGCGGCTCGTGGCCGAGACTGTCATGCTTCGAACCGAATTCCTTGCCACAGGTTCGAGCATCTCGCCATTCCTTCAAGTCGTTCTTAAACCAAATGGCGCAAATGGCGAAGCCCACACTTTTCCCAATGGCCCTTTGGCATGCCAAGCATTTTCGAGTCGGTATGTCTGCTTCTCGGCCACCGCGCAGGCTGAAGGCGATGTCTTTGATATCTCTCTCCGCATACACCATGCTCTGTATGACGCGTTCTCAATGCCGACGATTATGGGCAGATTTAAGTCGCTCTGCAGAGACGAGAGCTCCGTCTCGTCTTTCTCGGACTACAAGCTCTGGAGTTCATTTGCCAAGATGCATATCTCGCCCATGGTTTCAGAGAAGAAGAAGGCCTTCTGGACGTCATACCTTCAAGGAATGGGGCGCCCAACTGGGATTTTGGCCAACAAAGCGTCAAGCACAGCCGATCAGACCCAATTTGACGCCGTGTCAGAGTATCGCAAATCTGCCATGACTGTTTCCGCTCGTCTGGTCTCAATCATGGCTACTCGTGGGGTCATGATGCAAGATTTGCTCTTTGCCGCGCATGCAAAGAGCCTGGCCAAGACTCGTGGCATATCCGGAGACGGTGATATTGTCATCGGCATCTATCTCTCAAACAGGTCAAACTTCCCCGGCCTTGATGCGATGCCCTGTCCAACGTTGGCACTCCTGCCACTGAGAGTCCGCAGCCCCGGTTCACGCCCTGTCTTGGAGCTCGCCAAGGAGATCAGAAGAGATATCGGGGACATCAGTGGGGTGGAGAGCATTTCTGCAGGACTTTGGGAGATTCAAGAGTGGACAGGCGCGGTTGTGGACACGTTCGTCAACTTCCTCCCAGCAATAGAGGACAGCCGAAAGCCCGACCACAAATCCGGCGTGAGTCTAGAGCTTGTGCCACAGCTTGAGGATTCCATTGCCTCGCAGAAACGCAGCTCAGCCAAGGAGGCCTATCCTGGCATGATGGAGATTGCGGGTAACCATATCAGGAGCAGTTATCCAGTAAGTGAACTATTAACCATTTTGTCGACATGGAAGCCGCAGTCTTCACTAACGCATTGCTTTACTCCTGCGCACAGGATGCTCTCGACGTCGAAGCTGCGGTCAGAGACGGCTGCTTGGATATCGGCTTGTTCTCCCAACCAGGCAAGCTGTCGCGTGACCAAGCAGTTCACTACATTGACGAGATTGTGAAAGTGCTAGGGGAGGTTGAGCTGGAATAATCGACATCCCATTTTGATGTAATTTTCTTTTTTCTTTTATAGCTCTTTGATTTCTCTCTTCGCCCGCACGCCTACGGCATAGCCTTCTTTTTTCTCTATTTTTTCTTTTTATCAAGCATTGGCTCGATAATAGATTGTTATAGACCATCCACAAACACAACTCACCGTTCCGTGTTTCCTGTGCGGTTGGATCCAAAGGAGGAACAATACGAGAGTGGATTTGTGTGTCCTCTTCAGTTTCGGGCGCATTCAGAGTCCGGAGGTGTTGCACCTACTTTGCAAATATAATGCGTGTGCTGAGGCCGGAATGGCGGATCACTTTGCCGACGGAACCGTCAGCAATCCCCACATGGCTCCCTTCCCCAGGGCTTTTCCCCAGCTTCCTGGGCCTCAAACCTCCGCCCAGCGGTTGATCTCGAAGCTCATCCCCCATCACACACAAAGGCCCCCTCAAGGATGGCGACAGAGACGCTCACGGTCGCCCAGTCGCTCGCGGCGGTTGCATCTTCGTCGGTCCTGTCACCCGGCGGAGAGGCGATTGAGCTGCAGACTTCCCCCAAGCACGGCTCCCACGATGTCTCGCGCCGCCACGTCGCAACGACAACAACCACAGGCCCGGCACCGGCGCGCAAGTCGACATCGTCAGAGCACGGCGACGACACGGACGGCGTCCGCGCGGGCCTCCCGCCGCCGGCCACGGCTCACGACGCGCCGCTCAAGTGGAACTCGCCGCGGGGCAACATTGCCCGCCTCGCCTTTGCCTTTGTCTCCTTCATGATTGCCGGCATGAACGACGCCGCGGTGGGCGCGCTCATCCCGTACCTCGAGGAATGGTACCACCTCAACTACACGACTGTCTCGCTCATCTTCCTCACACCCTTTGCCGGCTACTCGGCCGCCGCGCTCGTCAATGCCACCATCCACTCAAGGTTTGGCCAGCGCGGCATCGCCGTGGCCGCCCCCGTCTGCCACATCATCACCTACGTCGTCATGGCCCTGCACCCGCCGTACCCCGTCATCATCGTCATCAACATCATCGCGGGCTTTGGCAACGGCCTCACCGACGCCTGCTTCAGCTCCTACCTGAGCCAGTTTGAGAACCCCAACAGCATCCAGGGCCTCCTCCACTCGTGCTACTCGGTCGGCGCCCTCTTCAGCCCCTTTGTCGCCACTAGCCTCATCGTCAAGGCCTCCCTGCCCTGGTACACCTTCTACTACATCATGATTGGCATCAGCGTGCTCGAGTGGGCCGGCCTCTCGGCCGCCTTCTGGAGCAAGACGGGCGAGGTCTACCGCCTCGAGCACCCGCGCACCTCGGAAGGCTCCGGCAGCCGCACCCGCGAGGCCGTCCGCTCCAAGGTCACCTGGATCTGCACGGCGTATCTCTTCACCTACATGGCCATCGAGGTGAGCCTGGGCGGCTGGGTCGTCACTTTTATGCTGCGCGTTAGGGAGGCCTCGCCGTACGACGCGGGCATCTCGGGCACGGGCTTCTGGCTGGGCATGGCCGTGGGCCGCGCCGCGCTGGGGTTTGTGACGGAGAGGTTTGGCGAGCGGCTGTGCGTGACGGTCTACCTCGCCTTTGCGCTCGCGCTGCAGCTCGTCTTCTGGCTCGTGCCCCAGTTCGTGGTCAGCGCCGTGGCCGTCGCGCTCCTGGGCCTGTTCCTGGGGCCCATTTTCCCGGGAGGCGTCATGATGGCGGCCAAGCTGCTGCCCAAGCACTTGCATGTCAGCGCGCTGGGGTTCGCCATGGCGATTGGCGGCACGGGGGGAACCATCTTCCCTTTCGCCATTGGTGCCATTGCCCAGAGCAGAGGCGTGCAGGTGTTGCAGCCCATTGTGCTGGGTCTGATCTGTGTTGTCGGGTTGCTCTGGCTGAGCTTCCCTCGTGTCCATAAGCGGGAATAGGGTCTTGTGAAGCCGTGGCAAATGTCCTTATCTCGGCTGGTCCCCGATGCTGCTGCACGAGGATAATCATTGTGGCTGTATGTAGATCTGCTTTTTGGGGGAGAACACGAGATCTTTCGGGGAGCAGTCATGCGCGGTGCCTGATGCCCGCACGGCACGCAGCATCTCGAAGCGCTGCAGGCAACCTTCCCGAAGGAGATGCAGGCTGACTTGCATCTGGGCGCCTATACACGCATTTCATCTCTCTGTCTGTCTCTTTGCCCCCTTCTCTTTTCTGGGTCCTCCCTCGTAAGGTTGAAGAGCACCGGCTGTCATGGCCGAATGCGGAAGTTGTCTAGTGTCTCGAAAGAAACGACCACGTGAGGAGCACGCCTCAATGACCAGGCTCATAGGCATAGTACTACAAAGAGACATGCCTTCAGCCAGCCAGCCCAGCAAGATATGGCTGATTTTTGCGCACACGCGAGGAACTCCACAAGTGGACTCACCTGGGGGAACCTCGCAGAGTCCTTAATAAACACTGGCTCCCCCAGGCGAGCAGGACAACTACCGGTCCTACCCCAGAGTGGCAGCTGGCCAAACTGCCGATGAAGCCCCACGGCTCGTCAGGGTCTCTCTGTAGCACGTCCCGTGTGTCCCCACGGCATGGATGGGCGGCTCGTTACTAAGTCGGCTTATCGACCAGTGCTCTGCTTCCCGATCAGGAAGGTGTTGGATGTCAAAAGTACCACCCACAAAAATGCTCCGCGAACCCGGCCGCATTTGCGGACGCACGCAGTTGCAGTCACGCAACCTGCCCTGAACGCACGCCGTCGCGACAGGCGGTCCCTGATTTGCGCGGCTCGTGTTGCAATCGGCGCAAGCCCCGCGACTCAGGGACACGAAAGTATTGCTGAGGCAACTAAACCCCAAAGCACATAGGGCCAGATAGCACAAACTCTCGGTCGACATGCTCCACCAAAGCAATCTTTCGGCACCCTTTTAAGCTTGTTTCGTAGCTGTTAAGCTTACTGCCGCCACCCAACGTTATCCCCGTTTCGTCAAGGGCCGCCGTGTAATAGCCATCCACCCCGCTGGTTCGCCACGCCCGATAGCGAGCGGTCCAAGCTTGTCAAGCACAAAGCTTGATCCGCACCTGGGGAGGGAATTCCTGGGACCAGCATATGCAGATAAGGGCCTTTCCCCAGCCTCGCCAAGCTGTCCGCTATCGGTGTGCCGAGCCGGCATTTCTGAGCCGTGGGTCCTTCGAGGACATAGGCCAGGGCGAGCTTCGAGGTATTGCGTGACAAGGGGCATGATGACCACAACGCCAGCATCGCCGGGGTCGGTAAGCTTTCTGGGCCGACGTACCAAGCCCTCACGGTCCCTGTCGATATTCGACTTGCCACAACCAGCTTGGCCTCAGGACCAGCCGGACCTGCCCAATCACATGGTCAACATGGGACCGTAGATGCCTAGTTATGAATACTACCTTCTCTCTTTCGAACTAGCTACTGATCGGCGACCTAGAGGCAGGCTCCTGCAAGGGTGGGGATCCCCTGATATCTCGGTCCGCCGCTTATAGAACGCCGCATGTGCGTGCTCCAACCCCGGCATCGACTATCTGCTCGTCCCGGAAGGCGAGTCGACATACGACGAGGGCCAGCGCTTACGGGCCTTGGAATGGCCTGCTCGATGCGTCTGGCACAGCCCGCTCTCTGTACCATTCGTGACCCGCTCTGTCCCCGGTTGGTTTCCTCGCCATAACCAAGTCCAAGCTCAACTGCTCCACGGCGTCGCATGCGCGCCTTGACGCGAGCAGCCGGGCAGGTGGTGAAAGCAATGATCCCATATGGGGCCACCTACCGTGGCCGGGTTCCTCGATGGACACGAGCCTGGCCCGTGTGATCGACGCCACGGCCCTCGTTCTCAAAGAAGCAGCTTGAAAGCCTAGACCTCCTTCCCCGCGAGTCGGGGACAACAAGTCGAGTGCGGATGAGTCTTGTGGGGGTTGTGTATATATCCCCGTTCCCCTCGACTCGAGACCGACGCTCTTGGCCTCCTCTCACCAGTCACAGCCACGCGGCAGGAGATCGCCACAGCCCTTCCTCCAGCTTTCCCCCTTCTCCCGCGTGCTCTGATCAAAATGGCCGGTCGCTCGCTCGTCCTCCTTGGCCTGCTCGGCGCCACTGCCGTCACCGCCCACCCCTACCACCAGCCCCAGATCGACCCGAGTGGCAGCAGTGTGGCCCGCCGCGGCATCGACCTGACTGCCTTTGCGCCCCCTGCCCGCGCCGAGTACGTCAACTCCGAGGGCACTGCGTCCAAGGGGTCCTTGAAGCTCCTCCGCCGTGAGACCTACGTCGAGACCGCCTCGGCCGTTGTCAAGGAGGCTGCCCCCAACGCGCAGTTCCGTGTCGTCGAGGACCACTACGTCGGCACCAACGGCGTGGCTCACGTCAACTTCAAGCAGACTGTCAATGGCATTGACATTGACAATGCCGACTTCAACGTCAACGTATGTTCGGAATTGCTTTGTTGGAGTTAGTTAGCATAGGATCGACCACTAACACTTTGTCATGTAGATTGCCGCCGATGGCTCTGTCCTGTCCTATGGCAACAGCTTCTACACTGGCGAGCTCCCCAGCTCCCTCACCAGGCGCGAGGACCTGAACCCCGTGGCGGCTCTCGACCAGGCCGTCACCACCTTCCAGCTCCCCATTGAGAATGCTGCTGCTGCCAGCGCGGAGCCCACCGAGGGTGCCGACGACTTTGTCCTGACTGGCACCAACGGTGCCCAGTCGGACCCCAAGGCCCGCCTTGTTTACCTTGTCAAGAGCGACAACAGCCTTGCCCTGACTTGGCGTGTCGAGACGGACGTGCTCGACGACTGGCTGCTGACCTATGTCGACGCCGAGAACAACAGCGAGGTCCACAGCGTCGTCAACTACGTCGCCGAGGCTGGGTTCCAGGTCTATCCCTGGGGTGTCAACGACCCTACCGAGGGGTCCCGCGTGACCCTGACGGACCCGGCGAACCAGCAGACATCCGAGTTTGGCTGGTTCAGCACCGGCACGACATCGTACACCACCACGCGCGGCAACAACGCCATTGCCCAGGAGAACCGCGACGGCGACAGCGCGTACTTGAACAACTACCGCCCCACTTCGTCCTCGCTCAACTTCTCGTACCCTTACTCTCTCACCCAGACCGACTACAAGGCGTACCAGGACGCCTCCATCGCGCAGCTGTTCTACACTGCCAACGTATGTCCCACCCAAACGATCTCCCCACACCTGTTGTCCCCCAGACGAACGAATGAATTCAGCTGCTGACGTTGAACCTAAACCCCCCTGACAGACCTACCACGATGTGCTCTACACTCTCGGCTTCACTGAGGCGGCAGGCAACTTTGAGCTGAACAACAACGGCCAGGGCGGCAAGGGCAACGACGACGTGACCCTCAACGCGCAGGACGGCGCCTTCACCAACAACGCAGACTTTGCCACGCCGGCGGACGGCTCGAAGCCGCGCATGCGCATGTACATCTGGACCAAGACGACGCCCTACCGCGACTGCACGTTCGAGGCCGGCGTCGTCATCCACGAGTACACGCACGGCCTGTCGAACCGCCTGACCGGCGGGCCCGCCAACTCTGGCTGCCTCAGCTCGACCGAGTCGGGCGGCATGGGCGAGGGCTGGGGCGACTACATGGCGACGGCGATCCGCCTCAAGGCCAGCGACACGGCGGCGACGTCGTACACGATGGGCGCCTGGGTCAACGGCGGCGCGGGCATCCGCGCGTACCCGTACTCGACCTCGCTCACGACCAACCCGCAGACGTACAAGACGGCCAACGGGCTCAGCTCGGTCCACGCCATCGGCACCATCTGGGCCAACATGCTCTACGAGATGACCTGGGGCCTCATCGCCAAGTACGGCAAGTCGGTCGCCACCTTCCCTACCTTCGACTCCAAGGGCGTCCCCACCGACGGCAAGTTCCTCGCCATGAAGCTCGTCGTCGACGCCATGGCCCTCCAGCCCTGCAACCCCAACTTTGTCCAGGCCCGCGACGCCATCCTCGACGCCGACAAGGCCCTCACGGGCGGGGTCAACGCCTGCATCATCTGGACCGCCTTTGCCAAGCGCGGCCTCGGCGATGGTGCTCGGTACAGCAGCTCCAGCCGCACCGAGAGCTTCACCGTCAAGTCTGGCGTCTGCTAAGCGGTTTTCACCAGCTGCTTTTTGGCTCGTTTGGTGGTGTGTGTGTCTTGCTTGATGTCCGCGGAGTCTGTGTCGTGGCGATGCGCAGAGGTCCACTTCTCTTTGGGGAGACGGCGCAGATGGCAAATGGTGGTGGTGGTGCATGATGATTACGATGGTGATGATGATGGAAGGGAGTGTTGAAGAACTCGTACATATCAGCAGTGTCGGGGCCAGGCTATCTCTACACGTAAGAGTGGCTGCCACGATCTTTGATCTTCTTCTTGTATATAAACATTTGGCGAGCATCGGATACAGTATATATCACATCCACAAGCAGGTGCAATATTCTCTGCGTGTTCAAAGTATGAATGCCGCTGTGAAACGACAGAGCACTGAACAACATATATGTGACTGATTTTGACATCCGTATGAATGGGCGAGGAGGAGTAAAGTAGCAGGACACGTAACTTCCGGGCTACCTTGACTACCCAAGAGGGATAGGCAAGCGCAATGTTTCAAGGCACGCATGATTACACTTCAGGATGAAGAAATATCCATCGTTTAAGAATGGTGCAAGGCGCGTGTCGCTCTCCTCAAGCGGGAACTCTTATGTAGGCTGCTGGACCTTTTCTTCTTTTGGAAAAAGGGTTGAGAGTACTTGGTGGACTTTTAGGTCTGGGAGTAGGGCGAAAGAATGTCCAGACGCTGATGAAGTCATCGTGCTGGCTTTTCGAAGTCGAATTTGATCTTATTCTTGGTCACTATGTTGGAAATGCTTGCACATTCTTCTCCGCTTACTTGAACCTTCTGTTTCATCCTGAAGGCTTTTTCTTTTCTGCTTCTCGGGCGGTCATGACTCTTTGGAGCACGCTACCGCTTTGCGACTGAGCTCGTCTCAATCGTTGCCAAGGCTTTCCTTGTAGTGAATTTCCTCCGCCTCATGTGTTTCACGGGTGAGTGTCATGGCAGCATTGCGGCTGACATACATATATCTACTATATATATCTAATATATAAACTGCTGACGGAACGATACAGTGGCACTCCCCAATCAACTAGAAAACTACTACCATACGCAGTTTCATGCTTTGGCCGTGACAACGACTCCCCTGACCACTCTGCTGCGAGCCCACCACCCGAAGAGGCAGCCCGCGACCCGCAACGAGCCCATCTTCAGCCCGACGCCCTCAAGCCGGACCTGCTGGGTATCCATGTACCTGGCCAGCGGACCAAAGACGTGCTCCGTGACATCTGTCACCACGATGCTGTCCGCCGCGTAGCCCGCGGCGACGAGCATCTGCCGGTACTCGCGCTCGGACTTGAACGCGGTCCAGGGACACCCGCTCAGCCTGCCGACGACGCGCAGCTTGAGCGTCTGCCAGGTACTGGCGGTGTCTGAGAGCAGGATGTCGAAGGCGGCCAGGTCGGCCCGGAGGTCCCTGGCTGCGTATGCGAGGAGCGGCAGGCGCGACGGGGAGAAGTGGTACAAGGTGTCGAGGGCAAGGAGGATCGTCGCGCTCTGTCTGGACTTGCCGCCCCCGACGTGTTTCGCCGAGGACCCGGCAGAGATGGCTGCTGCTTTCTCCAGACAGGCGGGCGGCCATGACTTGGGATTCGCGGCATCGCCGAGGAACAGTGACACGTCGTGATGCTCGTGCAGGCGTGATGTCACACGCTGCCGTGCGCATGTGAACTGTGCCTGGTTGAGCGTGACCCCCAGATATCGCAGGTCTGCATCTGCGGCAAGGTTCGAAAGGGCCAGCGTCTGGTCCCCACAGCCAAACCCGACATCTAGGACCGAGAAAGTCCTCAAGTCTCGTCGTATCCTGCGATCCTGAGGCTTTTTGTCGTTGCTGCCGTGGTCATTGGGCTCCAGCAGGCCCGCTTGCTCGAGCAAGGCACAGAGCAAAGCCCGACAGGCGCCGGCGAAATCGTCTGGCTCTACATCATGCCACAAGCCCATGTTCATCCACATCGACGGCGGCGGCAGGACGAGATTGAGCTTGCCGTGGTCGAGGCCGTACATGGCGTCGCCGTTCTGGACCGGGCCGCGCCGCTTGATGAAGATTCGCCAGGCACCCGCCGAGAGGGCTTGAACTACCAGCGCCAGCACAGCGCCGAGACCCATCCATGTCGCCGGCGCGTCTCTGGCATACTCGGGCCACGCCATCTTGAGGGCACAAACCTTGGTTGCCCAAATGAGGTGCTTCAAGGGCTGACGAGGTGCCCCGAGAAAAGAAAATGGCTTAGCGCCCTAACTATGCGCAATCCCGCCCCCTTGTTTTTTCCCCACGCTAAGTGGCACCTAATGTCTTATTATCTCGTAGGCGTATCATGAGACCCCAAACGCTCCGCTTTACGCGCTATCAAACGTTTCGCGGACCAACATGGTGCGAAGATTTGGATACGGCACTTTTTTGGGAGCTGGGAATCCCTTGGTCTGTCTGGGGAGGTAGGAGCCCTTAACTTCAGCGTACTAGCTAGACTATGCGTGATACCTTAAGGTAGAAAGACTGGCGCAAATACGCTGCTTCTATGAAAAGCTGAGTATCTCCTATCTACACTAAAAAGCGTCGAGAGGTCATAGAGAAACTGCCTCAAGAACGACTAGAGACAGAGGAATAGGAGGATATCATGCTGAGATAAAGTGAGGTTTTTCCTAACCATGGGAAGAACAACCACACAACGGCCAAAGCGAGTCCGCCGCCTGCTAGGTTCAGTAGCATTACCAGTGAGGCTCGTCCAGGCGGGCCGCCTCAGTAAGGCCGGGCCCAAATTTCTGGAGATAGCGATGGGTTTGATGAGGGAGGCAGCGACGACAGCATGGAGTGGCTCCCCTTGTACATTGAAATCATATGGGCGCCTCGAACGGAGCAGAGGAGTGGACGGCACGGCCCGCCTGCAGAGGCGCGCTGAAGAATGGTAGCAAACATTTAGCAACCCACCTTGCATGTACGCGTGCTGCGTACGGGGGGCTCGTTTGGACGCTGACTGATGGTGGGGCGGTTCTCAGAGCGGGGAGCTCGTAAGGCGCAGAGAGGGGGGAGGGGCCCGCCCAGGACGCCAGCCGTGGGAACCCTCCGTGCTTCCTGGGAGGCCACAGCCCAGCCCTACAGTGGGCAATGATGCGAAACGCCAGAGCACCCAGCCAACTTGTGATAGAGAGCCATGGCAATAGCTCCGGAACAACCGGGGATGCTTCCCCTGCTAGTATCCGAGTTGGTCCTCTTTCTTCCTCTTTCATTCACACCTGCTCGGTCAGCACAGTGATCATGTCCCAACAACAGCAGCGATGTTTGCTTGTGCACATATTCTCTTGGGTATCACGCTCTACATGCCTGGGCAAGTCCACCCGCCATCACAGCCTCAACATCAACAATCAGGACCTCACTCGCCATTGGCATCAAACCGCCTACGCCTTCACCTTCGCTTCCTCCCTCCACGGGACAGAAACACCAAAGTCGTCGGCCACCCGCATCGCTGATGTGACGCAACCCTCCAGCAACACCATGCCGTCCCAACACCAACCGCCCACGAGCCAGACACCATCGGTGCCGTTCGTCCACTGAGGCTTCCCGTCCACCACTGGTGCCCGCCTCTTGCCCGCGACCAGCTGGTTCACCACTTGTTTGCTTTCCGTCGTCCGCAGCACACGCGGGAAATCCCATCGGTGCAGAATCTGGGCCGTGTCGGCCGTGTCGAACGGGCAAGTGGCCACCACGGCGCCGCAATCCACCAGATGAAGTGCTTCGGTCTGAGCCTCTGCTCCGCGCATCGAGTTGAGGGTAATCAGCTGGGCCTGCGGACGTCCACGCTGTCTTGTTTCCATCGTCGTCTCGGTTTCCGCGTCCACCTTTGCCAGTCTCGCTCTGTCGCCTGTCGGCTGCAGAATCGTGTTGACCACGGCGATCGTGGGGATCTTGGACATGGCGGCGCGCAACGGCGCGAATATTCCGCCGACCACATCGGGCGACACAGCTAGGACGACCCGGTCAAACCTCTCCGTGGATAGGCTGTCGTCGCCGCCGGCACTCGATTGCCACGCCACTTCTACCTGGCGTCCTGTTGGCGTAACCGCCACGACTCGGGCGTTGGTGCACGCATGCAAGCCCTTTGCCAGCTTCGCCTGCACTTCTCGCACACCATCCACCACGACGTAATGCTCGGAGCCGTGTGACTTCTTCTTATAGTTGACAATGTCGCTAGCTGGGAAACGCAGAAGCTCTTCATGTGGGCATGTTGACACGCTGGCCATGAGAGGCAGGGCATAGTTCTCGACGAAGCTACGCGGCAACCAGATGCGCCCGGCGTAATCCCCGAAGGACTCGTCATGGCGCGGCTCGACCAGGAAGCAACAGAGCGTGAGCCATGCGTAGCAAGCGAGGACGAACAAGATCCGCAGCACGTGCTCGGCGACCGCCATTCCCGGCGGCCGCGGCGGTAGCTGGTGCAGGTTCGACGCGTGAATGAAGTATGGAGGTGATAGCGGCTCGATCTCATCTCGGCCAGCTTTGTGATGCCGCTGCTCAGAGAATGCAAACAGGAACCGTTGCGCATGGTACCGAATGCCAAGGTAGTCATACATGCGGCGCGTATTGTTGTAGTAGCCGCCGGCAATCGCTCTCATCGGCAGATCCACGCGCTCAATGGCACCGGTGTCCTCGTCGCGCAACGTCACGGACGCCGAGTCGAGAGATAGAGAACCCCCCTTTTTACCGGTGGTCAGCTCGTGGCCAGGCACGCGACAGAAAAACGGACTCGCTGTGGAAAGCAGGCAGGCCGACATACCTTCTCAAATATGGTGATGTGATACCGCTGGCGCGGGTCTTGGGCAAGCAGATGGGCGGTCACAAGGCCTGCCATGCCAGTGCCGACAATGGCCACCCGAGTCTTAGCTTCGTCCATGTTGGCGTTGCGGTGGTAAGCTATATCGCAGATTCGCAAACTCTCTGCCGGAAGAGGGAGACTGGGCGAGGCAATAAGAGCTGGACACGGCTACATTACCGAGGACGTCATGGTGCGTGCTGCGACGGGACGGGAGCGCAGCTGCAGCTTTTGCGTGCGTGCGGGGCTGGCTCCCTTTGCCCCTGGCGGCCGCCGCCCTGGCGATGCATTTCTCAAACATGCCACAAATCAAGCCATTGCCGTCTCAACAGCAGTGTCTGGGTTAGTCGGCTTCAAGTGCCCCTCTTGCCCAAATGGGACAATGAGAGCCGAGCTCAGCGTCATGATTCCGCCAGGATCAAGGCGATTGTTCCCGCCCGTTTGGGCTGTGCAATTAAGCTTATGACTTTGGAGCACTAATGCCCAGCACGGCTTAAGGGGGGTGGTGACACGAGGCACCATGATTTGGGGGACTGGAACCATCCAGATACTACTTAGAGCCATTAACAAGTCTTTCTATAGGATCTCCAGGATTGGCGGGAAAAAAGTCCCAATACTTCTTATCTACGCGAGCGTGAGTGGATTGACCGCACAGACGATGTACCAGGACTTCCGATTTTGGGCAGAAGGAAGTGATAGAAAGCACCCGAACCTATCGCAAATTCGTGGCTTTGCTTCGTCTGTTCCAGACAGCACTGCACTCAAGTACAATCCACGTAGTGCAAGGATTTCGCCAATCCTGGCGACCCAATAGCTCAATAGCCACCCGTCACTACCATAGATCTTTGACAAAGCCAAATGTTGCGACACTGACATTTGCCAGTCTTTCGCATGAAGGTGCTATTCCCACGAACTGCTTCAGCCTATTGCAATGCCCATCTCGTCCAGTCTCCTCACTGATAGGGTCTTGTTGTGCTCGAAACGCAGCTGGCCCACTCGGGAAGCAACCGTCGCGAGGCGCCAGCCGGGAGCTGACGAGGATGTGGTAACCGAATCGAGCGGATTGCGCTATACTAAATCGTGTGTGACCACAGATCATGGCATGATTCGAAAGCACCAACAAGGCCAACGGCACGGGTACCCGAGCATGGCACGACACAATGAACATTATCGGATCCTTTTCCGCATGGCAGGGACCTTCTAGAAAGAGAGGCTTTTGCTTAGCGCCACTCTCCGTGGTAGCCGCCAAGGGGCTTAAGCGATTCAACCACATTAGCGCTGTCTGAATGCACCATGCACCCCTCTGGAGTGGCCACTGCACTGCCCGTGAGGGGGCCTCTATCCACTGCCTGCAATACGCACGCTGCGTAAGGTATTCGCCCTTTCCACCCCAGTGCAGTAGTAGTGCCTGAGCTCCTCGTTGGACTGCAACACTTTTTGTGCCTTGGCCCGAAATCTACAAGATCTACACCGACTGTAAACGACTGGCTGGCAATTCGAACCACATCTTGCCAAGGTGCTGTCGGGAGTACCCGTCAAAACGTACGATTTCGAAGTGTTGGCGGGGAACCACATTATGGAGTTGCTCCTGCCTGGTATTTCTCCTGCTATACCGGGAGGCCCCCTGAAGAAAGATATTTGGCAAGACATTGAATCGCTCGATCGACTCTCTAGAGGAGACAATCGACGGGCACAGGAGAACGTGGGGGGCCATGGTCAGGCTGGTTTACTTGGTCACGGCTAACGTACGTACTTTCAGTACGTTACTTTAGGCAGCAGGCGGTACGCCCTTTTTGATTTAGAGACAATGCCGTGTTCGTATTGCACTCTTTGCGAGCTGCCTCACCCGCTCTCGTTTCTTGCAACAACCTGTTTAGAGGGGGACGGGACACAAAGTCAGCCCGGGCGAGGTGGATGAATGGAGGAGCAGCCTGGCGACCCCCTCAACGGCGGCCGGCACGGGCCTTGCGCCTCGCCCCCCCCTCTTCCCCATGCCGTCCTTGCCATGGCGTGAGTTGGCCACGCTGGGGACAGCAGGCCTCTCAGCTCTGCAGCAACCCCCCATGTCGCTGCACCGCCCAACCACCAACCACGAGCCGGGGCTGGCAGCGGCTGTGCTGGCTCACTTGCGCGCCCGCCGCAGCCCCCAAGCTAGACTAGCATCTCCCTGCCTGTCCTCACAACGTTGCCGCATGCAATGGCAACCTCGATGTTGTGCGGCGGCGGGCGGCGTCCCCTGCCCGGCCCTGTCTGCTCTCTCACCCCAGGGGGGCCAAAAATAAGATCACGCCCCCGGTCACGCTCTTCGCGATCTCGACCTGAGCCGTGAGCAACGCGAGCCCGTCAGCCTCTGGCTTCACCGTCCACGGCTCACGGCGCCCGTCTCTGTGCCTGTCGAAGCCGTGGTTGCAACACCAGAGCTTCCAACCCTCAAGACCCGGCACAGCTGCACTCGCTGCCACTAAACCTCAAATGCCCCCTCGCGTAGCGGCGTGACCCTCTGCGCCGCCGACAAGAAAAGAGTCCTGCCCCAACCGACACACTAGGGAGAGCCTCCTTCACGATGGGCAGATCCGCAGGGACGGCAAACTCGTCCGCGCACCGGCTGCCCGTCAACCACCGGCGACACAAGGTGCCTCCCGAGCAGCGGAAACGAGTCGCAACGGCGTAAGTCTGGCTCTCTTTTGTTGGTCTCTGTTGTTGTTGCTTCTATTCGAACCCTTGCACACCCCGTCGGCTCGGTCCCGCGCAACCCAAAAGCAATCGCCCCGCAGTCAGCTAACTACCGCCCGGCGGCTTTTCAAACAAACCACAGCTGCAACAGCTGCAATCTGCGCCGTATCAAGTGCTCTGGCGAGAAGCCGTGTGCCCAGTGCAAGAATGGCACAAGGGAGTGCGAGTACCCGGCACCCGTCGAGAAGGTGGCAGTCCCGCGAGCAGAGATTGATGCTCTCCGTGCCCGTTGTGACCAGCTCCTCTCATGCCTCGAGCAGGTCGTGCCAGATGCCATCAGGAGGCATGAGCTGCTTGCCAGGGCCGCTCAACAGTCTACCTACCACCCGAGCAGCAGTGAAGCATCCACGCGAGCTACAGACTCGCATGAGGAGGAACCGGGGCAAAACGACGGGCGGTGGCTCGCGGACCCTGATGGCACTCAGCGCTACCTCGGCTCCACGTCGGGAGCCACGTTCCTAGATCTCGTCAAGGAGTTCATGAGAACCATCTTCCCGCTCGCTTGGCCAAAGGTGCCCAACTCGGGCGTCGAGTTTCTCAGCTCGCTCGGGCAGTACCAGACGGGCGACTCGAGGCCCTTGGAAGAGCCAGACGTCGACGCAACTGTGCTGCCCACCAAGCAAGACATGTCCAAGATGATGACGCATTTGAGCTTCTTTGTCCAGGATGGCGGCGGCGACTTCGCATCAGGAGGCATCTACTACTGGGGCAACCTCGATGCCTCCATGTTTGACGCCATGACTTTTAACCAGAACACCGACGCGCGCATTCTCCGGCGCCTGGCGCTGTTCCACGCCGCGTTCGCGCTCAACTCGCAGCTCGAGATGCCTACCAAGTCGTCCGGCACGGACGAGATTGGCGAGGTGCATTTTGCCCGGGCGAAGAAGCTCCTCGGTAATCCCCTCGACACGACAAACAGCTCGGTCGGTGACATTCCCGTATTGACCTTGATGGCCCTGTACCTCATTGAAATGAACCGCCGTGATGCTGCATACATGTACGTGAGCTGGGGTATACATCTGGCGGTCATGCACGGCGTACACATTGGTGGCTGGGTCGATGAGCAAGGGCGACGAGCTTTCTGGACGCTATATATCCTCGACAGGTATGTGCATCCTATAACTCCCTCATCACGAACAGAGCATCCATTGACGGAATGGTGTTGCTATCTCCAGATGGCTCAGTTGCCTCATGGGCCGGCCGCCGTGTCTGGTGGACGACGCCATCAAGCTGCCGCCAGCACAGGACCAGAGAGGTCTGCCGCCGTCCAAAGGGCTGAAGGCACATGTCGAGCTGATGAAGATCTGCGGATACATTGTCTGCAACACTTATCGGATAGCGCCCAACGAGTTTGAAGGCCTGACCACATCGAACCGCATCGAGCGGGCCCTGGCTTCTTTGAGTCGCTGGAAGGCGAATCTGCCCCCAGAACTGACTCTGTCCGATATACAAAGCTACGACCGGGCGGCCTGTGAACTTCACATGATCCACAATCAGGTACGCAGTAGCGGTCTCACTGTGGTTGGCGAACGATGGACTGACTCGGAAACACAGCTGTTGATTCTGACGATAAGACCAATATTCTTCGTGGCGGTCAAGAAGACGGTGGCTGACAAGTTCATCGAGCGCGACTGGAGCCTCAAGGGCCATCCGCAGTATCAACACATTCAGGACTGCATTGCAACCGCCAGGAGTAACATCAAGCTCGGCCGCTGGGTGCGCGAATTGTCCGGGAGCAAGAAGTTGCTGTCGCAGGACCTGCACCACATCTTCAATGCGGCCATCGTGCTCTTGCTGAACCAGCTGCTCGACGACAACCTCGACGCCCAGGACTCGCTCGACATATTGTTCGTCATTAACGTCTTCAAGGACGAGTCCTACGGCGAGAGGCGTGACTACCCGAAGGACTGCGCGCGGGTGCTCGAGGACCTCAAGGTGTTGATCCAGCGTCTCCGCAACCAGACTCTGGACGACCAGGGGATGCGCAGCCAGAACATGGAGGACCAGGCGATGTTTGACGCGAACCACGAAGGCTCGTCATCGGCGAGAGCGAACTCGACCTCTGCGGCACCGCGGAGACAGCCTGTTGTTGCCCGGGGGGCATCCTCGTCTTCATCGTCCTCCCAGCAGCAGCAGATGGGCCAACAACAACACCCTCTCAACCAGGGCGCCGCAGCGACGGCGGTGACCACCGCCTACGACGTCGGGTACATTCTCAACCAGGACATCCCCCAGAGCCTGCTGACGCTCCACCCGCAGCTTGCGTACAACAACAATGCGCTGTACAGTGTCCTCCACGGCTGGATGGACTATGACGACTTCCAGCTGTACAACCATCGATTGGGATGAACTTGGCTCACTCCTTCTTGGTGGTTTAGGGCAAGCTGAAGCTGGGCCTGAGACTGTCGCATACGCCATGCCTTCGCCGCGAGCTTAGTCGCATGTGGAAAGCATGAGTTATGCACGCCTTCATTTCTGTATACTTGTGAGCAGGGCTCACCTATGCAGCATGGAGGCAAGATTGGAGCTGCCGCTAGGAGAGATAGAACCATTGACGATGGTGGGGTTGATTGAGGCGTCTTGACAAATTACTTGGCGAGACAACGAGTGCGAGATTCGGCATTGCCCCTGGCGTTGGTTTCAGCCACGGGCTAGGGTCAAGGAACCTGGGTCCCAGGCTACTGTACACGATTCGATTTCTACCTACATTTTTAAGCTGCCCTGGGATTCTCCCTCGGTTGAGAGGCACCGTGATTCAGAATGTTGTTGTGGTTTTGTCATAGAGCTCCTTGTTATATCGTGAATACCAGTCCGGGAACAAATCTAAATCCTCGATAATTGTTATTTTCTAACCGTCCGGCTGTTCCTCGTCGGGCTCTGTCTTGGTTACTTTAACAATGGTGGCAAGTGAAAACAGCCTGCCTTTGGTCCTGGGCCAAGAGGGGGCCGCCCTGCGTAATAAAGTACTCTGGAGGTGGGGAATCTCTCTCCACACAACGAACCGGCGGTGCGCACCCACAACTGCACTCCTGCTCTGAAATCTCACTCAACACCACACCACGGCAGGAGCTCACTTATACCAAATCGCAGAAACTTTCAAGTCAGAGCGCATGGCACATTAGCCTTTGTCTATGCGCACTTCTCAACCCCTCTGAGCCACCGCCTTTACCCTCCCGTGCCTCTACGCCGTCAGCATGTCGACACCACCGCCACCCCTTGACCAGGCGCCCAGCAACGTCAAGTCCCTGTCCATATTCGGCGGGTACATGGCGACCGCGGCGCTGCTGACATGGCGCTCCGTGGTGATCATCAGGGCGCAGTACAAGCGCAACAGCACACTCGCAGCCGCGGCCTCCTCCTCTTCTTCTTCCTCCTCCTCCTCCTCGTCAGCACAGGCAACACAGCAACAGCAGGCGCAGAACGAAGCCCTCCTGTCTGCGGCCCAGCTCCGCCGGCGGATACGGGTCTTTAGCGTCCTGGCCGCCGCGAGCCTGGGCACGACGTGGTACTACATGTTTGCGTTCTTTGCGCACTCGTATCGCGAGTGGGCGGCCACCAAGGGCGTTGATGTCGTTGCCGCGGCCGCCGCCGCCGCTGGTGGTGGTGGTGGTGTTCTGCAGGGCTTGCAGCTGGGCGCCTGGCTCAAGGACACGTCGCTGTTCAGCTTGGCCTGGGGCTCTGCCATGGCCAGCGACGCGCGAGTCTGGTGGACACAGCAGATCTTTGGGTTCTGCTCGGTGTGGACCCTCGTGCTCGGGACTGAAGGTATGTCTTGCTCTCTAGCTCAGGTTGCGTGTCATGCATGGCCCTGGGAGAAATGGGCGTTCCCTTCCAACATTGCATACATCTATCCCCTGGTGAAGCAACAGAATGAGTGAACCAACCAGAGCTGACATGCGAACTGCAGGCTCCCTTCGCAACATCCCAACCCTGTGGCCATTTATTCTGCTCGGGCAGATCGTAGCCATCTCCTTCGCCGCAAACCTGTCCTTCCTGGCCATGATCCTGTCCCCGTGGGTCCCCAAGGAGCCCCTGAAGGGCCGCGCAAAGTGGAACGCAAACTCGCGGCTCGTCGACCCGGCGACCTTCTTCGCGTACGCCATTGTCGGCCTCACGTTTGCCAGTGTGGCCGCCACCCTGCCGTCGTCTTTCGCCGCCACGGAGGGCGGCAGCACCACCACCAGTGAGGACAACAACAACAACAACTCCAAGCAGAGTGGCGGGATGATGAGCGACCCGTGGTTCCTCCCGCTGCTGCTCACGCCCCATGTCCTCGCCTTTGCGCCGCTGCTCCTGAAGAAGCAGATCCGCTCGGCGCGGCAGCTCGCGCAGCCCAGCCTGATTGCGGTCGTCATGGCGATCCTGCTGCAGACTCGGACCACGGGCAACGTGCTGGAGCAAGGCGGCGGGCTGGCGGAGATCAGGGGCGCGTTCTACGAGCACCCGGCTGTCAGCAGTGTCGGCTGGGACGTGGTGCTCTGCTGGGTCAGCTTTACGTGTTGGTCGTTGTTGCGGGACTGAGTCTGGCGAACTTGGCTGCCGAGTAAGCAGGTAGAGAAAAGGGAGGTCTAGATGTGTGGAAAATCTACATACCCTGATGTATCACTATATTAGATGTTTGACAGTGGAATGGAGGTGAATTGGCATTGTAGTGGTGGGGGAATCTACTCAGAGGCCACCGAAGAACTTTTCCTCCTCTTCGCCAATCCACGCCGACCTCTGTGCAATGTCCTCTGTAGACCAGACTCCCAGTTCTGTGACATATCCGTCCACGAGCCGCGACGGAACCCACTCAAAGTAGATGTTCTTCACAACAACTTGACTCTTCCGGGCGTCTTTCTCCGCACTCACACCGCTTCCTCGTCCATTGCGGCCGGTCAGACGAGACAACACTTCTTCGACCCTGGCGACTTTTGTGTCCGCATCTGAGGACCACGCGGCAGTCACTTCAGCGGCATCGTTCTCCTCGACAACATGGCCATCCTTCTCGCCCGACCTGGCGACTTTATCCGTCTCGCTCAGCACGACGACCCGGGGCGACGGCTTCACCGCAGGGTGTTCCTCAGAAGAAGAAGACGAAGACGACAGTTCCCGCGCACACAGCACCGCGGCAAGCGAGCCCGTCTTGTTGCTCACGTCCCCTCCGGCGCTGATGCGGTCTGCGCCGAGCAGGACCACGTCCACGCCGTCCCGCGCTGCATGCGAGACCGCGGCGTCCGGGAAGATGGAGATCTCTAGAGTGCCGCACCCTTTCTTCTTCTCATCCCCGGCGGGGCTGCTGCTGCTGCTGCTGGACTCTTTGTCGTTGCGAGCCTGAGTCTGCTGCTGTGTTTCTTCCAGGAGCTTGGCGGCGCAGGTGACGCCCTCGAACCTCGGGCGGGACTCAAGGATCCGGAGGTCCAGGTGTACGTCGCAAGTGCGCAGGATCTGGAGGAGGGAGCCCGTGATTGTGGAGCTCAGGGATAAGGTGAGGACCGATATTGCCGGTCTTTTGCCCCGGTTGGTGTCTGGACTCTGTTCTTGTTGTTTGTGAAGGGCGGCGTGCTTGTCGCGGATAAGCTGGGCTATGTAATCTTGGAACGACTGCTGGATAAGCGAAGTCGTGGCTGACCGCTCGGTGATTTGGTCGCTGAGGATTGAGAGAATCTGGTTCTGCTTCTGGGGAAGGGAAGTCGTCTCGTCGGCAACGACGGGCTCGATCCGGGCGAGGCTGGTCAGGATGGCGGACGTGATGGCCGCTCCCATGCTCGGGCGGCCATTGGCGCAGAGATGCCAAGCTGCCATTCGCAATGACTCCCAATACCTCTCACTCTCGTCATTATTGTCGTCTCCATTATCGACGTGGTAAATTCCCTGGGCCATGTCCATATGCTCCACCACGTCCTTCAGAATCATAACGGCGCGAGTGGCAAGCTGCCTGGCCCCGTTATCATGGTCATCCTTCAGCTCTCGCAGCCCAGCCATCAGCAACCTCCCGGCGACGGCCCCGAGGTCAGCAGCAGGCCACACGCGCCTCAGGCTCTTAGCCAGCTTCGGCACTCCGCCAAAGGCTTCGCTGTCACTCACGGCGAGCGGGTCGTGCCACTCCCACCCTTCATGCTCCCAGTCGATCGTGATGCGCTGCTCGCCCCTTTCCCCCCGCAGGCGCCAGGAGAACGGATGAATCAGCCACTCCCGGCCAATCTCATCATCGAGAAGCCGATATGGCTTGCCGGCGAGGATCAGCTCCAGGTCGTCGCGTTGTCGTTGGGGACTGCTCCCAGAAGATGCGACGAGACCGGTTTCCTCTCTAATCTCACGTATCGCGGTGAGCAGAGGATTGTTGTTGTCGAGGCTTGCGTCCATGCTCCCGCTGACTGGAGCGAGCTTATGCCTGGAATTTCATAAGTGAATTATCAGCCAACATGCCCTCATCGAGGTGCTTCAAGCGTAGGAAGATGACGAAACAAAGAATCCCAGCCTGGAGCCCGATTCCGCACGCTTGTTGTGTGCTCGCACGGCGATGCCACATGGATCCTTCCCGGAATGGCCGAAAACAGAGGCGAGATTATCGGCTTACTGGTATGTCCTCACTTTCCCACTCCGGCGGAAAAGGGCCACTTGTTCTATACTCGAAACAGGAGGCGTGTCCCCTGCGCCTGCATCATTCGCAGCAACATCGGGGGACGTCTTGAAAATGAACGAGGCCGCTACGACGCGCCGCGTGACACCAGCGTTCGTCGTTGTCGATGATGACGGCGCAGGGGCCGAGGTTGTTTGCATATCCCGACGTGCGTCTGGGAAGATGGCATCAGCTGCGCCACGAGACGCTGTGCTTGTCATGTTTGATGCGGCTTCTTCGAGAGAGGGTTGTGACGAGTTGCTGCGCGGTTGTAAAGTGACGGGCAAAAAGGCGAGACAGGATGAACATTCCAAATGATGTTGTCAGCGCTTTTGATAGCTGAGCACCGGAAGACTTTCAGGTCGGTACGAGAATACTGATCGCTTCAAGCTATGATTGTCGTTTTGTTCGCCGGTGGTGCTTGCCTTGGAGCAGCAAGTCTCGGCATGCTTCAGCGAGCCGGATCCTGCAGGCCTCAGTCGTCGTCGAGTTGAGCGTCAGGTTGGATGTTGCACTGGTGACGTCCGAGAGGAGGGTTGGAGAAGGGCTGATGTCAACGTACTTTGCTGCTGCACCTCCCCCTACCCCGCGTAAGTTTGCGCGCTTCAACCATTTGCGATGCGGCCTTCCTAAATCCGTTGCTCTCACAACGACGAGTTTTCAGATTTTGACGTACGGTGAAGACGCATAATACTTTATAATACTCATCATGAACCACTCGCCCATTGCCGTTGTTTTAAAAGCAACAACCACGACCGTCGACTGCCCTTTGCATTACTCCATTCTTTGCCCACACACGCTTTGTTCCATTCATTATGAAGACACAGGAGTTGTTTTGTGAATAATTCAATAGCACTTGTAGCCGCTTGGTCCCGCGCACGTGTCTCAAGGTCTCTCGCCCCAAAGTAACCTCCGAGTGAAGAGCAACCCAAGCCCGCAAAACCGCGAAGCCAGTGCAGCATGCCAAAGACAAGTAACTATGACCATCCGCTACTGATGACACACATGGGGGCGAGCGAGACCTGCCTTTTCGTAAGCCCTCCCTCCCCGAATTTGAAGCTGACTTATCAGAGATAGTTGGTCAGAGTGCCGGGTATGTGGAACATGCATGCACGCCTCTCGGCAGTGGCAACCCCGGGCAGCGGGAAATAGATAAAGGCTCCTCTTTTTCTTTATTCCTCTTCCGTCGGGTACCTTGCATGACGATGATGGTGGCGATGAGGCCGATGATGACGATGATCAGGCATTGAAGATATTGCCCCACCTTTCCCCTCCCCTCGAACGACGAAAAACCTTGACGAGATCGAACACAACAATGACGGCAACGAGGGGAATATTACCGCCCTATGAACAGGGATTGATAGCTGCCTTTTAAACTGGTGACCGGGGTCTGCTTGCGTGAGTGCAGTGGGTTCATTTATCAATCAGCAAATGCAACAAGTTGTTGTTCAAGGTTATTGTGTAAGGACAGAAATGCTATTGGAATGTGACGAGCGCATGATTAAGCGATCGGTATCTACAGCGGACATGCAGCATTTTCAGTCAAATTGGACAGCCTGGGACACGCACGAAAATCTTCCCTTGCGCATCAATGAAGACCGTGGAATCAGAAAGAGCAGGCGCAGTGCAGTTCTTCCAACTTGGTCGTTCACTTTGCCCCGGTTTGGTACGAAAGCGAGTAACCCCACCTTCAATTCACATTCTGCAATCCCATCTTCTTTCACAGATTTCTTTGTATTCACTGGGGTAATTGCCTTGGAACTATCAGGAGACTAAAAAAAATCGTCATGCTGCGTCTACAACCAAGTGTTGAACCAGGTGACGGCCTGGATAAAGGCCTGCTCCTTGGCGAAACGGGCCTGCTTGCTGCTGAGCTCGGCGCGGACGGCGAAGCCGTGCTCAACCTCGGAGTAGAGGTTGATCTGGTAAGGGTCGCCCTTCTCCTTGAGGATGATCTCGGACTTGTGGCGTAGCTCTGTGGTGAAGATGTTGTCGATCTCGGCGGCGGCGATGGAGAGGGGCACGTTGAAGGCCTTGAGCTCGTCCTCGGAGACGAACGAGGGGTGGGCAAAGAAGCCGACGTTGATGCCGTCCTTGACGTGGCGGGCGAGTGGCTATGAATTAGAGGGTGGTTAGTGACAATGGTTCTTATTTGACCAGGAGGACGACGGCGTGCACAGAGATCGAGGCAGCTTACCTTGGCACCAAAGCAGTAGCCGGCCGAGGCGATCTTGGTGACGCCCTTCTCGGACTTGAGCCAGTTGATGGCTTCGACGACGATGGGGTCGACAGCCTCAGGAGTGTGAGGGTTCTTGCCGTCAGACCCCTCACCCAACCACTTCATGATGTCGAAGCCGGGGGCGCCCATGGCTTCGGTGGTGAGCTGGTCACCATTGAAGAGATCGGGAATGACACAGAGGTAGCCATTGGCAGCGTACTGGTCAGCCACCAGCTTGCTGTTCTGCCAGATGCCGAAGATGTCGGCGAGGTAGAGGACCGCGGCGCCGGCCTGGGCCTTGGACTCCTCAGGCACGGCAAGGTATGCATCGCGGTTGCCAATCTTGATGATGGAGCCAGTGGGGGTTCCTCTGCGAGGTTGAGAAGAGCTTGGGTTAGCTTGGCTCGTCTTCTCAAAATCTCCACACAGGTGACAGCGACACCGGCGCAGCTGCTTCGACACGGCCGCTCAATTCAGCAGCATCTGGGCAGCGGCGCCCGAGTGAAGCTTTGGGTGCTTGTGAATGCCCGCGAATGATCTCTGCGCAAGGCATTGCAGGTTCCCAGAGATAACTCGGTCTGTCTACCCAGACTAATTGGCTTGGACTAGCCCGAGCTACAGATCGGCAATGTGCCCGACTATCCTGGCAGATGAGCTGGAAAAACCAACTTACTCGTGCTTGACGCCGACAATGCAGCAAGCTCCGGGCGGGTTAGAAGCCATGATGAGCAGAATATGGTTCAGATTGCAGCGAGTATAGAAGTAAGTGACGAGGGCGAGCAAGAAAGACCGAGCAGACTTGGGAGGAGAGGTGGTCGCGAGGAAGCGCCAAGAAGCAGCCGGAGCTGTCCCCAAGACCCCTCTTATACGCCCCACGAGAGGAGAGGCAGGCAGGCGGACTCGTCGCTCAGTGACGACGCGGGACCTTCTCCCCGGTTGTCGAGGGGCCCGGCGTGTGTGTCGGAGGCGGGTGGACCTTTCCCATGGCTTACAAAACCTGGAGACGTCACTGTTCCGCGCGCGCGGTGCCTCTGTTTGGCCCCGGGCCGGGGTCTCTGCCGGCCTTCGGTGCTGCCCCTCACCCCTGGCCAGCCGACGGCCCCGGGCGAGTTAGCGAGGCCGACCACACCCCCGCCTGACAAAGTCAAGATAACCGAACCATCGCATCTTGCAGTGTGCATCACGGCCACAACAGATGTGTGTGCGTGTAACAAGATTCGCCAGGCAGGCAGGCAGGCAGGCAGGCAGGCAGGCAAAGCTGCGTCAGCTGTAGCCTCCTTATCATCATCAACGCGCGAGATGACGCTCACAGGGTGCCAGCCTAGAATGCAACGCAAAGCACCACGGGGCCGTGGTTCGGTGCCGGGCCGTAGATCGGTGCCGAAGCATAATAGTCCAACGGGCAGGGTGTGGCAGGGGAGACATCTCCATACCATTCAGGCTCGCCAGCATCGCTCTTCTATCACATCTACGTACCATGGCCTCCTCGCATGCTCTCAGCAGGAACAAGGCCCCAGACCGGGGACCTGCACCGCTGCTTTTCGTATCCCTGCAAGTGAGCCACTTGGCCCAACCGAGCATGGTGTAGTAGGACTATATCAGGAAACTCTACTAGGCAAAGGGGAGTCTGGCCCGGGATTCATTATGGTCAGGGCTTGCAGCCATGTCGAGACTAAGAAGTGCATATGCAGTCATGCTTCTGCACCTTGCGAAGCTTGGACTATCTGCTCGCAGGCATGGTATTTTGCATCCAGAATAGAGAGACTTCCTCGTGGTGATTTGTGGAGCCTTGGAGGCGGCAATGACCGTCCATTAGCTTCAGGTAGTCTTGCCCGAAGCGCCTGCGGTCCTCGACTCTGACACGGGGATGTTTTCGCCTACAAATACAGGTAGGGTGGCGTGCGGAGAGGACTTCCGCAGCTTAAAGGTAAGAAGGGGCTGCAAACCTCTAACTCCACGGTGCTTGAGCCCCTGCATCACCCTGAGTTACTGCAGCCAATGGCAGTTCTGGAAGCACGTCCCGAGGAGCTTGTGTTGTCTGCGCGTCCTCCTTTGAGCCTGCTTTGGCAGTGGCCTGTCTTCAGTGCTTTGACGAAGCACGCCTAGTTTCGAGCACCTTCATATAGTTCTTTCGTGTTTCACCGAGCGTAGAATTGCATGGATGGACACGTCTAGAACCATCAAGCCTACTTACTTTGCAGGCCTGACATAAGGGTTCGATGCTGAACTCGACTGTCTTCTGCACCGACTCTCTGGGTTGGCAGTGCCCTTGCGTGGCAATTTTATCGCCCTCGGTAACCTTTGTCTTGTCGTGCAGAGTGCGACGAGCTCTGGATTGCCTCGACAGGCGTCGAATGTCACGCATGCTGGGTCGATGACTTTCGCACTAGGAGCCATTATGGCGAACACCATCTTGGAGGTCTTTGCCGCCCTGAGGTGATCCTGCTCGAGGTGCTGTTGCTTCTGTGTGGGGCAAGGTCGACGATATAATTGCTGCTTTGCTTGTCGATTCTTGCCCCACGCCAGTGTCGTACGGATGAGTACTAAAACCATGGTTTGGAGGCCGAGCTTTTGGGCTTGAGAGGGGGCCACTTTCCGCAGCAGCATCTTTGCGTTGTCTCGAGGACTCTATGGCATTCACTCGCTTGTCGATGCCATCCTGCTAGTGTACGAGAGTCAAGTTCAGCCATAAAAGTGGTATGGATATGGCCTCGAGTAGCCTGATTCGCCGTGATCGTCGTGGACTGGCTTCTGCCTCGGTATCCACGTAGAGGAGGCCAGACTCGATGAGACTCTGTTGTGTCGGCCAACGAAGCTTGTAGTCTGGGTCGTTTCGCCGTCTCCGTAGCAAGCTCCATGACCCCATTGTGCTGGCCACACTCTCTGGGCCGTGGGAAGTGTGCATCAACTCTTGCCGGTAAGGAAAGCGCGGCCTGTGGCTAAGGGTGAAAGGATCGCGGAATAACACTAATTTCAGACGCAGATAAGACGGGGTTGTCTCTCAAAGTAATTGTTGGCTTGTAGGTTATGGCGAGGGGAAAGTCTTGCAGCGAATGCACAACGGCGAGCACAAGGCGTTTGCTTGGGAGCATTCATGCGACGGTTCTAGGGTCATTCTGCAGGAACTCTGAGTGCGAGGCAGGTGCAAACTGGCATGAATCAATCAGCGTATTGCCATCTCGATTGAGCGGGCTATTTCTCAAAGTTTCAAAAGAAAACACACAAATCTCCTGCTGAAAAAAGGTCAGCAACTGAAAAAGAAGCACTCGAATTTGAGAGATGAGCAGAGCCCTGAGCTTCTATCTGTGATATGGACTTCCGTGTTGCAGAGCATGCAATGTGGGCTGATGGAGAATGTGGCGTCATGCTGGTGAAGGTGTGGCTGCCCCGATAATCCACAATCTCAGCCACATTATTGGATCGCCAGAGGACACAGAGTGGGGTGGCGCATGAGGACGAACGCACGGCCAGTGAGTGCAGCGTTGGAGTGACGTGAGTCACGGGAATGTGGGCATGTGAGGCAGGCGCACCTTTCTCCAGCAGCACAGCCGTGGTTTTTTCGAGGCAGGACCCCACTCACACCCCAGGGCTTGCACTGGCCCTGCAAAACAGAGGGGGCAAACACCGTCGCGCTGCTGCCGCCCGCCAGACCAGACTCGGCGGCACTCGACACTAACTATTTGATCATTTCACGGCCCCATCCAGTCGCCTCTTCTCGAATTGACGACCTCCTGCCCTGATCTCATCACCACCCAACACTGCACTCGACCTCGACCTCGACATACACATCGATTTTCCGGTCCGTGAACAGTCGCCAACATGCCCAAGAACAAGGGAAAGGTATGCGCCCGCCTCCAGCACTCCGACGCACAACCCCGCCCTGCAATACCCCTCCGTACTGCTTCCTTTGGCCGTTGCGGCAGGCAGATCGGAATTGCACACTTCGGCTGCCAACAGAGTAATCAGCGCTGACATTGCCGTTCTTCGCGTATAATAGGGAGGCAAGAACAGGAGACGTGGAAAGAACGAGAGCGACAAGGACAAGCGTGAGCTCGTCTTCAAGGAGGATGGCCAGGGTTAGTACACCAATTTATTACCCCCAAATGCTCCAGACGCGAGGTTGTGCACCGTAGATGCACGCCTGTTTGCAACACATCACTGATATTTCGCACAGAGTACGCCCAGGTTGTTCGCATGCTCGGAAACGGTCGCCTTGAGGCCCGTGCCTTTGATGATGCCAACACGATGCGTCTTGTACACATCCGTGGAAAGCTGAGGAAGAAGGTCTGGATCAACAACGGCGACATTATCCTTCTGTCACTACGCGAGTTCCAGGACGAGAAAGGCGATGTCATCATGAAGTACTCCGCAGACGAGGCCAGAAACCTCAAGGCCTACGGCGAGCTCCCGGCCAACGCCAAGATCAACGAGACCGACCTCATGGGCGAGGTTGGCGACGACGATGCCGGCTTCGAGTTCGACGAGGACAGAGACGAGGACGAGGACAGCAGCGATGACAAGGAGCTCAACGTCGACGACATTTAAACCAACCACGGCGGCGTCCTGCTTCTTCCCTTTGCATCCCGGCCTGCTTTCAATCACGTCTGGGGCTTTTCACGAGGATTACGACCGACATGATACGCCGAAGAGGCAAGCGGAGACAAGTGGCCACACATTTTGGATGATGACATTTCATAAACATCGACTTGTGTGTATCGTCTAGTTCGCACGCCATGTATTCACCATGAGGGAAACATGGCTCGTTTTTGCGCATGTTGCCACACCACAAATGGAAACGGGCAATGCTCCAGCACAGCGAAACGGAGCATCTGGGTTTTTGTCTTTTGGGTCTCTCGGGTTTCTAGAACGGTCATGCTTGCTAGCTAGTCTGACATGGTTGACAAAAGAATTGTGCCTTACCTCGACCTTGAGTATCTTATGCTCGCACGAGAAGCCGGAATTCGTGGCAACCAAGCTGCTATCACGTGCAAGATGTCGATATGTGACTATGGTACACAAATATGTTGGGAGCCGTATCAGAGACACGGCGAGTCTGACTCGAGAGTCTCAGGTTTCTGTGATTAAACGCTCTGAATCTATGCCTAGGCTGCATCTTTCTCATGCGCAGGCGCGGCTGCAGTTGGCTGCTGCGGTTTCTCCCGCGCAGCGAGCAGATGGCTAAGCAGCCCATCCTTGCCCACCTTCATGGCCTGCTCAAGCTCCCTCTCCTCTTCGCGCAGCATGGCGCGTCCACGCTCCACCTTCTTCGCCGCGCGCCGCTTCTCCTCCGCGACCACACGCTCCCGCTCCTCCAGCGCCTTTTCCCGCTTGCGCCGTTCCTCCCTCTTCTTTCGCGAGACCTCGTCCTCTTCCGCCTCCGCGGCGTCCGGTGGCCCGGCTAGAGTCTGCAGGAACGCGGCGATGAGCGGATCGCGCGTCTGTGGCGGGAGGCTGATGTACCGCACGTCCGTGAGGACTTGGCCCGGCAGGTTCTCCACGGGTGTCTGGTTGTTCAGATCCTTGAGCGGCACGGCCCGCAGCAGTGCGGTCAGGTCCTTGCGGAGAGTGTCCTGGGGAAGCTTGAGCCGCGCAATGTGGTCGCGATAGAGCTTCTCCCTGTCCTTGTCAGTCATGCTGGATGACCGCATGGGCTCCTCGCGCTTGTATTTCCGCTTGAACTCGGGCCAGTATAGCTTCGGCGTGGCCTTTTCCTGCAGGAAGGCGAGGTACGGGATCTTCGGGTCGCTCTGGGCCTCGCGCTCGCGCTGCTCCTTGAGGATTTGGATCTTCTCGCGTGACCATTCGTCCCACACCTCGCGGCGGGCCTTTGTCGTCGGCATCACCGTGTACCTCGGGTCGTCAAACACCTTGCCCTCCTCGATGAGCTTCTCCCACGGTGAGAAGGGGTTGATGCCAAAGTCGTTGAGCATGTCCTTGAACAGCTCGCGCGCGTCCTCGTCGCTGAGCTGCTCCCCCTCGGCGCCCTCGGGCCAGTCTTCGGGGTTGCCGTCGTCGTACTCGCCCGGGTCGAGGCCGTAGTCCTCGCCCATCGCTTGTAATTGGAAGGCGATGTCGTCTTCGTTGAATTCGGCAGGCAGGTCGTCTTCCGTGGGTTCTTCGGTCCGCTGGCGCTTGTTTGGGTGCTGCCGCGCTGGGTCGTCGTCTTCATTTTCGTGGTCATTATCCCCGGCGCCCTCGTCCTCGTCGTCGGTGACCTCGACTTCTTCGTAGTCTGAGCCCAGCTCTTCTCGTTCCTCCTCTTCCTGCTCCTGCTCCTGCTCTTGTGGCTGCGCCGCCTTCGCAGGCTGGCCCGGACCTTCGGGCACCTCTTTGCCTGCAGCCTTCTCTTTCACGCCGTTAATGTCAAGCTCCAGCACACCCTTCATGACCTTCTCTGGTATGCGCCAGTAGCTAGCATTCTTGACTGGGTTGTAGGCAAACCTCCGCCCGTACTTGGTGTACACCAGAACCCAGGGCTCGCAGCCAGGGATAGCGACCCGACTCCTCGGCTTGTCTGTCGGCTGCGGCCGTGGCCGGTTCTCCCGCCCATCTGGCCCTCCGTGGTGTCCGCCTCGGCCGCCACCACCACCCTGTTGGTTCTGCGCCTGTCTTTGCCGAGCAGGGTCGTAGGCTGCGAGGAAGGCGTTGGCGGTCGCCGGGTCGGCGAGGTTCGGTACGGAAGAGTACTGGAAGAATTGCTGGTGCGGATCTGAGGCAGGCGCCGCTCGCGGCGGAGGTGGAGGTACAGGAGCAGCGGCAGCTGCTGCTGCTGGCCGCTTGTAGGTCGACTCTTTCGTCTCGCTGTTGTAGTAGTATGTGTGGCCGGTCGGTGCCTTGTGTTCGGTCCATCCCGGGGGAAGCGGCGGCGGGAGGTTTGCGGAGGGTTTGTAAGTCGACTTCAACATGTTGTCTGTGAATGTGCAAGAGACGGAGAGCGATGCGCCAGGCGCTGTTCACTGGGAGCGAGTGATCTCCAGCGCAGGGTACTTGGGATTCTTGTCGATCCAGAATAGCTGTGTTCGTACAAGGCGGTCGTGCTGGCAAGTCTGGATTGTGAAAGACTTAAAATCTGGGAGAGCTCCCGCCGAGGTCACAGGGATCTACATTTCTGGCTGGGCAGGGACGGCTTGATTGGCTGCAGGATGCGTTGCTGCGCTAGGGAGAGCCCTGTGCTCTCCGGCCCGCTTGGTTTGTGGGTGTGTGTGGCCAGACACTCCATTGTCCACAAGCTCCCACCTGTCCCGCTGGCAGAACCCTCCGTGTCTTCTTGACCATTCCCGCGATGTTTTGGTCTGCCTTCCGTGCAGCGCGGACCTGGTGACTAGAATCAATGGCACCGCCAGGCAGTCCCAACGGGGGCGGCATCCTCGGGGCGCTGTCCAGGTTCTGGAACGTAAGTCAATGGCAGCCTCGCACACAGCCAGACACCTCTGGTCTCCCATATCCCATCCGCACAGTTGCCAGAACGTCGATGATCATGACGTAGACAAAATGCGCTGACCACGATGCTACACAACAAACAGCGGACATACGCCCCCGACTATCTGGGATTCGCTGGCCTGCTCGCGGCCTACCTCCTCATCCAGTTCTTCGTCGAGCCTTTCCACCGCATGTTCTTCATCAACGACCTCCGCATTGCCTTCCCGCACGCAGAGATCGAGCGAGTACCCGTGTGGCTCAACTTTGTCTACGCCCTGTTCATACCTCTCGGCTTCCTCTTCGTCTACAATTCGATCTCGCGGGCCACGTTCCACAAGCACCACAACACGATCCTCGGCCTCGCCGTCTCGCTGATCCTCGCATCGTTCCTGACCGACATTGTCAAGAATACCGTGGGCCGGCCACGCCCCGACCTGATCTCGCGATGCAAGCCCAGAGCTGGCACGAAGCCCAACGTGCTGGTCACAATCGACATCTGCACCGAGACCGACCACCACACCCTCCACGACGGGTGGCGCTCGTTCCCGTCGGGGCACTCGAGCTTCTCGTTCGCCGGCCTCGGATACCTGGCATTGTTCCTCGCCGGACAGCTCCGGATCTTCCGCGACAAGAAGGACCTGGGACGCGCCCTGGTCTGCCTGGCCCCGCTCGTCGGCGCAGCCATGATCGCCATCAGCCGGTGCCAGGACTACCGGCACGATGTCTATGACGTCTGCACGGGTACACTACTGGGGTTCACGGTGGCATTCTTCACGTACCGCAGGTACTGGCCGAGGCTGAGCAGCCGCGAGTGCAACGAGCCGTACCCTGCACCTGGCTCTGCGGAGATGGACGAGCGGCAGGGATGGAGGCGTGTGCGGGACGAGGAGGACGGGGGGCCTATCATTGGGCGGAACGTTGAGTACGAGATGGCTTCCCTGCGCAATGGCGGATAGCACAATAAACTGACAGCGGTGAGCAGCTAGCGACGTTTGGGACCATAGAGGTGTGCAAAACACATGAGGATACATATGTGACCCGTCACACCTGATTTTACTATGATGAAAGATCAGAATAGACTGGGTATGGCACATGTACATGTGTTCTATTCGAATTCTTGCAGCAATGCGTGTGCGCACATCGAGGAAGGCCTGTCGGCTAGTACAAAGGTCCATTGCTTGTCGTGTCTATGCCATAGAGTCGATTAAGCTTGCAGATCACCCATAAATAAGATATCTTGCACAATTCTATTGCGTCGCAACGTGAATGAAGAACTTGTGAGACTTGTGAGATCCTCGCGAGGTGCGCGCTGCAGTCTTGGGGATGACCTTAGCACAGATGTTGTCAGACAGCCCACCATTTCTTCAACCAGATGCCACAGCAGACTGGCAAACACGCTCGACGCCCAAGGCCATTACGCACAGGCCATTCACGCAGCGCCATACTAATTGCGACGCAGCTGCGTGAATGGGCGAGTGGCCCAGCTTCGAGACAGGGGTGCCGCCCGCTCCCAGCCCCCTGAGTTGCCTCTGAAACCCGCCCTCCCGACTTAGATCACACCTGTTAGCAGCTCACCCAGACTTTGGCTTGTGGCGCTAACAGTCACTAAGATCCGCCCGAGTGTCAACTCTTCGCATGCTCCGGCAGACCCTCAGGAAGAAGAAACGTCCACCCAGTCAAGTGCCTCGCTAGGCAGATATCAGACTCTCATTGCACCAACTCACTCAATTGACCATTGCCAGTCCCAGAACATAATCGCCCGGTCTGAAGCTGCACTTTGGCAAGTGAGGGACATCGTCAATACCACATTGCATCCTTCCTTACTGCCGTTCTGCTGCAGTGCAAGGAGGCATCGTCGTCTTGTCTCAACACCCGCCACCAACAATAACCACACACCTACCTCAGTCATTGAGTATCATTGGCAAAGCCTCACTGAGTTCTGTTGCACAAGATCGATCCCGCCAATATCACCTGCCCGTCACCATGCCCTCACGGGTGACGAGGCAAGCAGCCATCAAAGCTGAGGTGCCTGACGGCGCAGACATGGCTGATCGTACGCGGTCCCCGTCTGCAACTATACCCCGTCCACGGACTCCGCCGCCGCCGCCGCCAGCAGCAGCACCCTCACTTCGCCCTGATCAACCGCTAGACATGCAGTCAGCTGCGATGTCATTCGCACGATCGGGAGCCCGTAAGTTCAACACTGCAATGAGTTCCTCTTGACACCTTCTTGACACCAGGACTTCGTTGTTGAGACTATTTGCTAACATCACAACAGCATCTGTGGAGACACACACAAGAACGAGAATGGACCAGACGCCGCTCTTCCTGGAAACTAGGATTCGCCAGGCCGGACGGCAGCACACTCCAGCCTCACCACTCGGTCACGATGCGAGCACTCACCAGGGCAGCTTCGCCAGGCCAGCTTTTGCTGACATCGGCGCAAAACTGAAGGCATGCAACGACACGCTCGGAAACCTGCAGCAGCTCGGCATCCAGCATGTCGCAAAGCTTCCCGAGCTCGTCCTCGTCGGAGATCAGTCGGCAGGCAAGTCCAGCCTCATGAGCGGCTTGGCTGAGCTCAACCTTCCCAGAAGCGGTGGTGTCTGCACTCGCTGTCCTATTCACATCAGAATGGCGTCGAGCAACGTCGAGAACTTTAGTTGTACAGTATCTCTGCAGCTCGACTACGACTACAAGCCGCATGGCCGTATCCGTGTTTCAGACGTCACGAAAAACAACCCCTTTCCTCCCTGGGTGAAGAAACCGGTCCGCGAGACCAAGTTTTTCAAGTCCATCGAAAAGCCCGACGACACGGAGATCGAAGAGATTCTCAAGTGGGCGCAGGTCGCAATCCTCAACCCGAACCAGAACCCTGAGCTCTTCGTACCTGGAGAAGGCGCGATCACCAAGGAAGTCGATATTGACCGGGCAAAAGACCACACCGATGCTCAATTTTCCCCCAACATTGTGGCTTTGGAAATGAAGGGACCGGGCTTGCCCGACCTGAGTTTTTATGATCTCCCTGGCGTGTTCCTGTCCCCTGGAAACGAGGAGGATGAGTACATTGTCAAGGTCGTTCAGAATCTGGCCAGCGCTTACATTCAGCGGGAAGAGGCTATTATCATGTGGGCAGTCCCTATGAACCATGATCTTGAAAACTCGATCATCTTCCCAATCATCCGCAGAGCTGGCGCTCAGAATCGCACCATCGGCGTCATCACAAAGGCCGACATGTTACAAGAAAGTAACGTGAAGCAATGGCTCGATGTTGTGGAGGGCAAGAAGCAACGTGTTAAGCATGGTTACTTCATGACTTCCCTGCCTCCGGACCAGCCACTTGAAAAGGGAACTCATTGGGAAGAGTCGTTCTTCCAGGGCGGAGTCAGCACCTGGCCGAGGGAGTTTGAACCATATGTTAACCGCTGCGGAGTCGACCCTTTGCGCAACTACATTTCACTTCAGCTCGGGGAAGCCTTTAGCAGAAGGTAAGTTTCTCTGCTTCCACCGTGCTCAGAGGGACTTTGGGCGATTTGCTTACATATGGAATTACAGTTTGCCGTTCATCAAAGTGAAAGTCCAGCAACGTTTGCAGGAAATTCAAGAACAACTGAGTCACTTTCCTGAACTGCCTAGCAACGTCGAGTACGAGGTTATGAGCAGCTTCGGCAGCTTTCTGCGTCAAGTCAAGGCTGATGTGAAGGACCGGCAAATGTCGTCAAAGTGGGATCAGCTGAACGAACATTTCAAAGCTTGCATCATCAAAGCTAAGCCAGGTTGTAACGTAACCGAGGAGCCTCAGACGATCGAGCTCATGGACTCCGACGCTGACAGTGTGGCCAACACACCTTCGAAGCGTCCACGCGCCAGCGACTCAACAATCCGGACTCCGGCATCAAAACGCCCACGACCAGACATTCCCTCTGCGGCAGGAATGACTCCAATCAAGCTTGAGCCAACGGCGAACACCCCAATCCGTCAACCCTCCATGCGACCAACCCCACCACCGGACCCGTCACCATTCGCTCGCTTCGCGAAGCTTGGCCGTGGAGGTCTTGATCTGCGCGAGATCCGTCAAGTCATCCTTGACCAGAAGAAAGCCGGAATGCCCGCTGATCTTGTACCGGAGAGCGTGTACGAGTTCTTCTCGCTTCGTGCGGTGCGCAAATGGCGAGAGCCACTCGAGATCTACCTCGAGAAGACCCGGGAGCTTCTGCTCAAAAAGCTCGAAGCTGCTCTGGAAAACTCTCTGAAGGATTTCAAATCGCGACTTCTCTACAAGGAGATGAGTACGCACCTGCGAGCCTTCCTTGACGACCAGGAGAGTCTCCAACGCGCGAGGCTCTTTGAGCTATACGACTCCGAGTGCTACCAAATGTTCACCATGACCAACGACATCTGTGATCAATTCCGTACCCAGGAGCTCGACATTATCGAGCGTGCAAGAGCCTACGAGCGCCTGAAAGCCAACGCCCTGCTTCCGTGGGATGTGAAGCGCCCCGACCCAGCTACCATGTCCTCCGAAGCTAAGGTCAAAGAGCGCAAGATGCTGGCCGAGGGCATCGCCAAGATCCCATGCAGGGACCAGTTCGCAACCGAGATCAAGGTGGCAGCCCACGTGCGGGCATACTACCTCACGGCTGCCACGTTCTTTGTCGAAGGTGTGACGAAGGACGTCAATTCCCGGTTGTTCCGATCCTTCACGCTTGATGCCCTTGACCGATACCTCGGTGAGAAGCTCGGTATCATGCCATTTGGTAGTAAGTCTCACCCAACCCCCCCTCCCTAGACCTCTGTGAACTATCGCTTACCACATCTTCTTTAGCACGCGAGGCCTATGCACGACTCATGGAGGAGGACGCCGCAACCGCAAGGGAGCGAGAGAATCTGAAGAAGGAGCTGGCAAAGCTCGAGCGTGCCATGCACAGCATCAATGAGCTCGAGAGCGAAGCCAGTAGCATCGATGTTGACAGTGAGGTTCATATGCTCGACACCAGCTTCCTCCCGACTTACACCGAGGACGCCGACGATGAAGACATGGGGATGGCATGATTTCACTAGACGGGACGCTGTCTTCTGCCGCGGTCGTGCGCAGATATCGCCCAGTGACGCTGCGGTCTTGCATTGCGAGGCGCCAAGACGAAGCACCCACGCAGCTTGTTGATACCCATTTCTGTTTGTTTTTTTCGCCGGCTGTGATGGCCACTGTGTTTCTGGACGGCGTTTGGAATCTCCGCCAGGTGCTGTGGCGCAGCAGACTTTGTACTTGCAATTCATTTCGGTCCGGATAGCGCGACGTCGCTTTGATCGACAAGGGCTATACGAAAGGATGAGAAGGCATCCTGGGGGCGTGGCGTTTCGGGCCCTTACATGCGCCTGTCGGCCTTGGACAATGCAGTCTGGGGCTTGCAAGACAGGCTTGATTTTCTGTAGACCAGTGTAGTCTGGTAAATAATGAAAGCTGACACCTGCCCTGAAGATCTCCAGCTGAAACTATCCTGAAGCCGTCGGTGCTCTCTCGACCGCAAGTCGAATCGACGCTTAGCACAAGATCGGGACGCCCTGCCGACCATTACGTATTGCATGGTCAGTGGCTTACGACCAACATCGGCCGGGTCAGGCACACGATCGCTGGCAGTCAATGCAGGATAGGCCGATCGATTAATTTATCTGGAAGCAAGTATGATGTGCAATAAGGAACTGGCTAGGCACAACAGACGCCCAACCAAATCCCAGCGGCAGCTCCCATACATCCCTGGTGCCTTGGCATAACACGAATCCTTCGTGCGGACTTCTCGCTCTTGAAACGCCATGCTTGCACCGCTGGAGGCACTCTCTCAGCCTCGTGCTGTCCCACATGTTCAGCCGTCTTCACATGCCGGACAGCTATCACCCAGGCATTCAAAGTGGACCACCTGCTCCGGATCCTACAGTGTTATTCGCGAATCGCGGTTCGGTTATCGTGCTCTGCACGGACGGCTCTCGTGCGCGCAGGAGGAAGACTTGCCAACACACAAGCTCGTGATCACGAGGCCCCTCTGTGCTGATCACTGCAGGAAAATTGGTCACAGTGAGAACGAGTACTGCAGGCAGACACGCCCCCGGCTTACATGCATGCATGATCGCCCAACAGGCTCTGATCTGGGGCACGACGAGACGAGGTCGACCTAGAGTGCTCAACCGGAAGACTCCGCCACCGGGTCCGCTCGCATATCGTTCCGCGTCCCGCATTCACGCAATGTTCGTCCGGGGTACTGGCAACATGCTCCGGGCCCTAGGCAGGCAAACTGGGGGGCAGGGCGGCCCTAGCCAACCATCTTGAGAGAACAGCGCTGGGGTGATTAGCTAGCAGCTGCATAAGCCCCTCCCATAAGGCTTCTGGTTCCTGGCAGGGATCCTGATGCGAAGCCAGAACCACCGCCATGCGAGGTCCGGCCGGAAGCACACCCCGGATGTGGCCGCTTCGCCAGCCAACACAGACAGGCATCATTACGCTTCCGAGTTGCGTGCAGTTGTCACCCAGGCGAGACTTTGCTGCGCGTCAACCGACCGCCGCTAGGTTCTAATGGGGACCAGGGAGGATGGCGCGAGAAGACAACCCCCCTGTGCAAATGGCACGCACTGGCCTTCGCAGTGTCGCACAGATGTGCGGCAGCTCGCCGCATCTTGCCTCTTGCGCGCAATATGCCAATTGTCTGAGGGTGAGGACAATCACAGCTTCGCCTGTGTCTCTGCGTCGTCTCAGACCGAGACGTCTGTGACAGAGAGGTGTTGTTGGAGACCAGTGCAGAACAAGGCCTACAAGATCGAAACTCCCAAACGAGGCGTCGACAGGGGTTGTCGCGTTTTCCCGCTACGGCTGTGTCGGCTCCGCGGGCCGCTTTGGGAATCCCAGGATGCCCCAGACTCTCCAACCAGATGGCTTTGACGGCTCGGGGGTGGTGGAGTGTAAGACGTTAATTTCCGTCCCGGACTGCGGAGAACATGGGCCTCGTCGTTCGGCTCGATCTGGAACAGCACACCGGTATGCTCTCCAGCGCAATTCTTGGCTCCAGTCATGGCCATGAAGTATTGTGCTATCGCCAGGGATGTCCCCGGGGTCCGTCCAACAGCTGAGTGGCTCGGCTGCGGCCCAAGACTCACACCTCGAGCGGGTTCCTTTCCTATTCTCGCCCTCGTGGCCTCGTGTGCCCGAGCCCTGTTGGCGGGCCATGTCTCTGACAGCAAGTCTGGGGAACATACAGCCACGCATGCACGTAATTATACCCCCAAGGCACAGGGGGGCAGGCGCGGCCAGGCTTAACTTGCTGTGTTAAGGATGAAACATGGCAACAGCGGCCCGGAGCATCGTCCCATCTATCTGCCTTGAAGCTGTCAGAGTCTGGTTCTCCTCGTGGCTGTCTGTCATGTGTCGTCCCGCCTCCAACTCTCCAACTTCGGCCGGGAGCCCATCTGCAGCATCGAGCCAGTCATGAAGACTACCGACACCGGAGAGCATCCATCGTCCCACACCCTCACGAAGCACGCTTCCCTCTCGTTCGGAAACTCACAGTCCGCAGCACAGATATAGTCCCGTCTCGTCCCGCTCCGCTGTGCGACCCTCGGTCCATGTGGCGAGGTTACGCAGACGAGGCCACCAACTCTGCATCTACCACCACGGAGCAGCCAGCAAGGTATCTGCAGAGTGTCACGGGTGTCATTCCCACACACGAACACACACACACACACACACGCTGCTCTCGTGTTTCTGTACGGACCCCCGCCCGAGCCTGTCGCACGACTGGCTGCATCTGATACATAACGCCGTGAAAATCAGGTCTTTTCCTGGCTGCTGGTGAGCTGAACCCTTTTCGGCTCGCCCGACGCCCGAGGATCTGCACGACTATTTTCTTCATCCCTTCCGAGTAGGATCGTGGCTGCAGCAACAGAAATTGAGGCTCTGGCACAAGCGTGTTCATAATCCGGACCAGATTTTCGGGGCTGCTTTACAGAGCTTGTCGTATTGCTGTTGCCATCTCCACGCCTGGCTCTGCCTGGGGCTAAGAGAGCCATCTCGAACCCTGGAGTTGATCTCAATTTCGGAGAAAAGAAACCCTGAACTTGATTTTCTTTTCTTTATCCGGATAAGACCATCGCAACAGCTTCAAGCTCCTCGTTTCGAGTAGAGCACCAAGCACGGGCCTTTGCACACGCGGAAGAAGCAAACTAACACGCAACACCGTCAAATGATCACGGGCTTTGCCCCGTCCCCGTAGCTCATCATGCCTCTCACAAAGCCTCGACGGATCCAGATCAAGAACATACGTGTCCTGCGGGCGCCAGAGATCGGCGCGAAGGGCAACCAGGTCGAGCTCGAGGTCGCTCAGCGCGAAGCTCCGTGCTTCGAGCCGGTATCATGGACAAAGGAACCTCATTTGCGGAAGTTGTACGCCATGGGCGCAGTGTTGATGCTGGCGTCGGCGACAACGGGTTATGATGGGTGAGTGCCCAATTCGCATTGACTGCTCAATGTGTTAGGGTCGTGTTTGACTGATCTTAAAAATTCAACCTTGTAGTATGCTCGTCAACACCTCACAGCAGATTGATCGGTGGAAGGAGTTTTTCCCCCGGACGCAAGCGACAGATCCAAGCCAGCAATGGGTCGCGGACAGCTGGCTGGGTCTGTTGGTCAACATGTTCAACATTGGCAGCATCATGAGCTTCTTTGTCACCCCGTACGTTGCCGACCACTATGGTCGCAAGACGGCTATTGGCCTGGGGTGCGGATTCATGATCACGGGTGGTTTGGTGACTGGATGCTGCACTGGTTATGAGAGTAAGCCCTCCCGATGAAGCTTGATGACCAGTTCCCCTCCAAGCATCAAGATATCCGAAAATTCCTAACATGTTGCAGTGTACGTGGCTGGACGATTCATTCTCGGGTTCGGCAACAGCTTATCACAAATGGCCTCGCCCTTACTACTCACGGAGATCTGCCACCCTCAACATCGTGGTCCAGTCACCGCAGTGTACAACTGCTTATGGAACGCCGGTGCTCTCATAGTCGCATGGATCGGCTGGGGCACCTCGCAGATCGACAACGACTGGGCCTGGCGATCAATCACCCTCGGCCAGGTTGTCCCATCGCTCATCCAGCTGTCCTTCCTGTACTGGATCCCCGAGAGCCCGCGCTACCTCATGTCTAAGAAGCGCCACGACGAGGCCATGGACATCCTCGCCGAGTACCACGGGGGCGGCAACGAGCTCAACGCCACGGTGCAGTTCGAGTACCGCGAGATCAAGGAGACGATGCGCATGGAGCAGGAGTTTGCCAGCGACGCGGGCTACCTGGACTTCTTCAAGACCCGGGGCAACCGCTGGCGCCTGGCCATCCTCGTGTCCCTGGGTGTCATCTCGCAGTACAGCGGCAACGCCATTTTCTCGAACTATATGGATGCAGTCTACATTGGAGCTGGCATCACGGACCAGGATCGCAAGCTTGCTGTAAGTGGAATCTCAAACTCATGTAGTGATGAAGCTTCTGCCTGCGTTGAGCAGCTACCACAACCCGACCACGACGCTAACGCTCCCTTTTCCTTCTCCCAAAACAACAGCTCAGCGGTGGCAAGACCTGCCTCGACTTGATTGTCACTGTCCTAGCAGCTCTCCACGTCGACTACTTCGGTCGCCGCCCCTTATTCTTGCTATCGACAGCCGGCATGGTGGTGTGCTTCGCCGCCTGGACCGCGTGCGGCGCGGCCTACGAGAACGCGGGCCTGGAGAAGAGCTCGCCCGCAGGGTGGGCGCAGCTCGTCTTCATCTGGCTCTTTGGCATCTTCTACGACATTGGCTTCAGCGGCCTGCTCATCGCCTACGCGCTGGAGATCCTGCCCTTCAAGCTCCGCGCCAAGGGCATGATGATCATGAACGTCACCGTCCAGGCCATCCTCGCGCTCAGCAACCAGACAAACAAGGTCGCGTGGAACCGGATGCCTCTACACTGGCACCTGATGTTGTTCTACACGGTAGGTTCTCCTCAAGACTCAACCACCAAAACACATGCATCGGTTGAAGCTCTTCCTTTTGTTCTTTTTGCCCCCTTCTTGTCCTCCGTCCCCATGCGGGTTTGAGACTTTGCATCTTTGTTCCCTTCTCTTATGTCTCCAAAGTATGATCAAACTCTGACTGCTAACACCTCTTCAGGCATGGGACTTCGTCCAGTTCGTCTTCGTCTACTTCTTCTACGTCGAGACCAAGGGTCCCACGCTCGAAGAGATCGCCCGGATCTTTGACGGCTTCGACGCAGAGGTTGCTAACATCAACATGCGCCAAGTCGAGCGGGACATTGACGACGCCGAACACCGCAAGCGCCGCAGTCGTTTCGGCGGCGGTGGCGGCTATGGTGGTGGTGGTGGCGATGGTGGTGAGACCGGCGGCGGTGGTGGATGGGGCGGCGTATCGAGCGTGCACCACCGACACAACCGTCATCACGACCAGGACGACAAGGCTGATGATTTCTTCGAGCTGAACAGTCCCTCGAGTGGGCACGGCCGGAACAGCAGTAACGTTGGTGATCGTCAACGTGGCAGCGCTGCTGCTCCTCCGCCTACAAAGGAGAGCCGGTTGAGCAGACATCTCAGCAGCAAGTTTGGCAGCCTGCGGTCTCATGACAGCTGGCTGCCGCGGAGCAACAGCAACAAGCACGACAACACTCAACACAATAATAACAACGACGAGGTCGAGGACATGGACAACAACGACGACGACGACGACGACCGGAGGAGCAACGCCAGCAGCAGCCAAAAGGGCAACATCTCGGTGCAAATCTACAAGACCACCACGACCACCACGACGTACTCCCCCACTGTGGGCGATCGGGACAGCACCGGCAGTGGTAGTGGCCTTGCAGCTGGGGCGGCGAGATGGACTCGCGGCAGTGTGGGAAGCTCGGTTGCGGGGAGAGGAGGCGACAGGGGACGCAAGAGCAACAGTCTGCAGGACTACGGAGACTATCACATCCAGCATCCGGGTGGGAATTTTGTCTGAGTCAGAGACGGACAGGACACGGTTAGCTGATGGTCTCTTGCATGGACATCTCCCTCACCAAAGGGAAAAAAGCCCAACAGGGCTCGAAAAATCTTCTTTTCATCAAGTTTCTCATTCGAGCAGAGCGTTATATCAGCAGTTTAGCGTTCTCCAGCCAAGCGAACATATTTTTGTTTTTCGTATGTGCACCTATCTTGTGGTGACAATCATGAACTTGGAAGCAGCTGACCTGCCAAGTTGGGCGTCGCTGGATCTCATCCCTCGCTTACGTCGACGCCAGTGCCCAACCGGCATAAGCAAAACCCGCCCAGTCTTTGTCGTGTTGACCTGGCTGAGGATGCCTGATGGCGCGGAGCCATTCCACCGGCGTCGCCGCTGTGCCTTACCAGCACGCTTGTGCGGCCATTCCATTGCTTGACGTACGTTTCAGCTCATGAACCCCCGAACGACGGCCATTGCAGGGGACTGTGTAACGAGCAAGTGGGAATTCAGAGTCAAATCCACGGATTCTTGCCATCTTGCATAGATTTCAAAAGCAAGCGCGCTCTCTATTCAAATCAGTATAAATGCTTGGTTAAGCGAATATAGAATGTTGACTGGTCTTGTATACTGCTTCGTAAAATGGCCTGTTCCGCTCGGCTCGAAAATCGTGGTGTCTTGTTTATTGTCTTGAAACGCGTCCTCAGACATTCTGTATGTAATAGAAAGTACCCATTCCTTGCGCCAAATCCCATGCTGGTATGTGCAAAAATTCCAAAATTGTCGATGTAAAAACAATGTCTCATCATCATGTCGCCGTGATTTGAAACTGTGAACGCCTGTCTCAACCCCTGCTCTCTAGTTGATCTTGATGCTGGAAACGCTGTGACCTTTCTCGCGGCTTGCGTCCGTCTTTTTCTTAAACATATTCTTGAGCATGCTGTCCTTCTTAGGGCGGAGCACCGCCTCGATGTTGTTCTCCTTGTCTTTGCTTCCGTCTTCAATAGCAAGCGTGCGCTTGGAGCGACTGGTCTTTGTCGTACGATCTGACTTCTCACTGCGGGAGCTGCGATGGCTGCGATGACTGCCAGCCTCGCTAGCCGCATCGACTTCCCTGGAGAGCTTGCTGCTCTTGCGCTCGGGCACCTCAACGTCGGCATCCTTGCGACTTGAAGATGTCTTGGCGGTCTTCGTCGACTTCGACGTCTTCTCGGTCTTCTCGGTTTTGGACGTCTTGGCCGTCCTGGACGACCGGAAGGTGCGGAAGCTTCTTTCGCTGCGCGCATCATCACCACCGTACTGACTCCGGATTGCGCGATCAGCCTCGGGGCTGATAAGTTCCAGGTCGGCGCTTTCGTCCTCGCCAAACGGAGCAATTCCGCGCCTCCAGGACTCAATTGTGCTTAGCTCCTCCTCAATAACTAACGCCTCGTCGTATTGCTGCTCGGTGATAGGATAGGGGGGTCGCACAGGCAGGTGCTGTCCTTCAAATGCCATTGGCGTTGCCGGGAGAGCAGCCTGTTGCTGCTCCTTGACCTTCTTGACGATCTTCCAACCCCCAAACATGACGACAGTCATGCCGACCGCCACACCTGCTGCAATCATGAACTGCGGGCTTGCTAACAGGGCAAAGATGGCCGGACTACCGCCTTTGAGGGCTCCAAGAAAGGCGGGCGACATCTTGCCGACGATAGCAGACAACTCCGCAAGAGTCAGGGCGACAGCGGCGGCAGCCTCGGGGTTCTCCTGCAGGTGCTTGATTGTGTGTTGAGCAGTATGATGAAGGCAGTTGGCTTCCACAAGCATCGCCTCCACCTTGCGGACAAGAGCTTGGGCCTTGTGCTCTTTGGCCGCAGCCTGGTACGCCGGATCCAGGTCGACCCTATCAGCGAGATCTGGTGGGATATTGCCGTATGCTAGGTCCATGTCAATCTCCTTCTTCGGCTTCCCAGGTATCCTCTCGTCTCCCATGTACGGGTCAGATTGAGACCGCTGCATCGGTGCGCGCTGTGGTAGAAATTGTTGGTCCTCATCGTAGTAGTCTGCGGCCAGCCCAGGATCCCTGCGGACAGAAGGGGCATATGAACGCGACTGTGCTAATGAGGGCCTGCTCAGGGTCATCTCCCGAGAGGTCTCAGCATATGGAGAGCGATAAGCAACAGGCGCGCGCGATGGTGTGACAGACGAGACTTCCGAGTGCGTCTTGAGGTTATCCATAGTAAGCGCCGTCCGGGCCTGGGAATGAGAACGCTGACGTGTGGCCTTTGAGCGCCGGGATCCGTGGCTGCGGTGAGACGAAGCGTACGAGGCGGCATCATCGTGGTAGCGGGCATGCCTGACCTGGCCATGGCCATACTCGTACTCGTAGTCCTGGTCAAAAGCCTCGTCCTGATACTGGGGCACCGTACGGACGTCAAAGGTCTGGCTGCGCTTGACGGCCTGCTCGGCCTTTATGGCAGCCTTCTTCTCGTCGTAGGAGGCCTTGGCCTCCTTGAGGACGTTCATCAGCTTTCCTCCCTGCCCAGGAGTCACGATCCGTTAGCGCAGGTTCTCAGGCCACGACAGACCCCATGGGGCCGAAGGGTGTGCTTACATTGCTGATGATCTTTCCAGAGGAGTTCACGATGGTGACTATCTCGATTCCCATGGTCGGCCACGGGCAACAGAGCGAGTCTGCAGTGCGCAAGAACGGTTGGACTAGAGCGAGACTGGCCAAGGGCCGCGGAGGATGATAAAGGGTGCAGGAGGATCGACGGTAGTGGGGCAGGGGGGAAGAGGCAGCCTGGGCCCGACTTCACGATCAGGTGCTAGACACTGGAGTACCGCGGCGATGTGACCCAGCCACCGACCAGCAGGAACCTGGTGCTGAGCTGTGCTGAGCTGGGACCGTCCAGCACAGATCACCAACGTGGGTACGACTGCTACTGTGCGTGAAGAGGCGGCAAGCGGCGGTGAGGGCGAGACGTCTTGGAAAAAATGGCTCCTCCTGGCTGGGGCGGGCCCGGCGGCGTTGCGTTGCGGTGGGTGGAGCGGAGCGGAGCGGGTGCGAGCTGCCGGGACTGCCTACTGCACTACGACGGCAACAGCAACAGCGAGAGAGGGCGACAGATGATGTGCTGGGTGCAAAATGGATATCGTGGTGCCGGGCGAGCGAGCGAGAGAGCGAGAGAAGAGGCCCTAAGTATGTAGACAGTTGACGGGCCAGGCGGTCGTCAAACCGCCAAACCGACCTTCCCCCCTCCCCTCCATCGTCGCGGAAGGAGACGGCAGAGCCTGCAGTTGCGCCCAAGGAGGGGCCAGGGATGCTCCTTCCACGACCCAGGCAGATCGACTGCTGGCAGCGGCAGCATAGTCGATCCTGGCCAGCAGACCCCTGCCACCCATTTCATCTCGCCTCGTCGTCCTCGCGCGCCCAACCTCGACTCCCTCATTCGCCCACCACAGACAGATGGCCTCAGCCCCCCCAGGCGCCTCCCAACCGCCCGGGCCTGAGACTTCAGGCTCGCCTGCAGCCGCCGCGCACAGCACGATAGGCCCAAGGTTCTCCAGACGCACAGTGATGTGATGGTCGAGCACAATACGACCGTATCGGGCCATCCTGGACGTTCCATGCAAGTCGCTGCCAGTCATGCCGGGTCAGGCGACTGCCACCTGTCGCGCGCCCCCCAGCCCCGACGACAGGCAAAGCTGTTGGCTGACGCCGACCACGCCTGTGCTCAGCGGGACGATACGCGCCCACCGCCTCTGCCGCGATTGGAGACATGTGTTTCGCTCTGGCCCAAGCGACACCCAGCCGGGTGGGGAGACCACGCATAATCAAGGGCCCACCACCACGGCCAGCCGTGGAACATCGCCAACCACCCCCAGACCCGGCGTCCCGGAGCCTGCCTTGGGACCCATCGCGGATGTCGTGCCGGAGCCCACAGCCAGGTGCCGGAGACTTCCCCCGTCCCGGCTCACGCCTGTCTCTTCTATGGGCCGAATGACTCCGATTCGACATTGACCTCACCGGCTCTTTGAATGGAGAAAGCCCGTGACGATGTTGCGGTCTGCGGTCCATGAGCTTGGATAACAATGTGCCCAGCAACCCTCGCTGGGTGCGGTAGGCTGGGTGCGGTATGGGCAGCTTGCTGTCAAAGTGGCCCAATCGACCGCAAGTCGGCAGGCACGAAGTCTTAGCCATAAGCCGGGAGCTGCCTAATCCCCATGCATTGTTGTCCAAACAGTGTACCACGCTGACATTAAATCGCGCCAGGTCCCGTGATGGTTGCGGGCACCCGGAGAATGTAATTGCGACACCGCCGGCAATCGGCTTGGGCTATGCACGCACATGTCGTGCAACTCCATCGGCAATTTCGAGGCATAATCCCTGGCCACACTCCAGGCACGAAACCAATGTGGCAGAGCAGCACCGATTAAGGAATCCGGCGTGCCAGCTCCGAGTTTGGGTCTTACCGCCAGCACACGATACACGTGGCTGCATGACGATCCTCCCTCGGGCAGCCCGTCCAGCCACCTCGGTGCTCTCCACATAGCTTCCAATCAGGGCTGTATGCAAGGACGTTAACAATTTGCAGAACAAATAAAACGCAAGCTTGTTGCCATACATGACTTGCACACGTCAGCATTGAAAACTATTGAATAAAGAGAGGCGCGCTCGCTAAATATTCCATCATTATTAAGTTGACCGCACCATGTATTAGCCCCAAATCGCCTTGCCCTCGGGCGGCATCCGACTTTCCGACTTGAGCCCCTAGCCCGGGGACCGCCCTCGAGACCGTCCTCGAATTCGAATTCCTTCACTGCGCAGCAACTGTCGAACGTCGCCCTCGAGCCCGAAGCCATACCGTACCTCGCCGACGTCCCACATGCGGCCGGGTACTCGCGTGTTGTCCTCACCACCATACATGTGATGCGAGTATGGCTCGTAACCACTGTTAGGAGTAGTGGACGAGTAAGGTGGGTCTCGGGGGTTCTCGTCTTGGCCGGAAAGCGGCACGATGCCGTATCCGACTCTGATGTTCTTGATGTCTCGTGGCAGATGTCTGCCGTGATCAACACCACCCAAAAGTGTCTCTGTCACAGCACCCTGGCTGTGCCATCCCAGCTTGTCCAAGGCAGGTCCTCTTGTCGCCGCAACAATGTTGGAGAAGCGTGTGTCGTGGAGCACGCCTTCGTTCGCGAAGACCGCTCTGGTCCCCACGATGATAGCCGTCAGCGCGATCAGCAGGGCCAGGCCATATACGATCCAGAGATCTCTCGCGTGGTACTTGTATCTGATCTCGTTGCGTGATCGCTCGCACGGATATGCCGAGTCTCCATGGTCGGGACTATCATCCGCCACCGCGCCGCTGATGATGTTTGGATTGGCAGCCCAGACCACCGAGACATATCGCGGGTCCGCCAGCATGGACAACACGATGTCCTCGTACAGGCTACGCAGGCGATCCTGGAGATCCGGGAAGGGGAACCACTTCTGTCGAGGGTCGAGGAGCTTCGTCTGGAGGGCCTTTGTGTCGCCAATGGGGTTCAGCACGTTCTCCGAGTTCAGCCACCCCTGCATCGAGTCGCGCAGCAGCTTCCCGACGGAATGGTAAGCAGCCACTTTGCCGTAGCGCTGGACCTGCTGGGGAAAGACATAGCTGCTTTGGGGAAAGGCGACGGTCGGGTCGTTTGTGCCGTCGGTCGTGCGGTTCTTGTTGTTGTTACTGTTCCTTCGTGACGGCCCGTCTTCGTCCTCGTCATGTGGTGACGGATTGACCTCGTCCTGTAACCATTTCGTGTCCACCACCCGGCGCAGGTACTGCCTGTCCGTCACATTCGCGGTCTGCTTTCCGTTGCGGTACTCAAAGCGCACAGTGTATGCCGTCTCGTAGTGCTCGCAGGCAAAGACGTGCGGGATAAACGCCTTGTCAAACCCCGGCACGGATCTGTTGGTGGGCACCGTGTCCACGCGCTCTGCGTAGCCGACCCAGATGATCGGCTCGGTGCGGAACGCGCCCAGGTTCTTGGGGAACGGCGGCTTCAACTCGGTCGGCATGCCTCCTGTGCTCACGGGGCTCACCTGAGATATGTAGTACTCCCCTCCCATCGTCGAGGCCTGGTAGCTCAAGTTACCCTTTGGCAGAAGGTATTCGATGCCAAAGTCCTTGGGCGGATCATGGTCCCCGAACTGGCCGACCGTGGCACCGACCCCCTTGGCGAGCTCCTCGCACTTGTAACCCGGCGCCGTAAAGTTGATCGTGTACGAGCAGTTCCACCCACCGCCGCATATGTCGTCCGTGACGCCGGTTCGGGCGACCGTCTGCTGGGTGAAGATGGCCATGGTGGCAGTGACCTCCATGGTCCGGCTGAAGGCCGTGTAGTAGTCGAACCAGCCCTCCATCTCGGGGCTCGTGGTGGTCGAGTTCCAAGTGCTCACCGACTGCCCGATCAGGTCATCGATGATGGTCGGGTCGCGCCAGTTCTCGAGCGACTCCTTGTCAAAGTTGAGGCTGCGCACGTTTGGGCAGGTCGTGTTGATGGCGTTCAGGTGCAGCTCCACGCTGAGCGAGTTGCTCGTGAAGATGATGACGAGCGGCGCCAGCCTTTACACACCCACATGTCAGCTTTTCTTGTGCTTCACGGCTTATCCTTCCTCACTTTCCTCGAACCCCACAAGCCCGCGAGCGAATGTCTGTGGGAGAAAGAGATGACGGGGATACATTAAACCCCCAAACCCCCCAAAAGGAACTTACCAAACAAAAGCCGCCAGAGCCATCGCCACACTCGCAGTCCTGTAAACCTCGGCGTTCCACAGTGCCGTGATGTCGTCCGTGGCCGCGAACAGACTGTCCAGCGCGGGCACGCTGAGCAGCTTGCTCCGCACGGTGAGCCAGATGCGCTGGCGGAAGGCCACAACGACGGCAGCCACGAGCCCGGCCTTTGTGGCGAACGCCAGGACCGCACCGTAGCGCAGCATCTCGAGCTGCCGGTCCGCGATCCTGCCGTCCAGCGTGCTGTAGAAGATGTGGTGCCCCGCCGCGCACAGCAGACCGAAAAGGAAGAAGAGGTACATGATCCAGGCTGGGCGCCAGGAGTACCACTTCTTGCTTGAGGTCACTACCCTCGGCGTGCCGGGTCCTTGTGGGAACTTGTACTGCTGGCTGGCATCGTTGTAGCCGTCGTATTGGTAGCTATCGCTAAAGTGACTGTCGCTGTTGTTGGTATTCCCTCTCCCGGCCGCTGAGTATCCCGGCGGTGAATGCGCCATTTGCGGACTCCGCCACGGAGTCGCGGTGCTCGGCGTGTACGGCGATAGCAGGTGCGTCTGCGACTCTGACCGGCCGTGGCTGCGCATAAACCGCGGGGAGAAAGCGGAACGTGATGATGGCGCGGGCGAGTCTTCAAAGTTGAACGGCGCAGGCGGAGGTTGTCTTGTTGACGATGATGACGTCGTGGTATGTGCCGGCAGGTCGTGAGCACCGGGGTTAGCATTATTTTGAAAGCCAGCCGCCGTGTCCGCCCCCAGCGGCGGTGATTGATGGTGTTGGAATGTCGATTGCTGCCCGGAGCTCTGATGCTGTTGCGGGAGTTGGAAATATCCCTGCTGCCCATGCCGATTGTCCTGAATGGAGTTTGTCGTAAAACTGCTGTTGTTGTCGCTCTTCTGCAGAGTCTGTCTGAGAACCCCAGTTTGACCTTGATTTGGTCCTGAAGCACTGGCGTTTCCGGTTGTTTGCGTTCCTGCCACGTCAACATCGTCCCGGGTGAACTGCCCTTGCGTCCGCGCTGGCGGACTCGGCGGCTTATACAAGCCCGTCGCTGCACCTGTGGCCCCCACAGTGTCGGACTGCCACACCCTCGAGTCTGCTGAGATAATAGAGCCATCGCGAGAAAGTCCGCTACTCGAATGCGATGGCTCGGCAGCGAGGAGAGCCGGTGATGGAGTTCGACGGAGACCACCGCCCATGGCAGAAGCACTGCCTCTGGCTATGCGCTCGCTGAAAGACGCCCTTGTCGCTTGGGGGAATGCCAACGACTGCCATGTTCCCGGGTACTGGTTGTTGTAGGGCTGATTGTTCCGGTTGAGGTTATTCTGAGTGTTGTTTCCGTGTCCGTTTGGCCAGCCATTGTTCTCTGCGTCCCCCATGATAGACACCCACGTGTGAGAAGAGCTCGTCTGTGGGTGATTCTGCGCTGTCCGCGCTGGCCCCTGCTATGAACGGCGCTGTGATGGTCCTCACTGTGTTCTCCGAGGTGTGTCGAACTTTGTACCCTTCAGCGTTGTTTGTGTCGTTTTGGAACTGGTTGTGATGCAATCGACTATCCTGCTCAAGCGGAATTACACCGATACAAGACTGGCGCAAAAAGAGAGATAGGTCTGGCCTCGGCAGATGCTTCTCAACAAGAAAGCCGCAGTGGAGGCGTCAGCTTCGTATAGCTCGCAACCAACAGCTGTGACGACTTGGCACCTGCAGCTCGACCGGGATGAGGGGAGGTTTGCGGACAAGGGTTGGGGTACAGGTGCCGTCCAATTTTTATCTGATGCGCACAGTCATTGTGGTGATCGCCTAAAATATCGCGATCTGGATTATGAGGATGTGGATTAAGTAACCTCGCAGAACAGAGTCCGCCATCGTTGATTGAGCCTGGAGTCTGGACTGTTCTGGCCCTGAAGGCTATGCAGAACAGTGAAGTGTATACAGCCACGCTGAAAGTCGCTCTGTAGTAATTAAGCTCTCTGTCTTCCAGCCACACGGACGGTAGGGCGAAGATGGTCTGCATAGCTTGATGTTGGTTATCGAACGGTGCCCAACTTGCAGTAAACTTTGGGACTAATGACCTGTTGGCGCAGGATGCAGCACGCCCGTGCATACTCGGCCTGCCAGCCCTAACCAACGCCATCTAACAGGGTGGAGGCTCAGCATGCAAGAACTGAGCGCTGTCCAACACTCAAGCTCATTTTTGTCAAGTGGTGGGATCCTCGCCTCCTGCCTGGCGGGCTTTTCTTTGCAGCAGAAATTGTCCCTGGTCTTGTGCTCTGCGCAATTCTGGCCTAGGGGCGTCGTGTGGGGTTAATTAGAGCAGCCACATGCTTCGCCAAGCCTGCTTGGTTCGGGCGAGCTGATAATGTGGCATCCGCCTCCAAATCTTCGCCCACATGGCAGCTCTGTCTGTTGGCCATGTTTGCCCGGACACGGCACACGCATGGTACGACTCTGTGTGCTTACGAAAAAGCCAAGCTGTGCCGGGGGGAGCCCTGCAAGGGAGGGGTTTCGCTGCAAGTACCCGACGCCGCCGGCTAGCATCCTGATACCATGTGGCTGCTGTTGGTCATGTTTGTTGGTTGGCACCGCAGGGGTTGCGGTACGGACAGTGGTGTGCTTGCTTTGTGATGGTGGTGCTGGGGGCGGCCCATCATGTAATCACATCCATTGTGTCGGGCGTGGCTTAAGGATCCTGGTGCACTGTTCACGGGTGTTGCTTCGCTTCCATCTGCGAGGCTGCGCTAAGCTGCTCAGGTGTCTTATACATGTACTATTCTGCTTGCGTAACGACCCGAATGCTTGAAAGCTGCAGCAGTGTATGTTCAAGTATGTCATAGACGCATCTAATCGAGACAAATCCTACTATGGTATTGCTCACGCCGGAGAAGTCCGCAAGGCTGCTGGGCCATGTGGAGGCATTGCTGGGCGACACTTCGGCTTGTCCCGCTGAGCTGACAGCCAAGAGAGTTTTGTGGCTCCAAGTTGACGATCAGGAAGACTCTGGAATCTTATGGTCAAGTCGCTTCTGAGCGGAATTTCGGCTTTGTGCCGTCCTGGCGAGATGCGCTGCCTACGCGGGCCATCCCCAAGAGAAGTCGGTGTGAATAGTGACGCACGATCCTCGTAGAATCTTGGAACATCTATGCACAGCGTTGCGGAATCTGAGTGGCTCCTCGGCCTGATGGCTCTGTTCGGGAGGGCCAACTGATGAGAGATACCCGGCTGGCAATTGCGCAACAGAATGCTCTTGACGGCGGTCGCTACTGGTGTCCGTCAAAGGGATTGTCTTCAGACAGCCGTCTTTACGCAGCTAAAGCAAATACTGCATCGTGAACATGCAGCAGCGCTGGTCAACTAGGCGAGGCCTGCAGAGGGTGGCAACCAGACGCGGATCAATGCTAGTTGAAGTGGACGTGCGCATGACCAAGCCTAGCGATATGCCCCGGATTCCAACGGCAGTCAAGTTTGCTGAAAATTGCTGGTTATGGAGGTCTCGGTTTTGTGTTGATCGAGCAAGACCATTGTCGACGTCGATTGTGTGCTGCTTCCAGACACCTCGCTCTCGCTAGCTCTGATCACAGTGTCGCAGGCAGGCGTTCAGTATTGGTCTTTAATCAAGGCTTAAGAGGCTTCTTCTGGCGGATATTTTCTTTGCCCTTGCGCTTCTTGAACATGACGACAGGCACGTCTGCGTCCGCCGGTGTTTCGGCCAAGTCCTCCTGCTTCACTGTGGGTGCAGCCTCGTCCTTTACTGATGGAAGGTCTTCAAGAGGTTGACTTGTGTCTAGCTCCTCATTCTTCACAACGGGCAGACCTGAGTCCGCTGTGCTTGGCTCGTCTTTCACTCGATCCGCACCAGCATCCGCGTCGGGCTGATCTTCTTCCTCTTTCTTCGGAGCTCTAGGCACGAGGGTGCCGCTCAGCAGCGCATCTAGCTCGGCATCGTCTCCAGGCGCTTCTTTCGTATCACGGCCCCATCGCCGTGGCTTCTTGAACAAGCTCTGGACGGCTTTCTCTTCCTCCTGCCTCCGCTCATCGTCCTCGTTCTCTTCAGGCCTGACCCGTTTTCGAGTTCCGTTTGCGATGGCGTCGATATTTGCCGGTTTCGTCTCGCCATCGCCTTCACCACCGCCGGCATCGATGACGCGCGTATTCGTGACGGTCCACGTCCCCGCCATGGCCATATCCGGCCTCAGCTCCGTGGGCACATCGATGCCCATCTCGGCGAGCTGCTCCCACTGTCTCTGCCTCTGCTCTTTCGTGGCTGGTGCTGATGACGGTGCCGACGGTGGTGGTGCCGCCGCCGAAGAAGCAGCGCTTTGGCTCCCACCACCACCACTGCTCCCGACGACGCCATTCAACCTCTCGACCTCGCGCTTGGCCCGGTCCTTCTCGCGCTGCTCCTTCTCATGGTCGCGGTGGATGTCGCGCAGGAACCGCTTCAGCGCGCCCTGGTGCTTGGCCGTGGCCTCGTGGTTCTTGCGCTCGAGCCCTGTGTCGCGCACGTAGGTGCTGCAGTGCTTGCACCAGTACTTTGGTGTCGACTTCCAGTATTCGGACATCTTTTTTTTGTGCTGATTTTCCCGCGCCCGGTCGTGTGTCTGTGTGTTTCGCACGTCTAAGCTGTATTTCTTCGGGGAGCGGCTCGAGGCCAGACCAAGGCGTCTGATGCGTGAGAAAGGGACAGAGTCGCGCGCACGTTGGTGAGGTTGTGTTGGATTTCGAGTCGCGTTGGAGGCGCGCGAGTGCGAGGTCGATGGATGATGGAGGAGGCTTCCGCACGCTTCAAGAGCTTGTGACACCCAAAGTTCCGCTCGAACAGAGCAGCGGCGCTGCAGTCGCTAGTTGTTGGAATAAGAATGGTGGCAGACCGATCATACAAGAAACTGCCTGGCGCCGTCAGTCTGACGAGGTGACAACAGCCAAGCGCTTTCCTCGCTCAACGTGTAGCTAGAAAATGCTGACTTCGGGAATGACGAACGAGAGCCAGCCAGGGCCGGCAATTGTGATGGTGGCCCACTTTCTTTGGGGGGAACGTAGAAAGTGGGTCACCAAACCCACTTCCTCCATCATGTAAGTGCCCGAAACCTCATCACGACGCCAGCAGTGGTCGACCAGCGCATCACCATGACTTCTCGGATGAGTGGCAAGCATGGAGAGTATTCCGTAAGTTTCCAGAGTTTCTCCACCACTTTGTGATATATGCTTTGATTTACGCAGCACATCCCTAAAATTTATAGAACCTTTTCCAGTGTTTCGGGAATATTTTCACGAGGAGATCACAATTGGTGTTGTAGAACCCTAGATCTAGAAAACTAGCATGTCTTCTCCAAGCCGTATATTAGAAGGATAAGTGGAGCATCCTTCTCACTGTGCAACTTCGGTCTTACATGCCGCAATGCAGAAGACACGATCAATGGAGCGAATCATCCTCGATTCTCAAGGGACCTTGCCACACATCCGAAATACAGCACGAATCCAAGAGCTTGCGAGTATGACAGTAGACTCAACAAAAGAGCTTGTCCGGACGTGACAAATGTCAGACAATACACAGATGATGCAAGAATATTGACAAGGCAAGGTATCCATTTGATTCCTTGTTGGTGTGGTGTTAGTAATGGCGCGTACTTTGTGAAGTTTCCAGTCATACGGAGAAGTCGCATTAACAATCAACGCTGTTGACGTTCTCATGATATCTCGAACAGGTGCGGGCATGAACTCCAGCGCGAACTCAAAGACCGGGGCACATGCCAAAATTCCAACTTATATTTGCTCAGAAAAACGTGTATATCACCCGCGCCTCCGCGTTCCAACCTGAACAGGGAGCACAACAAGCCGAAGCCCACGTCCCTCTCTCGGACCGACTCTCACATGCTGACATCATCCATTAGACATTCATGGTCCTCCAGAGGGAGTAGGGTTCAATTTCCGCCGCCCACCCCCACCAACATGCTGTTCATGAAAAACCAGAACAGTGCCCGATTCAGATCCCTCCGGAAATAGGCATTATGTTGTCGAGGGGACAAGAGACGTTGCTTTGTAGATCGAGATTGCTCGATTTACAAGGCGAAGAAGGTAGCGACAAGGCCAAAGAGGAAAGCACCAAATGAGCCGGTCATGGAGCTGGCGCCAGAGATGGGGATGGTCGCAGGGCGAGTGGTCGAGGCAGGAGGAGCAACAGTGCCAGGGGGCGCCTGGATCTGGCCATCAGAGATCTGAGTAACGGGGGCACCGGTAGGGGCCTGAACCTGACCGTCCGAGATCTGAGTGACGGGAGCGTGGGTAGGGGCCTGGACCTGGCCGTCGGAGATCTGGGAGACAGGAGGTCCCGCGGGTTTGGTAGCAATGGGAGAAGGAGCCTGGACCTGACCGTCCGAGATCTGAGTGACAGGAGCTCCAGGAGGAGCCTGAACCTGGCCATCGGAAATCTGAGTGATGGGCTTGGGCACCATGGTCGAGACAACCTGGGGTTGGCCGTCACCGAGCTGGGTAACGACAGTCGTAGGAACCATGGTAGTGCCGACGACGTTACCGCCAGAGCCGGCGCCACCGCCGCTGCCGGTGCAAGGCATGATCAAGATGGAGACCTTCTCGCACTGAGGCGCCCAGTTGCGGTCGTACAGGTTGTAGAAGTCTCCAGACAGGCAGCGGTACCACGTCTTGCTCGAACCAAGAGCCAGAGAGTTGTCCTGGCAGACGGAGAAGCCGCTCGTGTAGATGGCGCCAGTCTGGGCCGGCCCGTCGAACTGGAACTGGTAGTTGGCGGCGATGTAGCCGGTGCGTTTCTGAGCATCAAGGAGGTTACCGTTCTTGAGGCTCACAATCAAGCTGCCTGCAGTGGAACCACATGTGGCACGCTCCTTAACAAAATGTTAGATCAATGGCTGTGGGTGTGATCGCATATTTGACAGGGCTGAAACGTACCTCAAGATCTCTCTTGGCAGAGGGTGCCTGGCCGATTGTGATCTCGAAGGTGCCATCGTAGCTAGTTGAGCAACCGGAAGGAGGACCGCCAGAGGGAGCAATGTCTTCGGTGACGCCCTGCGGGGCAGCAATGGCAGCACCAATGAAGATGGCCGAGCTGACTGCGGATGAGTATCTCATGATGATCGGTTTCTGGAAAACGAAGGTCGTGTAAATGCTATATTCCCAACGAGTGGTGAGGATGGAACGAATGTGCTGTACGAGTCGAGCTGTCTCTACCAATTATAGGTGGCAGGAGAACTTCGGATGGAATTAGAAGAAGGGATGGGAAGGAAAAGGAAGGGAGATGGAACCTGGCGGAGGGCCCCAGGCTACCACAGGGACTTCATATACTGCAGTGTCTTGGCCAGGCCCGCGTGGTGTGTAGTCGTACCAGCCACTCCATTCCACCAGGAGCTAGCTGAAGGAGGGTGTGCCACACATCATGCCAGGTTGTACACAGTACCAATGCGTCGATCGGGGAGCGTGGCAGTTTTGCTTGGGGCTATGATCGGCTCTCGGAGCCGTTGCTTGCAGCAAGCCCGCTGTCCGCTGTGGGCATGTTGCGCGGTGACGGACTTTCAGTGGAGCTGGACTGGCACTTGGCTACTCGGGATTATCCATTCGGCTTCCCAGACAGTCAAACCTGCCAGAGCGGACCTGATACTCGAGGCATCCTATCGAAATCACAATGTCTCAGCTAGAGGAGCACGAGCTCCTCGCACACAATGGCTCCAAGATCCCGCATGCAGGTCCAAAGCAGTATGACAGTCTGAAGCACGTCCAAGACATAAACAAATCTCCCCAGGCATTGAGGTCCAAAGCACATGCGGAGGAATCCCCCCGCACTCCAGAGGCGTGAACCGTGCGAGCAAAGCTCGCAGCATTCCGAAGAAGCACCACTGCCGAGTTCCGGTCTGATTTCTTGCTTGGCTGGAGCAGCACTGGAGCATCATGGGAAGCAGCGTGACGAATCTTTGTGCTCCACTGATCCTAGACTGAAGCACGGTAGCGACTGGAACCGCGTCACTTCCCGAGTGGCCCGTTCTTGCTTGCTGGGCACAGCCGTCGATGCATGTAGCGTTGGACCATCTCAGATCTTTTGCGTGGTTAGTCGATCTTGCCTTTTGCACCATGCCTCGGAAATTCTCGAATAGAGTTTGGCGCCTCGACAAGTCTTGTTCCCACTTTTGACTGAGAACCATGAGATTGGTAAGACCAGAGTTTTGCCAGCCGTCCTGGACGAAGAAGCAAGAATGGCGCGATGAGGGGCGGCCCTAGCTCTTGTCCCTTCTGACTCGTCGGGGATCGTTCCTGAGGCTAATTCTGTTCCTGGCCTTGTACGCTCGGCATTGTAATTTCCACACGATGGGAACAACGACCTTGTCGTCCCATTGCAGCCGTATGAGCGAGCACCTGCTGTGTTCCTTGGAGATGGGAGATCGCGATCTGAATTGCGGAGAACCCCGGCCCACCGCTCATCATGACGGGCGTGGTGGAGCACCCGCTCCGTGGCCCCGAGCCGTGCTAAGCTTTTGGCCCTGGCCTGTTGTCCTTGTGGGCGGGCTGGGCAGCGTGGGCAGGCTTGGGGCCCGCGCTGTGGCTGCCGAAAAGATGGGGTCAGGTCTCGTTTGGGCGAGGCGGCGGTTGCTTATTGGAGCTTGCGGTGGAGACTGGCGGCTAAGGACTCGACGTGCGGTTGACAAAACTCTTTCTGACGAGCTTGCGGCCGGCCACCCGGCTAACAATGCGGCTCTACTGACGCGTCAGCGTGCAAGTTGCTCCGAAGGTTTCGACGGGCAACATCAAGGGCCTCGCGACACCACCACAAGCTCGACTCTAGCCGTCTAGTGCAGCGTCTGGGAGGGACCCCGTCTCGTATTGCTCGTTGGCCCGCCACCCGGGCGCTGGGAAAGCGTCCGTGGCTTCGTCATGACATGTTGGCTGTTGAGCTGACAGCTGCAAGCACGGTCGATCGGGGTAGGCCGGATGGAAACAGTGCCGCTGGGAGCTGTGTAGTACGTCATGATCAGTACTCCCGTTGCGAGGCAATGGGGTGGCTGGGCCAACCGTGAGTCGATGGATGGTTGCTGCTCACAAGCGGCCGTTGAAGGATCGTCAGCTAGAGGCCGCATGTGCCCGAGCAGACCAGCTGGGATGGAGCTTCTGGCCTCAGGGACACGAGCCCTTGGAGATGTTGACGAGATTTGGCATTGCTGGTGGGTGGTTGGCGTGCTGTCGGTCGATGGCAATCTCGCAGCATATGTTGGCGGGCCAGCTGGAATGTGCCCTGAGCAGCGCCGTGCAGGAGGGCGGCTGTTCGCAGCTTCCCCTCACCCCAGCATCCGCTTTTGATCTGCCATTTTTTTTCGATAGGACATCAGACCTGGACAAACACCCTCACTTACTACCAGCCATGCACAAGTCCCAGTCCACACATCGCGTCCCTGGTGCAGCCGGCAGAAGCCTGGACAGGTGCCGGTTCCAACCTGAGGTTAAGAACCCGGACTCGTCATCCTCATCTGCTCGACCTGTTTTTCGTCGGCACTAGGATTCGCACCATCTGAGCCTCCCACCTAGAGGTGGCCGCGTGCCTGCAGATCTCCCACTTGCCGCCGTTGCGGCCACGACTCCGTCCCACACATGGACGCTTTCTGTCCAACCCGTCCCACTCCTCCCAACACGAAACAGCCTTGGACACCACCCGCACACACACTCATCACACGGAGACTACCGGACAGCCGCTCTACTAGACCAGCCACAAGCACTTCAACAAGTCATGACACACGCCAAGACCCTGCAGTTCCCCCTACTCAGGCGATCCCCCAAAAGGGACATGGGAATCCTGATTCCTCGATTGCGCGGTCACTCAGGCTGCCTCACTCTCTGCCCGCACCACGTAACGCGATTTGTCCTACGTACCCAAAGAAGCCCCTCTCGCACGTCCTCCTCGTCGTTGTCATGTATGAAGACACTCGAGCAGCGTAAGTGACATCCTTCTTCCCGGCACAATACTTGAACGAACGCCCATGCGTGGGTACGCGCCCAAATCAGGCAGATCCCGCTCTAGGCTCTTTCAGATGTGAGACAGTGTGAGCGGGGAGGACGTAAGGAGCACCGAAGACCTTTGCCGCTACGATACTTGCACCTCGCGACCTGGCAAACCCGGCACTTTCCATGTGTCTTCGTCCTTTCTACTGCATTCCTCGAGCGCCGGCATGTTGCGAGAGAGTAAAGTAAATAAAACCTGATACAAGACTCTTAGAGCAAGGACCACGATGAGTCTAATATGATACTCCCGGCCAAGCCTGCTTGCTGCATATCTGCTGCGGTTCTCCTGGACAAGTATGAAGCCGCAGAAAAATCTTTCTTTCTTTTGCTGTGCGCGGCTCGGACAAGATGAATGTACAAGCCCAGTTGGGAAGTCCCCACGCCCCCGGGGGGTGCTCAGTTCACAGTCAGCCTGCCGTTTTCGCTGGCTCTTCATTGGTCCTCCTCTTGGACATCCAGACCTGTCTGGCTCAACTCAGCCTCGTCAAGAAAATCATTTCCCGTATCTAGCGGCAGAACAAAGTGCGACCGCCTGCCTGCATGGCCCGGCCCGGGTCAAGATGTAGTGGCGACATGCATGCATGCATGACCCCAGCTGCACTCTGCACGCTGCAGCCAGCACCATCTCGTTTTGACCCAAGGACAGCGGCCCATCTTTCTCCAAAACCCTGAATACGTAACTACGCCATCATACGCATGCATGTTGCAAGCCGTAATTTCATTTAACCAGATGGCTCACCCTCCTCTCACGCTTGCACACATGTGGAATCATGGACATTTAAGTGTTTGTTGAGGTGTTGTGACTATTTATTTGAAAAAAAGGAAAAGACCAGCCATGTTCTGGTGCGAACAACAACGGTCTGATGATGCTCTATGTCTGTGTGTGTAGGGGAAATAAAGGGGACCGGGGGGGAATCTATGCAAACGCTAAACCAACCAAATGTGTGCCCAACCATCCTATCATCCATGTACCAGCCAGGTAAGTTATCCCTTTTTCTTCTTCTCTTCCCAAGCCACGATCAACCTAGATCGACCGCGAAAAGAAAGAGGTAGAAAAGAGCCCAATCCATTGCCAGGACGTTCGTTCCGTTCGTATCGTTCGTTCGCCAATTTTTGTATGTATGCCATGCCAACCGTAATCATCATACCATTACCCATTTTCTTTGTTGCTGCCTTGAGCTCCATTTGATCCAGGAGGGGGAAGATATCGCAGTGGTCGTGCTTTCTCTCTTCTCCTTTCTCTCTACTTGGACAGGTGGGTCAGGAGCTCCTGCACGAGAGCCCGCGTGGCGTCGTCCTCGAGCTGCTCCTCAGGGGGGCTGAGCACCTGCTGGAACACGGGGATGAGCTTGGGAGTAAGCTGCTGGACGGTGGGCTCGGACATGGCGTCTTTTTTTGAAACACCCTCATTAGCAAAACATTCATCAAGAACTCTGGGAACGGTGGGGGGGGTTCGTTTCGTGGATGGAGGGCACACAAAGAACTTACAAAGCTTGTGGATGCACTGGTAGACGGGCTTGTTCTCCTCGTAGTCCTCCTTGAGCGGGAGGAGGTCGACGAGCGCGGGGAGCACGTTGGCAATGGGCACCTTGTCCGGGTGGGCCATGATCATGCGGCACACGCAGCCGGCGGCGTTGTCCTGGAGGCGGGCGTCCTTGAGCTGGAGCAGGGGCTCGAGCTTGGCCAGGATGTTGTTGTACTCGGGCAGGTACGTCTTCTCGTCCTGGGAGTGGAAGACGAGCTGGCCGGTGGCGTAGGCGGCGTTGGACTTGGTCTCCTTGTCCTCGTCCGACAGGCGGTGCAGGAGCGGGCGCAGGAGGGTCGCGGTGTAGGGGGAGCAAGCGCCGCCCATGTAGTTGACGCACTCGGCGACGACGCCGACGGCAGTCGAGCGCTCCAGGGACTCCTGCGAGCTGACAAACTTCATGATCGGCTTCTCAAAGACCTTCCAGATCTCGGCGAACTGGGAGCCCAGGGCGGCGGCGAGGCCAATGACGACGTCGAGCGCGGTGTCGACGGTCAGCCAGTCCCACTCGGAGCTGCCCTGCACGGCGGCCTGCTCCTCGTCCTCGTCGCCGAGATCCTGCTGAGACGGGTGCGAGCGGGTGATGATTGTGCCGAGGACAGTAATGACTTGCTGCATGAAGTCCTTCTGGCCGAGGATGGAGGGACCGCAAGCCTTGAGGGTGAAGGCGACGCTGCGGTTGATCTCGGTGACGACGTCCCTAGTAAAGCTGTCAGTATTTGTGTGTGTGAAGGTACTCCAATGATAAACATGACAGTGTGGCAGGAATCCATCAGATGTGATTTTGGTTTACGGGTTCTCAGCAACCGCGGTGAAGCGTCTGAGTGAGCTGGGTATAACGCAAAGTAATCATCACTTGGAAGGGGGCAAATGTATGGGAAGAAGAGACAAGTTGTACGTACCGGTCAGACTCGTCCTGCCAGATCTGGAGAGTGGCAGTAGAGACAATCTCGCCAAGCTTGGCGATGTTGGCGTTCAGCGGAGTCTGCAGAGGCAGACCAGGCTGCCACTTGGTGCCGGACTCGGCCTCGAGGACCTCACAGACACAAGCATACGTGCGCCAAAGCGTGCCGATGGCAGTCTTGCGGCAGCCCTCGTAAGAGTGCTCGGCGAAGGGAGTCACGAGCTCAATCGCTCTCTCGATATACGGAGCGCTCTTCTCCTTGGCGCAGTAGATGACCTCGCCGAGAACCTCGAGGGCGATCTCCTTCTCGAAAGCGGCGGCGGAGACACCGACAAGGTCATCCCAGTCATCCTCATCATCCGAGTCGTCCATGCCGTCCTCATCATCGTCATCATCGTTGCCCTTGATCTTGATCTTCTTGCCGGCGATGATAACCTCCTCGTCGACAAGGCCCTGCTGGTCCTCGGCGAGGTCAAGCTCAACATCCTGCTCCTCGAGCTCAAGGCTGTCGAAGAGACCCTTGAAGATACCGGCGAGAGAGTCGCCCAGGTCACCCTCGTAGACACGAGCGAGTTGGGACCAGAGGATGAAAGTAGTCTCGCGCAGGTGCGAGTTGTCCAGCTGAAGAGCCTTCTCGCTGGCCTGCAACAAGGGCATGACGTAAGGGCTGAAGTCCTTGGCACCAACGCCACCAGCGATGCGGCCCATGGCATTGCAGACGGCGGAGCGGAGGGCGAGCTCGTCCTCGCCGTTCTCAAGAGTGACCCATGCGGACATGGCCTCCATGGTCTGCTTCAGGAAGGGAATGAAGGCAGTCTTGATGGAGGCAGCGATGGCACCAAGGGCACCAGCAGCCGCGGCCTTGACCTTGACATCAGGGTGTCCGAGGAAGCTACCAATCTGGGTGATCATGCTCTCGCCGTACTTCTGCATAATCTCGTCGCCAAAGCCCTCGGCCATGGAGTCGATGACACCACAGACGGAGCGGATGATCTCGGCGTTCTTCTCGTCCGCGGCATCGCTGTTGGCGTGCTCGAGGTTCTTGACAAGGGCAGTCATGATGTCGTCGTGGTGGGCAGTCATGCTGTCAGCGAGGTCCTCACCGAGGCGCATGAGACCAAGGAGCGCTGAGTAGCGGACAGAGCGCTCGGGGTCCTGAAGTAGCTGGAGGACGCCCGGCATGAGGCCAGAGATCTGAGTGGACATGAACTCGGGAGCGCCCTCGGCAGAGTTGCCCAGTGCCAGGATGCAGGCCTTGCGCTCGCCTGGGTTCTGCGAGCTGGCATACTTGGGGAACTCCTCGAGGAGAGGGACGATGACCTGGCGGGGAGGCAGGTCGCTCGAGAGCTGGTCGATGAGGGCAAGGGCAGTGCGGGCGGGGGTGGTAGCATCATCCTCGTCATCGTCGTCGTCAACCTCGGAGAGAATCTGCAAGCTCTTGCGCATGAGAGCGCCACCGAGGTCGGGAATACCCTGAATCTTCATGCGGCGGTAACGGACGCATTGAGCAAGGAAGGCAAGCGCCTGGTTGCGAACATCCTCGTCGGCCTGGGTGTTGCTGGCCAGCTCCATCATGAAGAAGACCAGGTCCTTGAAGTACTTGTTGATGAGAGCCGACTCGTAGGCGAGGAATGACTGGAAGACCTCAAAGGACTGCTGAATCCTGTCAGAGTCGCCGCTCTCGACGGCATCCTTGAGAACATCGACCATGGCAGGAATGAACTCCTGCACGGCGTTGAGCGAAGTCTCGTCCTCATCGACATCGACCAGCATGAGCATGGCGCTGATGGACAGCATGGTGTTGACACGGACATCGCGGCTCTCGGGGTCACGGATGGTCTTTGCGAAGAGCTCGAACAGCCGGGCAAGGTGGTCCTCGAAGTAGGGAGGGTTGGCCTCGAGAAGGCTGAAGATGACGTACGAGCCGACCTCACGCTGGCCAACGGCATCGGATGTGGCGAGCTGATAGATGGCAGGCAGGAGGTCGGTCCACTCGTTCTGTTCGAAGTCGAGGGTAGCGATGGCAGCAATGACGCGGGACTCGCCATGGCGGCACTTGGAGTCCTGCTCGCGGACAACAGCCTGGAGCAGCTCGTTGCGGACGGCGGGCTTCTGGCCAGCCTCGATCTTCTCCCAGTGCTTGTGGACAAGTCTCAGGGCCTGGACCGCCGCAAGCATGCGGATGGTCGGCTCGGGGCTCGACACGATGACATGGAGAAGACCAATGAGGGCCTCTGGGTGCGGGTAGAAGTCCTTGCGGAGCTCGGCGGTCGCGGCCTTGACCTTGTTGGTGTCGGCTAGAGAAGAAGCGACCAGATCAGTACTTGGGAACCTCGAGAGGGAGCTTTAAGCAAGCTCAAGACACACAGGCGCGTTCAGATCGAGGGGAATACTCACGGATCTGGGTGCTCTTCAAGAGCTCGACAAGCTTGTTGTGGTCCATGGCGACCTGTTTCTGTGGTTTCAAGGCTTGTGAAAACCTCGAAGTCTCAAGACGCTGGTCGGGAGAAGGAGAGGACGAGAAGCGGCAGACCGTCCGTCGCCTCTTATTGTTCCCTAAATTTTCTGAGCCTCTCTTCTGGAAGCACCCCGCGACAGGGTCCTTGGCGGGGCCAGGGAAAATTGCTGCTGCCCAAATCTCTTTTTTTTTTCTTTGGCTCGAGGGGCCGCCGCCGCCATCATGGTGGGGCCGGGGGTCCAAGTCCCCTGCTATTGTCTCGATAAGATAAGACGGCCATAGCCCACGCAGCACTCACTCACCGACCGAGCAGGCACCAGACATTCATTGGCAAAACTCTTCTTCCGCTCTCAGTAGAGATGCAATGCCAGGAGCCAGCCAGCAATCGATGCACCCACTACACAATTGCGCCTTCGTGTATTTGGATGATCAGTCTCGGTACGGGTGTTGCCCACCGCCTCTGGCGTGGGCGGGCACATACCCCACATTTTGCTGGTGGGGAACTCGCCAACGCCAGGCAGGCAGCGTCACTGTGCGGGCGCGTGTTGTAATGCGGATGCTCTCAACACCGTCACATGGACAGAGCGCGTGTCTTCACATGATATCGCATATGATATCTTAAGCCATTTCACACGGTGAAGGCATGAACCCCTGGCTGCCAGCCGCGAGCAGTTGATGCACCATGAGAACCATGGGCATCCGTGGCCAGCTTATTGTTACGGCCGCCGGAGAATTTCTTGCACCATGGTGCCACATTTGAGTTGTAGCTGTGGCCAAGGACCTTCTCTTGTGATGCATGATGATTTCGCGGCAAAACCGCAAACCTGACTTGGCACAGGTCAGACTGACTCTGCATCGCTGTACTTAGCATAGATGCACATACAAGTTTACTGTGCCTGACCACGGAAAACTGGCAGAGGGTCTGTTTAGAAAATGTGAAGGTCGTCTGGCGGACCGCCAGTCACAGCTCACAGGGGTATGCCTGTCGATTCAACCATGTGGTCGATCATCAGGGGATAGGCCGTGAAGAACAAGAGAAAGAGGATGAAGCAATAAAATAACCATGGCGGTTGGAGCTTACTTGAGGGATGCAACGACGGTTCGTGGCAGAATCATGCTTCGGGGAAGAAGTCTGGAAGGCGCGACTCGAACAGGAAAGACTGCCATCCGTAGAATAGTTCGTGCAGGGCCTGGCGGTGCAGGCTGTCAGTCTTGCGATCCTCATGAATCATCGTTTGAATGTTTGAGTTGGCGATGCTTTGAAAGCCGCCGGACGACCACGGACGAATGCTCCGGTTCGCGGCTGAGCCGTTTTGAGACTTGGCACCTTGTGGATTTCCAGCCGGTATGCACATGGTTTGGATAACAACGATGAATTTCAAGAACGATGCGCATCGGTACTGTGACAGTCGAACGGTGAAGTCTGTCCTGCAAGTCACGATTGTGTCCTGTGCAATCCTGCGTGACATTGTAAGGCAGTCATCGTCTGCAGGCGGCTTGCAGAGCCGTGATTTACAGTGCTTATGCGTGACAATTGTGGAGCCCAGAACCTTCCTTGTCCACGGACATGTTGGACGGGGAACTCTACTTGCAGTTCGCTGCGCGCCGAGCTCTTGATTGGCTCTCGTCAAAGTCGTAAACATGCCCGATTTTGCGCATTTGTCCGCCGGGACGGACCGTCTTCGCACAGCGAGGCTGCGGCGTGCTTGCAGCTCTGGCGCGCTTGACATGATGACGCTACATGATGTATTTCGGCCCTCCCACTCGGCCCTCCCACGCGCATCGTCCAAGGTTAGTTCGTGCAGTGCATGCCACCATCAAGCTGCTGCATGGCCATGGATCAAGGGTCCCCTAGTCCTGCCACGGCAAGCTCTTAGTTTGCTCTTGCCAGGGGTCTCTTGGAACTCACGGCCCCGAGGGCGGGCGGTCGTTGTCAAGGTGTTTGCCATGGCGGCACTCCTTGGCCATAAAGGCACCACCATCTCGCCCCCTTGAGCCGACACGCAACACTTCCAGCATCCTGTCGCTGATGGCTTGGACAATTGGTAAGCCCAACGCATAGCATCACCTACGCGTACATACCCTGAGGCACAAATCACACATGACACAGCTGTAGTCCAAGCAGCTCGCAACAGCTTCAAGGGTCGTTGCGAACGGGTACACCCTCCCTTCCACGGCCAGACCTCAACCGCCTCCGGTCACAGCACAATGGCATCCACCGCGAAGCACACGAACGGCTCGCTGCAGCTCGAGAAAGCCGCACGCAAGGAGAAAGGCATGCTCGCCTTCTTCAAGCGGCAGTTCGTGACCCCCGTACCCATCCCGACCTCCATCATCAACCTCTCCGGCAAGACAGCAATTGTCACCGGTGCCAACGCGGGTCTGGGCTTCGAGAGCAGCCGGCAGCTCCTCGGCCTCCAGCTCTCGCGGCTCGTCCTAGCCGTGCGATCCCAAGCCCGCGGCGATGCTGCGGCCGCCAAACTCCGCGAGGAGTTCCCCGAGGCCCAAGTGGAGGTATGGATTCTGGACATGGAGTCGTACACCTCCGTCCAGGGGTTTGCCGACAAGTGCAAGGCCGAAGTCCAGCAGCAAAAGCGGACCATCGACCTTGTCCTACTCAACGCGGGCATCCAGCGGACACAGTACGAGACCGTCCCGGAGACGAAGCATGAGCGGGTGCTGCAGGTCAACTACCTGTCCACCATGCTCCTAACGATCCTCCTGCTGCCCATCATGAAGCAAGGCCACCGGCAGGCACGCCAGTCTGGTGCTGTCGCGGCTGCGGCCCCGCCCGTGCTGAGCGTCGTGACTTCGGACACATCCTATTTCGCGCCGGTGGACGTCAACGCGCCGTCCATGCTGGGCCTGCTGGACAATCAGCCCACCCCCAAAAAAGCATACAGCTCGTTCGAGCACTACTCGCAGTCGAAGCTCTTCCAGCTCTCATTCGTCCCAAAGCTCGCTGAGCACGTCGACCCCGAGGATGTCGTGCTCAACCTGGTCAATCCCGGGCTGTGCCGGGACACGGCCTTCAACGAGGGCGCCATGTCTGGCATCACGGAGAAGCTGTACCACATGTTTATGGCCGTGGTGAGCCGGACCATCGACGTCGGCGCATCGACGTATGTTGATGCTGTGGCCGTCAAGAGCAAGGAGAGTCATGGAGCGCTCGTCAGTGATTGGACGATCAAACCGTGAGTGATCCCACTTCAAGCCGGCTACTCTTTTTCAAAGCCTGGAACTTGATGACTAACGTCCGGTATGCAGTTTCCCGCCTGTCCTCTACGGTGACTCGGGAAAGGAGATCCAAGAAAAGTTGTGGGATGAAACGATGGCCGAGCTAGAGTTCGCCGGTGTGCGCGAGATTGTGAAAACCTTAAGGGAATAGGGAGGTTCCATGTGCGGTCCTCGAGAGGACGAGATGGGCCAGAGAACGTCTGCGATTCGTGGAGTGAATCTCCCAGGCTTATTCCGAGAGTCGTCTTGGAATGGATGCAGGCATGATTTCAAATCTGTCAATCTAAGAGATCCGTGTCTTTCGAGAATACTGCCTTAGTACAATGTCCCGATGTCAAATTCACCACCATGTAGAGTCCTTGTTTTCAGTGCTGAATCCCCGACCGGAGTCCACGACGGTCTACCACCGCGTGTTGCTGCTTGGTGGCTTCCAAACCTTTCCCATGGAGGGACACCCCAAAAGCGAGACTGCCATTGCACACGCATGAACAGACAATTGCGAATGAATAATACTCCAGGTTATGAAGAAGTATCAATGCAGCATATGCAGCATGTCGGCATAACGATCATTTACCTTGTCGTGCGATTGTCTCAGCCACTTGGTAGATACGTATCTGTTGGGGTTCCAATCGTGATATAGCGACGGGCGGCGCTTCCAGCCTTCTGAAGGGCATGGGCTGTGTCGTGTCCTCTGAGGCCAGATACTGCCACATAAACAATCAACTCTTCACCATCGGGGAAAGGATATAAAGAGACGAAAAGCCTCTCTGTTGTCTGCAGACATTGTTCTGACGTCCTGGAACTATAACGTAGCATTGCGTGAGCAGCAGCTTTGGCAGTGAACATCAGCGGCAGCAGAAATACCACAGCCGAATTTTGCCAGCCTCCAAAAAGGCACGATGAAGTCCAGCCTCATCAACATCCTCGTCCTCGCAACGAGTGCAGCACTGGCTCGGACAGCTCCGCACGCGGGCCTGTCCGCGGATGACACACCCGAGGATGGGAGCCATGTCGCTGTGGTCGCTCCATCCGGTGAGTTCTTGTGTCCCACCCCCCCCCCCCTTAACACATCTTGACTAGCCCCGAATTATGTCTATCGCCTTTTCTCTACCAAAGACTGTCCCACGCGAGAATATTGCTAGGCCACGTGAACATTAGACATGACAGCTTACCCGAGCGTGACAGTAACAACAGTAGCAGCAGCACCAGCCATTAAGACCTCCCTCGTCGCCTCAGCAGTTTACAACATCGACAGCGTCGACGCTGACGAGTCGCGCCGCAGCTGCTGGCGCATCATGCGCGTCGCGGCCTGCGTGACGGCGGCGTACATGCTCGGCAACCTCACCGCCATCGAAGAGTGCATCGACGGCAACTGGGATGACGTACGCCCCTCCTCCTCCTCCTCCTCCTCATCATCACCCACTCCCCCTCGTAACCAATCCCGCCGCCCACCAGAAGCAAATTTATAGGATTATAGCAAAACGCGCTAACACCTTTTCCGGCTCTGCGTTCGCCTCTCGCCGCGTTTTCACAGCTATGCGAATGCTCAGACATCTTCCCCGGTCTGGACGACTGGCTCGAGCAGAACCGGCCGTGCCAGAAGCACTGAGTCACCGGCTTCCACCAGTCTATCATCTCCTACGAATACTGCTACTACTACTACTCACCACCCATCCACCCAACCCTGTCCCCACGATCACCATAATTATACAAAAGAAGAGCGAGGGATGAGATTTCAGGACAGGTCAGGGGCAAGACAAGTTGCAGCACTCTTTCACGCGCGCGCCCACGGAGAAGGGGGAAGGGGCGGGTGCTGGTAGGCGTGGGTGAGACACAATACGCATATCGCCCGTGTGATCCACCGCGCCGAGAGAGGACAAAAAAGCCCCAATACAAGGCACTGTCAGACCATATGCGCCGCCTATTCGAGTCTGTTACTTGGCATTAACATTGAGAGGGTGGTGGGACTGGCAAGCAGATTACATGTCCTCGCATTCACGAACCAGCTCGCGCATCAATCGTAAGGCATGTATGACCAGTGTTGCCCGATGTAGTAGTGGTGTGTGGAATTGTCAAATTATGGAAGTGAAGAAAATAAATTAACCCTGAAAAGCCAAACGCAAAACTCTGTGTGGTGGAAGTAGTCGCTGGATGAGCCCAGATTGCGACTGGCTGGGTCCTCGGCCTCTCGGTTTCGCCAGAAGACTCTTGAGGGCAAAGTGGTCATCTCAGCAGGCAAGCTTCCGCGATACTTCCATTCCTTTTTTATGATGCCGTTGTATCCTGCAATGCTCCAGTAATGCCCCCAACAAGTTTCACAGTCTGTTATGTACACATCGTGCTTCCTTTGTTGGAAGCAGATTTTCTCTCAATCTTCACCTTGGGCTCCTCTTTCGTCGCTTAGACGTTGTTCTCAGAGTGCACCTTCTGCTCGCCGTTCAGGCTGCCCTCCGCGGTGGTGTTCGCACATCCAGGCGTGCCGCCAAACGCGTTATGTGGGCGGTTGCGCAGGGTGCGGCGAAGAGCGCCCTCGGGGCGGCTGGCCCAGACCTCGTAGGACGAGTTGCTGTGCGGGAAGAGGACCTTGTTCTGGGGGTGCTTGACAATGTCGGCCCAGACGGGCTTCGGGCGAGCGGCCATGACCTCAAAGTCCTCCATGATCTGAGCACAGAACGCCTCGAGCGGCAAGTCGTTGACATCGTTGCCGAACGGGTTCTCAATCTCGCGGCCGATGAAGAGGATGGACAGGATAATGGCAGAGGCGGCAATCGTGGCAGGGATGGTGATCCACTCGAGGCCAGGGAGCAGCTGGAAGGGCAATAGCATGACGTAGAGCCAGGTGATCTGCTGGATGGCAATGGCGTAGGCGATGGGCAGAGGGGTGTTGAGTACACGATCACAGCCAGTCAGGACGTCGTTCAACGAAGCAAGAGCGTTGTCTACGCAAATTCTGGGTCAGTATGCTCTTGCGTATTGCAAAGGCCACACAAAGCGGCGCCTTCTTCTCTCCGAGATCGACTTACAGGCTGTGGTCTGCTGCATGGGAACGGTCAGTTGGCCGTTCTCGACGAGCGAGTCGACGTATGCACTGAGATAGCATAGGATCTCGAGCGGCAGGTTGCCGAGCGGGCTCGTGGCCTTCTTCATCTCCTTGCGCGGGTTGGACTGGGCAAATGTGATGCCAAGGCTCTCGCCAACCTGCTTGAACATGCCCTTCTTCCTAACAAGGTCGAGCTTCTCGTTCGTGGCCTGCTCGGCAAAAGTGTCCAGGTGCTCAACGAGGTCCTTCAGATCGTGGTAGTGAATGTAAGGCTCGAAACGCAGCTTGTGCTTGAGCGAGACGGCGAAGGCAACAAGAAGGTTCATTGCGGTGCTAAAAGCGTGGTCACTGTCAGCATACATGGTAGATAGTGCTGTCACGAATCGAATATTTACTTACAGCTTCGAGAGCACGTCCTCCTTGGTGCAATCGGGACGTTCTTTGCCGTGAATCCAAATAACGCGCGCAAGGCTGTGGCAGGTCAGGGTGAGGGTACCCCAATAGCGGCGACCCTCGGCATAACGCTCATAAGCGGTGGAGCTGCGGAAAGAGAGACCGAGACCGACAACGAAACCGGTGACAGTGAGGAGGACGTTGGAGATTCCGAGATTGACGTAGGGGACCTTTTTGTGGATGAGGGTGATGCAAGTGGCCCAGAGACCGATGAAGGCGATCGGGAGGATGAGCTTGGGGATGATGCTTCCGTGGAGCTGCATGAACAGAGGCCACTTGGAGTGCTTCGAGATATCACGAGGACCGGCCTGTGGATGGGAGAAGTATGATTAGCTAACAGGCCGCTGCAATGCGCGGACGGGCGAATTGCCCCGGCAGGCGGGCTCACAAAGTAGTCGTCGAGGTCGATGCTTGTCTGGCGGCGGCTGAACGGGTTCGGGGTCTGAGTGCCCTGGGGTGAGGTTGGGAAGTCCTCCTCGTTGAGGTCGTAGGTGACCTCCTTTGGCTTCTGGGTGTTGATCTGCGATGGCTGGTCGGCTTGCACCGCAGCAGAAGCGTGAGCATTGCCATTGGCGGGGGCGGAAGCCGCGCCAGGGCCAGAGTGGCCACCTCCTTCCTCAGACATGGTGAGCGAGGCTGTGGTTTGTGGTCGACACGGAAGAGCCGGGAGGTGTCGTCAGATGACGCTGGTGGTGGTGGTCGGAACCTGAGGAGGTGGTGATGATGATCAAGGACGCAGGTGCGGCTTTTCTGGAACGTTGGTGTTGCCGAGAGGAAAAAGAAGACACGGGAAAGACGCAAACACAGGTAGGAAATGGTCGCGCAAGGAGAATCAACACCGCCAGGGAATTGAAGCAGGCATGGGGTAGAGATCAGCAAAAGACAACACCAGGCCGGGCGGGGAGAGTGAGGGCGTCGAGCAGCTTAAAAGGGAGCACGCAGCAGACCAGGAGCAGGCCATGCGTGATCTCAGCTCGCTCGTTCACACCACGCCACGCCAAGCCGCGGCGCCGTGACAACATTTTTCTCGACGGGGACCAATCCGGGGCACACGCGGCCCTCCCAGGGCTTGGGATGGCTGCAGGGCGGCCTGAGCCGCTGTGTGGAAGGACCCCAGGGTTGACACGCAGACAGGCCTGCGCATCGCGGAGCCCAAGCTAGAGCGGTCGTGATGGAACCCGCCCAGTATCAAAATAGTGCATGCCCCCATAGGCTGCATACCACCATAGGCTAGCAGTGCATACCTGGACCCACCTTGATATTGGCGTACCCAATCAAAACGTGAGTATTCTGCCTCAAACTCTAGAGCGCGTCTGGTATGCACGGACGCTTTGGCGCGTGCACGGGTCACAACTGTCTATACCGCCTACCTTGCTACGTTAGTCCGAGGTCGCGACGTTTATACTACGTACTATCAACAAAGCCGTCACGCCGCGCGTACAAGTTATAAGGCTAAAATTACCGCCGATGACACTCTATAAGCATGCTACATGCGGCGCCCATCAGGACTTCGTAAGACAGCATAGTTGTAACCAACGCGGTAGTACGTGTATGCGCGATCTAGAGACACTGGCAAAAAACTCACGTTGTAGTCGGTACATTCGTATCAAGGCGGATTGAGGTATTGCTCAAAAATAGCTGTGGGCCAATGGCGAAACGGCTAGCCCGCATCGGGGCTGAGCCACCGCGCAGCGAGCTGCTCAGGGCACCAATCAGTGGCCTGCCAGCGCATTCCTGGCCAGGGGCAAGCCGGAGTGGCGTGGTGGCGATGCTTTAGAGTTTTGTGGGGCACCCTCATTCATCGTCCCTTGTCTGCACCTTTCTTCTTTGTTCCATCTTTTCGCTGACAACGCCAAAACGGTCAACGTCGAGAGCTCTGCGGCCGGAGACTACGGCTTCAGGTGCTGGCCAGTCGCGTCATGCTCGCATGCCGCAGCCCCCATCCTGCGTCCAGTCCTGCGCGGGTCGCAGGACTGTTCTTGTTTGGTGCGGAGGGGGGCGTGACGGGGAGCGCATCCTTCTCCGGGCAAGGGATCAGCGGAAGGTCAGGGCATCCGGTGCCAAGACACTAGGCCAAATAACCTTAGACTCTAGGCTCGGTGCAAAGAGATTGTCTCCAAGATTCAAGAGTGCCCGCTCGCCCATGAGCTACTTCGGCGGATCCCCCTGCGTGGTGTGTGGGTTTCTCTTTCTGCACGTCGTAACAGCTGTGGCCCGACGGCCAACCACTGAGTATTCGGCTGCACCCAGGCAAATATAGTAAGTAGTCCAGCTAGGTGCTCATCGTCCATACTGCAGGAGTGAAGCACACCACAGGGCAGCCCGGGATGCTTGTCAGCCTGCAGTATTTCCGCTTCTATCCTTTGAGCAATCCCGCCAGGCCGTCAGCGCTAAGTCAGTGGCCCCCAGGAGCGCCAGGCCGAGGCCTGGGGTTCGCCATGCTCGTACATCCCGGCGAATGAGCACGCCCACTGCACTGGGCCCCCCTTCTATTTCCGCTGCCGACAACGCATTCTGCGTAAGCCACCTACGGAACCACCCGCCAGGGCCGCTTGTTCAGCCTCAGCCAGCCAGCCCCTTGGCCTTGGCCGTGCAGATGTCTCGTGATCCGCTCGCATCGATCGAAACAATTTTCCTCAACAGCCTCATTACTGATGTTGCTCTCCGATCCTGGCAGGTAGGGGCGGTCAAGGTCATTATACTCCATTCGAATCATTGGGGGCGTAAGCCCGTCTGCATAGGATCAACTCTCGCGAGACGGCTGAAGCTACGTAGGCTTGGTAGGCAAGCGGCTGCTCGTGCACGGGTACCCAGTGTTTGCTTGGTCGCCAATATTTGCTGACGGCCACGGCTCGAGCGCCGATGCGTCCAATTACATCAGATCCCTGTCACACCGACTGCCGGCTGCCTCCGTTCTCGTTGGCGAATCTTGAGCAGGGGCATGCCCAGCTGCTGGTTGGGACTCTCCTTCGGTGCGGCAGGACCTGACAAGTCCTCTTCATGGTTCGAGGCAAAGTCATTTCCACAGTGATGAGCGCCCTAGCTCTGGGTCAAGTGACTCGTCTTGATCTGGCATTGGGACAGTCCGGCAAAGCCTTCTTCTCGAAAGGGGTCCGCCCATACCGTTATCCGTCCAATGTCCGGAGTGGCATGCGCTAGTCCTCTGGAGCCTTCCTGTCATCCCTGGGCGAATTAGTCTGAAACACAGTTGCACCCTGAAACAGACGTGCACGCCTGCGCTGTCGCTCATCAGACTCAACACTTGTTGCATCCGTGCAAATCAGCCCAGCCTGGAGGCGACTTCTCTGGAGAGCACAAGGACAATCTGAGTGTGTGTGGAATGCAGGCGCTTCAACAAATGCCCATATGTACGCGGAGTATGCTTGTGAGCGCATGTGTCTTTGCTGCCGCATCGCACCTTGTCCTTGGTGGATGCGAGGGGCAAGTGCTAATTCAGAGTACCCATATTATCCGACAGCTTTCCTGCGTGATGCAAAACTCTGCCCATTCGGATGCCGGTACAGATGAGCAGATAGAGCGAGTTCTGGTCTGAACAGAGACCAAGAGCATGCTGCCTGCCTGCAAGCTGCGCAGGCTGGCATGTGGAACAGGCACTTGGGAGCGTCTCGCATCGCGAGCCTATTTGCACGCGCAGAACTTTTCAAGGGTGGTTTCGGCCGAAGGCCCTCGAAGGCGATTTCGAGTTACTCGTGAAACTTTCGCGATTGAAATTCACAAAAGCGGACGGTCCCTTTGGACAGCCTCTATTATTGGCGTCTACGCAAACCAGAGAAGCTCAGAGGTAATGGTGAGCAGTGAAACCATTTAGCCACACTGAGGCTCCGGCGACATGAGAGCCGCGTTCGAATCGTGCTCGATGCCACCAATATCATCGTTAGTCACCAGTAAGCGTCATGTTCCCCAAGCATGCGCTTATTTTTGACAGAATGGCGGCTGTAGTTGCAACTTGCCATTCCCACGAGCGTCGCCCGCTCCAGTGGGGCGGCGAGGCGTCAGGATGAATCATCCACCATCACCCGCCTCTGGCAGGCACTACCCACGCGCTAAGCATGACTGGTGGCAACGTCAGCTCGTTGAGCCTCACGACACCCTCAAATCCGAATCGTGCCCGAATTTGCTACTTATGCCCTGATCCTTCCTGTATTAAAATCCCTCCCTATTATATTCATTATCATTTCCATCGCTGGCAACATCATCATCAACTACCCCCGGCCGGCACAACAGTTGAGCCACAGCCAGCAACGACGTCATCCAGCTCTCTATCCGCGGAAAATCCCTACTCAACCGTGAGCCAGATCACAATCCTCCGCAATGATCTCTACAGCCAACACAAGTGGCACTCCGGCCGGTAGGCGGCAGGCTGTGCCCGAAGCGCCCAGCAATCGAGTCGTTTCAAAACCTGTGTCCGACGCACAAGCACGCGACCCTCGCAAATACCAACTGGAGCAGATCAAACGACGCTTCTCCCTTAGGCAGACGAACCTGCAGAATGGCACTACGCTCCTGGCTTTCAACCTCAAGCCTTCAGATCCGGATTTTCCTTTTGACTTGGACTTGTTGGACTGCGAGCTCCTGGTCCCCGCTGCCTACCCGGATGCTGCCGCAGCACCCGTCCTCAAGGTGAAGAATAAAGACATCCCTCGCGGCTTTGCCATAAATATCGAGCAAGGGTGGGACAAGCTCGTAGAGGAGAGACGCGAGGCGACGCTGTTGGCACTCACAAACGCCCTCGACAGGAGCCTGGAGACCTACTTGTCCGAGAAGAAGCAGGACACCGTCACACTTATGTCCTTCAAAGACACAAGGCATCTGGAGTCAGAGACTACGACCCTCGGCAAGCAGCAGCCGCCAGTCAAGAACGTGCAAGAACCATCGGGGCCGGTTTCTTTGCCCAGCAGATCTTATCTTCCCGAGCCTTCGTACACAAAAGACGAGATCAATGCGGCAAAAGCTCGCAGAGCACAGGAAACCCGACAGCTCGAAGCCCGCATGAGTCGTTTATCCATGTACCAGCGTTCCAGCGACGGTGTGGTGTACACGCTACCCTTGGAGCCTCGGAGGCGTACCGAGCTTCCTACGGGGTTGCAAGCGGTGCAGTCTGTGCAGCTGATTGTGCCTCTCCTGTACCCCTTGCAGCCACTGCGAGTTCTGCTCAACGATGTCGAGTCCAAGGACGCAGAGGCTGTCGAGGAGCTCTTTGCAAAACGGGCGGCCCAGCAGACTCAGATGTCGCTCATGAGCCACATCAACTTCCTGTCCCAGAATATGCATCTTATGGTGAAGCAGGCTCAGCAACAGGAGGCCAAGCAGCGGCAGGAGGCTGCTGCTGCTGCGAAGGCCGCTGCCGATCTAGGCACAAGCACAGCACAATCAGAGAAGATGCCCGTCACAAGTTCTAGCCATGGCAAAACTCACATCCAAGTCATTCCGCGGCCGCCAGAATGGATATGGATTGACAAGGCGGACGACACTGAGAGTTCTGATGACTCTTGGGATGAGCTCGACTCCGACGAGGGCGGAGTGGCTGTCAATCCGCAAGAACCCTCAACAGCACCCCTTCATCAGCCGGAGAGAGGTACAGCTATATCGTTCCCGTCCATAGAGCTTCACGGCATTGAGCTGTTCCAGGTTGCACTCCTCAGTCTAAGCGTCAAGTGTGAGCGGTGCAGAACGATCAATGATCTCACAGGGCTTAGACCGGGGCTGGAAAAGTCGAGTAGCTGCAAAAAATGCGCCACGCCATTCGCCACAACTTTTCGCCCGGAAATGGTGCATCAAGGCTCAACCAGAGCTGGCTTCATAGACGTATCCGGCTGCACGGTCGCCGATATGCTGCCAAGGTAAGTCATTGACTCCGAACCAACTCAGATTTGAACATCATTCTAATGCCGTAATCTAGTACCTTCATACCTACATGCTCCACCTGCTCGACCGCAAGCCCAGGACTTGTGTCAGTGCGCGGCGACGTCACGAACAATGTCTGCCGCGAGTGCCACAACAAGTTCAGCTTCAAGATCCCAGATGTAAAGTTCCTCGCAATCACCCGCGGTGCAACACTGCCGCCGTCCGCCGGACCACGGCGAAAGCTCGAAAAGCTCGGTTTACACGTCGGAGAGCAATTACCCGACAGAGGATCCTGTCCTCACTACAAGCGCTCATATCGCTGGTTCCGCTTTTCCTGCTGCAGCAAGGTGCACCCGTGCGACAAGTGCCATGACGAAGCCGAGGACCACATCAATGAGTGGGCTAACCGCATGATTTGCGGCTGGTGCAGCCGAGAGCAGAACTATGCTGTCGAGGCGTGTGGTTTCTGTGGCAGGAGCGTCATTGGAAAAAAGGGCCGCGGGTTCTGGGAGGGCGGCAAGGGCACGCGGGACAAGACTAAAATGAGCCGGAAGGATCCGCGCAAGTACAAACGTGTAGGTGGTGGTGAGACCAAGAAGAAGGATTGATCAAGGCTCATGTACTGTACGGCTTCTCATGGAGCCCGATGAAAAATCTTGCCATGGCCTAGATGATTTGCGGCCTCCTGTCTAAGATGTACGCCTCGCAGCTGGTCAGGGCGGTGTTGGGTCTGTTACCACTCTTAGAAACCGGGAATTCACTCCTCCACATTGTTCCTCTATCCTTCATTCTTAAGTGGCCATGCCAGCATGGGAGAGAATGCCTTGGTCGGACCTGGTCAGATTTGGTCCGGTGATTCATTCTTCGCTTTTGTTGTCGTCCGGGGATATTTTGTTCTTCATGAGCGGGATCCATGTTTGCGGATTAGTCTCGCAGGGATTCTTGAGGCCTTCAGTGTTGTAAATGACTGATGCAACCCAGCATCGACGATGACGCGCCTGATAATCTGGAACTTCATTCAGCCGAGGGGAGAAAGAGGGGGGGGTGGGGGTGTGCAACCTCCATCTTGGATAATGTGTCGGGGGTTATGTTGAGGTAGAAGGGATTTTGGGTTGGCGAGGAGGGTGGGAAGGACGATACCACTCTGCATCACGAGGGTGCTACCACTGCGGGCAGCGAGTGTCTTGTTGGCGAGATGACTTTGCGCGCAGGCATCAACTGCTATCTGCATCGAGACCATTCTCGTCTGTAACTAATCTCCTTGAGAATGACGCCTAAAATGCAGACCGCACGTGTGTCTCCGTGGTGGCTGATGGCCGGCACGCTGTGTAGCTGGACCTTTTGTCGACAGCAACCGCAACACATCACCGCGAGACCTCAGCGCTCGTCAATACATCGCCGGACGTCACGAAAAAATTAAGGACAAAGATATATCCGCGCCCCCCGTCCCCTTGGCACCTTCTCCATTTGTAGCACAAACTCCGGCCATCTGGGCAGACGCACGATCGGGCCGATCAGTGTGGGCTGCATGCCAGATCGCGAACGCATGCACCCGTGACGTGCTTTCCTGGAGACCTAGTCATGGAGGGTTTTTTTTTTTGTTCTTTATTTTTTTTTTTCTGCAGGTCATACTATCTTTGCATGGTATCAGGATAGGACGCGGGTGACATGGCCACATCGGGGCAGGGCACCTGGAGCGATAGACGGACTGAAGTACACTAGTTGTGTGTAGTGGAGGGGTACTTGGCCAGCGGTTGAGCTGGCAACACGTGTACCGCGCAGGCGGGAGGGAGTGAAGCTTGTGGAGAGATGTTCCGCTCGGCCGGGAAGTTGAAGTCTCGTGTGTGATGATGGTGGTGGTGGTGGTGGTGGTGTGAGACATTTGCTTGCACAACTAGACGGTGTTGTACTCCCTGGTCGAACGGGATAGGTTGAAAAGTACGCCGTGTTGTGTGGTTGAGCCTGGCCATGGATGCGGGATCATTTCTCGATTTCGACCATACAAAGCTATTGAGCGAATGATAATGATTGAATTCCAGAGCCGAAACAGTGATTTCTTGAAAACTCCAAATTGTCACCGGGTCTTGTGACGCATGACGTCGGGCACCCTGGTGACGCTCGCCGCTTTTCCAAGAGCGCATGTGTCACTTAGAGTAGTTGCCGGTCCACGCTGCCGAGCTGTCAAGGCTGCAGCGCCGGACCCAGTCCCGAGGCCGGAAGCGGTTCGTTGAGCCTCGGCCGCGGCAGGTGTCGCGTTGCTGGGTGCCGGACACTCTCTGTCCGGCTTGTGGATCATCGCGGCAGGCAAGCACTTGGCTGACATTGACATTTCGTTTGCGCTAGGTCGATAAGTCTAATAGGAGAGAGTGTTTCTGTCATGAGAATATTCAGGAAAGTCTCTCTTGCCTACATGTCAACTCATTGTACTAGTGATCACTGATCTGTTTCTCGGAGCTACAAAACATTATACAGCGTTGTCTTCAACCACGCGCCATGAACTAGATCGACCAAAGCCGAAGCCTGTGGGTTTATCGGAAGCTAAGCTTCAGCATGTTGGGTGCAAAATCGGTTTTATCTTTTAATTTTTATTTCTCCTTCTCACAAATATTTTGAGGCTGGCACAGCTCATTTACAGGATTTAATTGAGCAAGCCTCCCAACATATGCGCACAACCATGGGAGGGATAATCGCAACCAGCATCTATCATGCCATTAGATCACAAGCAGGTGTGCACGGAAGCCCGCCCCGATCAAGTAGGATGCCCAGAAGCCTTACCGGTTGCCCGTCCATGGGGTGGTGCTTTGAGATGTCAGGGGTACCCCAGTCACCGGTGAGATCTCCTTCAGGGTCCTGCTCACTGTGTTGATGCCGTGATTAGCCTCGGCAACAGCCATTTGTCCTGCACACGCCCCCCCCCTTCCCATCCACACACACTCTGCAGTTGTGGTGCTGTCAGGCCTTTCCGATCTGAGCCTCATGGGGATATTAAACGCCGTGAAGCGAACTATGCGGGGTGCGCCACCCCAGATTTTTGTGGGTGACGTGCTGCAGGCCTTCTTTTCCATCTCGCGCGAGAGGGTGTGGTGGTTCGTGATGGTGTCGCGCCGGAAGGTGCGCGATGGTGTGGACAACGACGACGACCTGCAAACATAGAGGGCGAGTCGAGAGGCATCTGGTTGAATGGGGGCTTTATGAGGGAGGGTGTGCAGCGGTCCGACAGCGCGGGACTGTCCTCCTGACGGACACGTGCGCAACGGGGATGCCACTCGCTTGCTTCAGCCTCGCTGTGGTATGATGTGGTTGGGCGTGAGGAGAAGAGGGTGTGAAGCTACGTGTAGTAATTATCTGGGTTGGGGGGTGTCACATGGGACGTTATATTTTATGCGCTGTCCTCCATGGTGCGATGGACTGTCAAAGACCATCTGGCGATGCCTATTGTTTTGGGGACTTTATTTGGTCCTAAACTCTGAGCAATTACTGTTCATTTTTGTCACCACTTAACTGTGAAGTGCAGTGTTTGTTTGTGTCAGCCTGTCACCGTGACTTTGTAGGACCGATTGGTTGTGTACGTGTTCAATCGTGGGCAAGGATGCGATCCAGACGTAGTGCTCGTGCAGAGGGGGAGATCATGCACACACATCACGGGTTACTTCACACTGAGAGGGCTTCATGCGGTTCAATTCACAAGGCTTCCGCCAAACCACATGAGTCGCTGTTCGAGCAAATATCGCGATCCTCAAACCTGCCTACCCGCTCCTGCAATCTTGCAACCAGGGCCCAATTTCAGCCGATGATCTATGGTTTCTAGAGGCTAAGGCAGCAACTCGTCAGATCATGGAAAGTCAGATGACCTGGCACATCACCGCTGATCCGTCATACTTGCTCTTTCATTGACCCGAGAATTTGGCAATCCATAGCGTTGATCCAAATCCACGGCCTGAGACCTAGCCTATGATAGAGTTCCAAAGAATTGGAAGCAGGAATATGCATAGCATTGACATGATTTGTTGTGAGAATATAGGTTTCTTGTCCTCGGGTGTTCGTAGCACAAAACCTCATCCGGGCTTTGGGGACAATCTAGTTCGGCATGCAAGCCAGAGAATTCATGGCAAGGGGGTTTTCCCAGCGTTGAGACGTCCAAGGAAGACTAACGGGGTTCTTGGTAGCACGCCGGTGGCATTAAATTCTGATCAATATGTGTAATTCCATTTCGAGTCGACAGGTTCTCATAAGAATAAACATTCATTCATAACAGCGATGCTCAAGCTGCCCTGTGATGCTCTCACCCCTGCTACCTTCGGTCTCGCTTCATGGAGTTGTGTTGCATTCTTTCAAGCCTCAGCAGGCGAGTACATGGTCGCCAATCGACGAAGCCGCTAGACATGAACGAGGCTGCAGGCAGGTGGCACCCGCCTCGGCAAGCGAGCCGGCAGATATTTCTGCTCATCTCCTGGCTGAAGATTTGATTCTCTCAGACAATTTACCCTTCCTGCTTTTCCTCCAACGTTCAGTGACTCTGCTGGTACAGTCCTTCGCATTTCCGCGCAGACTGACAGTCACATGCTCCGAGCAGGACTCACCCTTGCGCACTCCTGGTTGGTGGATTCGGCTCCTGCTCGGTGCAAATGTAGATCTGAACCAGCCAACCGTCCGTAATCGGCAGGTTGGCCAAGCACAGGGTGGATCTGCGATTTCGGCTGGAACTCCTGGGGTAACAGGGTTGAGTTTGTGGCCTGACCGCAGACAGGGCTGCGGCTGCGGCTAATTGTGTTCCTTCACTTTCACCACTGGCGGGCGGGCCGGGTATCTGCATACACCATGCTAGAAGTGAGAGACTTTGGAAATTCTCGCAAAAGGCAAGCAGGTGGAAGAACAATGTGATTGAGCCATGAAGCGAGTCGGTCGAGACGGCCGTGCATGATAATCCACGGGACACATCGAGAACAAACCCAGGTCAGAAACGATTTGGAATGTATCGACCGAATTGGATATGTGACGTGTGACACTATCAAAGCTAAGTAGACCAGCAGCAAAGATAAATTCGTTTAATTCTGAACTCGGTCCTTTTCTTCGGGCGGTACTCCCCCACAGAAAAATAGACCGGACAAGGGACATTGAAGCACCTGAAGGGTGGTATTTGCCCCCTTACTCGCGATCGCATTCTGGAAATACGCAACTGCAAAACTACGATTGGACGGATAAACCTTGCGAGGACGAGGTCACAACAGAAATTACATGGCTGGCTTGAGCTGCAGAGAGGCCCTCCGGGCCGTGGTGGAGTCCAGGGATCCTCGGTATTCCCCGCCGTGAGCTTACTTTGGTAGTTCTGACGAACACTCGAGCCTGCACTGAACCCTTGCACACCGGGGGCAACTTTGGGTGCCGTCCATTTCTGTCCAAAGAAGCGAAGAGGCTTGCCACGGAAGATGCAGCCTAGTGCCCCGGGACCAGGACTCCCTGGACTGTCATGTGCTTTCCGGCCATCAAGACGGTGTGCGAGAATTTTTTTACCCACGCGACAAGCTCATTTTATCATGGTCTTCGATATTACGGTGCACCATGTGTAATTGCGCTGTGATCTGGTAGCGGCCTGACAAATACTTGACTCATGGGCTTGGACGCCCGCGCACGCAGATCTGGCGTAGGATTCCCCCCGGAGCCCGGGCCGGCCAGCATGAAACAGCCATCCAAGTGTCTGGTGACCACTGACCGACTGGCGCAGACGTCAGCCATCTATTAGCGCGGATGCGACCACTGCCGGGTCGCATCCGCGGACCCTCCCGACACTAATTTGGCGCTTGTCACGGGGCCCCTTCTTTGTATGCTTTGGGATAGCCCGAGTACTAGGACGTCGCGCTCGGCCGAGCAGAGCACGGGGACAGTGATGCAATGCGGGTGCTGGAGGTTGCGGACTGTGCAGAGGTCATTTGTCTTGATGTCCCAGCCAAAATATCTATTCTCATGCTCAGCCCCCGCGATGAAGTAACGCAACGAGTCGTGCTCGAGCGCGATCTGAAAGGCGATCATTGCTACCAGCCTTGTCAGCCAGATGTACTCTTTGACAACAGAACCTCCTTTTTGACAGACTTAAGGAGGCGGACCGATCATACAACGCTTGGCCTGTGTTGCTACGCAATGTTCGTAACTATAAGAAGTGAAGCAAACACTTTGGCAGCACCAGCCAGCCATTGGACTTTGATCTCTCGTGTCTACAGCATGCCAGCCAATGTTTGTGTCGAAAGTGCTGGGGTTCCAGCTCACAAGCCCATATGTGTGCATGATTGCTGTGGAACAAGTCCACATGCTTCTAGAAGCAAACTAATGCAGGGGCTAAGTGTCCATGGCTCGTTCGACCAGTGTCACGATGCGAACAATAGACTGCCCTATCACCACAAAGCTTGAGGGAAGCCCCTTTCCCGTGTGAGGCGCCCACTCACACCTGCACGGCACAGACGCACTAATGATGCTGGGCAGTGACTCGGGCAGCTCGAGCTTTCAATGATAAATTCAGTCAAGATTGATTAAACGAAGCAGATTTTCTGGGCAGTTTTATTGTTTCCATGTTTCTTTTACCATAAGGACAATTTCCTGGCAGCCAAGTCATATCCTCGTGCCACAATCAACGCGCTTAATTCCTGGCACCGCAAGAGTTCGCTGCTTACGGCACAGAACCGTATCAGGAACCATCGCCATTCTTGCAAGAAAGCCTGCGAATCGCCTTTATGAGCATCCACCGTCCCCGCATACCAGCCCCGCAGACCGGCGAATATCGTATCGAGATGGCCAGTGATTGCCATGAAACTCTACGAGTTCTTTCAGTGACAGTACCGATTCAGAGCTTTACCACGTTGCGTGTAACCTTTTGCATCTGCGACGAATACTATTGATGTAAAGAGAGGGGGCCCACGTGGGCCGACAGAGAGCGACGGCGGCCGGAATGCGTGCCCCGTGCCTAGTCCATTTGGCCTCTTGACTATTTGTAGACACAACCACGATGCGGATATTTAAATGAGCATCGGCAAACAATGTTCGAGGCCTTCTGGAAGCTCCGCGAGCTAAAAACCCTTTACGCATTTCTTGGCACGGGCTTCAGCAGCAACGAGGGAAAGCGGGTTCTTTCTCCAATTGCACCCCCCCTCCTAGCCACCCACCACCAGTCGAAGAACCCCTTGATAGCTATTCAGAGTGCCAGATGACCGCTTTGACACTTTTACCGAGATCGTGGAGGTGCCACGAGGCAGCGCTACAAGCAGTAGCGCGGCTCCTCCTTGGGGCCACATTGGGTGCCCCCCTTAGATCCGGCGCCGCCGCCACGCCCTCAGACCGCGTGATTGTCAGCTCACTGGGCCGTGCCGCATTCTAGCGCGTTGCTAGGTCTCAGCTGTCGAGGTGCCTTGACTCGCAGTCCGGGAGGCAGTCGTTCGTTAACTTGGGGTCATGACTTTGCGGCTGCATCAATGGGTGTGTCGACCAGTTCACTTGTAAGGATGTCGACTAATAAGACAGCACATTTGATTCACCAGAGTGCAGCGAAGACTAGCGGGGTGGACGCCAAGGCGTGCTTGACAATGCCATTGTTCTACACAAGCGTTGAAGTTGTGATTGGCTAGGAGCAACCTTTTCTCTGCTTCGAATCTGGCGACGTCCCGACTCCTGTCCATCAGACACGCAGATTGTTTCAAGGGCGTCAGGACTTCTTTGATGAATCGCAAGGCGCATCTGCGACAGAGAAAACTGGGATCAATAGTCACTCCAGTGTGTCTTGTAGTCGGCCACTACGCCGCCTGGGGGGGCCAGCCTCTTTCAGAGAACGAATTGTGACAGACCCGGCCTACGTGTTGGAAAAAAGAATTCATCAATCCAACATTCACAAATTTTAGTGATGTATATTCTAGTTTCACACGGAGTATTCATAGGGCTGCATCGAGATGCTAAGAAGCCGGTTGTGCAACTGCGACGTCATACTGCTGCAGCCCCACCTTGATATCCTGTTTCCATCATTAGAGTTGTAAGAACATCACCTGCACGAATCCTTGACACGACGACAGGGCAAACATGAATCTTGACCTTCACGAGTTCTTCCATGGATGTCGCTTCAACGGCCAAATAATCCAATAAATCAGGTCTGCAAGGAAACCACACCTGGTAGCTCCATTCCAAGACAGCAAGGGAACCCTACATACAATCATGGCAGAAGACAATCCCAGCCCCGAGCAGGATGGGGAGAACCAAGACAGCAAGAACAAGAAGCCTACCAGCAAGGAGAGGCTTACCGAGGAGATCAAGAAGCGCGTCGAAGAGAGCAAAGAGCTGCAGCAAAAATCAATCGAACTGCACAAACAGGCCGACGAGATTGAAGACCAGGACAAGGCAGCAGACCTGCACCACGAGGCGGCGCAGCTCGACAAGAAGGCCGCGACGCTGCTCAAGACGGCGCGGAGGCTCGAGACTGGCTGGATGCAGGGCGGCGCGACGGGGGGAGGGATTGGAGCAGGCATTGCCGGCGGCTTGGGCACGGTGATTGGGTCAGTGGTCGGCGGCGTGGTGGCGATACCTACGACCGGGCTGGGGATATTGATCGGTGCTGGGACCGGCCTGGTTCACGGACCTTGGGTCAAGTTTACGGACAAGTTTACAAAGGATGACGAAGATGAGATGGAGCGGAATGCGGAGGCGGATGCGCAGTCATTAATCAATGTCGGTCCAGATCCGGTCAAGGAGGAGCAGGCGGAGAAGAAGAGCGATGCGGCATGATCGATTGGCACAGACTGAGTATGACTTAACGGTCTTGAGCATAATTTGACAGCAAAAGTGATTTCAATTGGTACATGAGCCATGTCTATCTGAGCGGCGAAGTCCCCTTTTGTCCCCCGCCTTCGGGGATTAATCCTCAATCGATACGATTAGATATCCTACACTTAAGCCTTGCTCTTCTGAAGCTCTTTGAACCGCGCAGCAATCCCCTTCTGCAGGGGTGGGGGCGCCTCGCCGACGAGCTGGTCGATGTTTAGGTCCGGATCACTCTTCTTTAGAGCTCGCTGGTATCCCTCGCGGGCGGCGACGCGCTGTAGATATGCGAGAATGTTGTCGTATCCAGCAAGGCTGTATTGGTTGTAGCAGCGCATGCTAGTAAGGGAGACCACAGCCATGATGTCAGCGGCTGTGAGCTCGTCGCCGGCAAGGTATTGCGCCTGTGACAACCGCTTGTCGATGAAGGCGAGCAGTTCATTCTGCTTGGCTGTGAAGCGCTGCACAATTGGGTTGTCGTCACCCAGGCCGGAGGACTTGAAGGTGAAGTTCCGCATGAGGGTGGCCTGAAGGGTCGCATTGGCAAAGTCTATTGAGGATTTCTAGAGCATAAGCAAGTTGTGGTCTCAAATACGCATCGAAGAGGGGGACACGACGTACGGAACCAGTAAAGGTAGTCGGCATAGTTCTTGTCGGTGGGCTTGACGATGAACCTGCCGTTGCCGTGTTTCTGGCAGATGTACTCGACACAGGCGGCCGACTCGGCAAGGGTGAGATCACCGTCCTGGATCACGGGTGCGGCCCCGAGCGGATGAAGGGCCTTGTACTCGGGCGGCGCAAAGATGGGAGCGCGCTCATAGACGACCAGCTCGTAGTCCAAGCCGAGCTCCTCGCACAGCCAGACGACTCGCTCCGACTGCGAGACGGTCAGATGGTGGACTTTGAGGGTCATGTCTGCGGTGGCGGATGTGTTGATGATGGTGATTGCGAGGGCAAAGCAAGCTGTAGGGAGTGCTGATGACTGGCTGGCCTCTTCTTATGTTTTTGGGGGTAAGTGTGGTTGCGGGATGGTTGTAAGCAGAGACACAACACGTAGCAGTTCCCTCCCAAGGTGACTGCCTAAGCTCGAAGCTCAACAAAGAAGAAGCGCGAACTGTTGAGGGACTTGGTAATGAGGGCGTGCCCTCGGCGATGACGCCCGGTGCGGAGATGGCGGCGATCCGCGGAAGCCCTACGCTCGGACGGTGGAGCCGCCGCGCGGAGGCACTTGCCCGATACGGGAACATGTCAGTTCGAGGACGGCCTGTCAGTGGCCCGGCCACATCGCATTCCTTTGTGCCAGGCAGCATTCCGCCATCAACTCTCTCGACAAGGATTCACTCACTCGGCCTTTTCGGCTCGAGATGCCACTATCGCCGGAGGTGGCCATGACAGCATCGCTGCCGGTCGACCTTTTGTGACTCATGGAAGTCACTTGATGGTGCACTGCAGTGGCCGAACATAATCCACGCTGCCTCCATGAATGCCTGGATGGTGCTGTGTCTGGATACGACAAACCTGAGGGTTTTGTTGTCTTCGCTCAGGTACTTCAAAGTGCCTTTGGCCAGATTCGATTTGTGTTGTATCTTCCCGTGGGAGGGTGCTGTAACTGCGTAGACACTGTAGATGAGTGCTCGAACGCTATCCCAGCAAAGCCTCGACAAGGCCGTCCGACAGGAAGACTGCATATTGGTATTCCTGCGCAATTATAATCTCCTGACCACCCAGGATTCACCTCAGTGTCGCAACCACAACCACGAAATTATGTAGGTAGGCTTTCCATTGCTGTCACTGCTGGCAATCCAGGTGCGCAGCCCGCCATTACACCATTTGTTTTCAGCTCCCTGGGAATACAAAGCCATCCTGATCTTAAATAGCCTCATGGTGGCTGAGCTGCGGGTGGTCTTTGGTGCAGTGGTAGTATGCGGGTTTCGAATTTTGCGTGATCCGAAGTTCCAAAGGATAAAGCGAGCTGAAGCTGTGTGGTTCATCAGAAACGAGAATTCAAAGTCTGCCACATTCATGCTGTCCCTGTGCCAGGTCAATTGAGGACAGTGCGGACCATACGCACTTCCTGCCGTTGCACCAGGCGATAATACAGTCACGATCTGTGGACATCCCCGAGGATATCTGGTCATATTGGGCGCGCGGACCTCCCATCTTCAATGCGTTGCCAAAACGGATTTGCACATCAAACAAGACACAAGAGGCAATTGAGGTGTGGAAAGGGGAGTTGCGGTTCTGGGCAATTATCACATCTGACACAACGGCTTCTTGTTCATTTCCAGTGATAATTATTGTCCATATGGAGTCCACATTCATGAACTCTTCAAGAAAGCATAGCGGGGGTAGCTGTTCATTGACAAAGTGTCATTGAATGAATTCAACCTTTTCATGACCGTGATTGACTGGAGTCCAACGCTTTCCAAAGATGTAACACTGGAGAGTTTGCTTCTCTGGCCCTAGATCTTCCGCGTTCGTTGCTTATTACGTATACGCCCAAGTTCGTTGGGAGAAAACACATCTACACCTCTGCCACTAGATTCGTCGCGAGAAGAGCACCTCTGCACCTCTACGCCTAAATTCGTCGCCAGAAAAACACCTCTATACCTCTACGCCCTGATTCGTCGAGAGAGAACTACCTGTACGCCGAGATCCGTCGTAAGAAGAATAGGTGATATCGGCGACGGCCGGGCGTAATACGTCTGGGACGGCTGCGGACTCCCGGATTGTCGTTTTCTTGCCCTTGGGACACGAGTTCAGCTCAACACAGGCTAAGTTACCGACGAGCGCAGACGGCGAGCCATTGGTCAAACGTACCGCCGAAGCAATGCGCCGTCATGCAAAGTCTGCGTCTGGGCTATCAACTCGAACATATATGTCTCTCGAGTCATCAACCTCACTTGCAGGCCCCGGTGTGCTTGGAGCAACTGACTCTGGCGCTTCTTTCCCAAGGAGGTCACCTGCTTGCACACGCGAACCCTTGGCAAGATGTACTCGTGATGCCCATTGTCTCCCAGGCGGCCTCGCAGCCTTTGCCAGCATCATCGCTCTTTACTGACAGGGTACTCCCGCCATGTCGAGCTGTGTGCTTGCGCCACTTCGATCCTGTCAGGCATGGGTATCATCCAAAAAGTCTCATATGGCAGCGCGCATAAGCATCAGTAAAATAAGAAGCTCGTATTTGATCTCAGCTGTAACCCGATAACTCGAGATGGCTTTGTACAACCAGGCTCAGCCCTCGATGCTGACCCGGAAGCACGCGGAGCCACCTGAGCCGGCAACGATAACGTCCTACAGCGTTGTACACAGCAATGCACCCTCGCGCAAGGAAGTGCCGTCTCGGCTCAACCGCGCCGGAGCACTCTATGTGAATCGAAACAAGCTGGAGCAGCTTGAAGGTCATGTCCTATTTTCAGCTCTCGGGAGCTGGGTCACGAGAGTTGCACAAGACAGCCACCGATGACTTGGATTCATGATACACACGACATGGCTTCGACCTTGCACACCTATGCATGACACAATGAGAATGATTCCCAATGCTTCGAACGTGCTCATCACACTTGGAATGGCCAAGATGATTGGGTTTCTGTCCGACGACCCGCCACGATTAAAGGCAAAGGTTGTTTGATGTCAGATGAGACAAAGCCTCTTGTCTGGCACACCGGAAACGACCTAGCCGACGATAACGGTATGACAAGGAGGCTGGATTCGTGAGGAAACCATTATCGTGAGCTCAAGGGCAAAAGAAATCAATCATTTTGTTCGAGGCTGTTGCGATAAATTCATCGAATTTAACCAGCAACTCGACAAAGATTCCGCTGAGACAAGGATATTCATCAATTGGAGGAGTAGTACACAGACAAGGAAGCCTCTTTCAAGCCACCCCCCCCTTCGTGATCTTGTCACCCACGATCGTGAGAAAGGTGGTGCAGCCGGCCCGATCTCCATGGTCGAGTCGTGAGATGGGCCATCAAATGGAGCCATGATGACCGAAGAGCCCTCGAGATGCCCAGATCTGGGGCGCGATACCTCGTCATGCCCGGCTCCATGGGGTCATGAGAACCACAGTCCAAGGGCAGCAGACAAGGGGCAGTCCCCTGTGAGCTGACTCGTCTCGAGGGCAGCAGGTGCCTGCCTCTTCACGAGAATGGAGTATGGCGTAATCAAGACCCGAAGTAAAACCAGGTCCTGGAAAAACACTTGGGTGTGGGCCACCGTCGTCGGCAGTTGTGAACCGCAATCTCCAAGTTCTTCTGCCTTGAGTCGTGTAGTTGGAGCCCTATGAGCGTCCAGGGCTTGAGAATGTGGCCGCTTGCGGCGAGATTGTGGGGAGCCAAGGAAAGCCGCTGGGGACCTAAGGCCTGGGGTAAGCCCATTCGGCGGCGTGCCAGCCCTGGAGGCACTACAGGCTCGCCCTGCTAGCAGGACTTTTTAGCGCATCCTGACCCAGGTGGTCACTAATGACTCCTCCCCACACGCCAGGATAGCGCAACGTTCTCTCTCCACGACCCACACTCGCCATCCCTCTTCCAGCAGCAGGGCTGGGAAAACAACAAACTAGAGACATGACATCATACACCACGCGACCCCCAAGAGAATGCCTCGCTCGTAGGAGCTGCCTAGCAGCGAAAGCTGATCGGCAACCACCCACTCCTTCGCGAATCCGGCTCAAGCATCTTCTAGTGTCTCACGAGACCTTGCCGCCCATACCCACCACCGCAATCGCTTGTGTCCTTCCCACCAGATGTCAGGGCTCAATCGAGGCTCGTCCACTGGTCAATGCAGTTTAGCGACCACCGCCAGTGTGCAATGCTTACTTGAAGCGTCAGGAGGACTGGTGTCTGCCGGTACGGGCTGCCAGAAATGTAGTGGTGGCTTTCGGCAATGACACACCCGGAACCAGGATTTCTGGCTCTACTCTTTTCCGAAGGGTTCCCCAACCTCGGGCGAGGGCCTGAGTCACTCACTCATCGGCAATCTCGGTCACAACAGGCTGTTTGCCTCTCAAGTCGACCCTCTCACTTGCCCGTACGTCAGCGTGGGGAGGTCCGCATGACAACTGATGTCAACCGGTGCCGAGTACAGCAGTGATGGGAGTTTTGATTGCCAATTGTGATCCATGGTTGATCGCTACTACCTCGAAATGGTAACGTATGTTGACGGATCCGTGGGTGCTATCAACTACCACTAGGCCGGGCCCGCATCTCGATCCAACGCACCCCTCAAAGTCATCCCGACCCAACTACCACAGTATGATCTCAGCCGATCTGCGATGCTAGCGCCATGTGCGTTTCAACAACGAGACGCTTCCTTTCCCCGGATTTAGCCGTCTCCGGATGGGGAGGATCGGGGGAGAGAATGTAAAAACACAAAAAACTATCAATTGGGGATTAATTGTTGTTCAAATTAAATGCCACTGCCCAGGCGTGTCATTCACCTGCATCTTGGCACGCAAACGCAAACGTAAACGCAAACACGAAGGTATGATGACCAGGGACCTTGTGGCGCGCGCGGCATTTAACGGTCAACCTTGCATTCGTTTAGTGCCAATGCCGCCTCGACCCTGGGCTGGCTGGGCTGCGGACGACCGGGTGGCAGAACTCACAAACTACAGAACAAACAATTCAACGAAGGAGCCCCCTTTTCGCGCAATTCTCGCATGGCCGCTCATTGCGCTGGTTTGCTGTTCCCTCTTCATTTGCGGGCTATAAACATCAGACGGCTTCGAATACTGTCATGGAAGCGCTGGTCGCAAATGAGACAGGTCTGTGCATACCCGTGTTTGGCAAACCATGTCACAGTCGACGGTGGAACCTGGACCTTGGTCGTCGCTGGGTACTATGTATGGTGCCTAAACTGTCGATATTTGCGAGGCTGGCTTGTTGTGCAGGCCGAGAGTCACTTCAGCTTTACTCCCCCCCTACACCGCACCTGCCCAGCTCAATGGGTCTTTTCCTCCCTAAGATATCACATATTACTTCTCCGGGCATTCGCAGGGCGCTGGCACAGCTCAGCCCGGGATGTGCCGGGACAAACGCTATCAGGGCTGCTGCGCGCGCGCATAATGAGGTCTGGGCGCCTGCCTGTCCGTTCTTCGACATAGGCCGATCACAAAGGAGCGGTGTCGCCGGCTCGCTGGCCCCCTGGTCTCCGGTGCCGCGCCGCTAAAGCAAAGAATCAATGAGCATCGACAACGTGTGATATCACACACATTATAAGATGACGTTGCTGTCGGTCAGCTCCTGGCGGCCATTCATATTGTGCGAGACCGAGTCACATGAGGGCTGAAACCTCGCCTCAGTGGGCACGCATGCCGCAGGTATCTGATAATGATCCCGGGGGGAGGTGGTCGGGGGGTGCTTTCACCTGGAATAAGGTTCACTGCTGGACGGGCCTCGGAAAACACAGCCCTGTGCAATGTTGCACCAGAGGGAGGCGAGAGAGAGAGAGAGAGAGAGAGAGAGAGAGAGAGTGAAGAGCCAGGCAGCCGTTTTGACCTCAGACTCCCAACCATTCCAGATTCTCAGCCTCGCGCCAATCAGAAAAAGTGCACATGGCATTGCCCTGCCTTTTAACTGGACGGGATTATTCAATCCAGGAATTACTCCATTGGGGTCCAACGCGTGCAGGTTTGCAGAGTCAGCTGGTCGTTCCATTTTTGGGGGGGCAAGGGGGTCAGCTACAACCTTTACTCCAAGGACCATTTCCATGATGACTGGCCGGGGCCGCTGTGAGTGGCCAGAAATCGGCCTGCGCGGTGCCAGCGCATAGATAATTGACAGCCAGTAGATTTCTGGCACACGACTCGCTTTTTCGGCAATAAAGATGACGATAGGAGCTGATATCTCGAGCAGCCGCGCATTGGGGGCCAACTCGTATAGCTGACGGCGAAGATTTTCTGCTTCAGCGGGAGCAAACGCAGCTATTCTTGGCATATTCTGTGCGGAATTTGTTTTATCGAGGATGATTAAATTTCTTTTCTTGTGATGGTCACAGTGGTGCTGCTAGGCGCTTGTTCACCGACTTACACAGGCCATGTCAAGTGCGTCGATATCAACATCTTCAGCCACCCCGGCATACTTCAGACTCGATCTCAGCTACAACTACCACCGTACGTACCATGAGCACTAAACAAGAGGTTCGGGGACGTGCTGCTTTGAACAATAACAACATACAATATAAACCAAGACGAAATTGTGTGGTCTGCTGAGGCATGTCAAGGCGACCTGTCACCAAACCCACCATCCACCATCACAGTAACAACAACTCTGCGGTGATCCCAATCCCCCACCCCTTCGTAAGGCCTAGATGCAACCTCTTCGTGACTTGAAATCCCCAGCAGAGATCCAACCGCCTGGGGTGCGGCTCCCTTCTCTCCCACCCACCCAGAGCGCAAAGAGACAGGGGTCATCAGAGAGGGGGGAGAGGAAGGGGGGGGACGGGCAACTCAAGCCTCGCGAGTGTGGGAAAGCATGGGCGCGTTGCGCCTGCTGACTTGACAGCTCCCACGCCCCGTGCTTCGGATGGCTTCCCCGTGGCAATGAGGGTGTGTCAGGCAAGGCGCTGGGCATGGGCGACATGGGGGTTGGTGGTGGTGGTGGTGGTGGTGGCACCCCATGGCAGTGGCGGGCGGGCAAAGCGGGTGTGCGCAGTCACGAGCAAAAGACCGTTGGACAGGCCCGTTGTCGCTGTCATCATGTTCACACACATACACCCACAGACCAACCAACCAACGGGCAAGGAGAGGAAAAAGCAAAAAAGAATAGCGACAAGGGTCAAAATCGAGTAAAGACATGCGCACCAATCAAAAAGCAGAGGGGATGGATTGGGGCGCTGTGAAAATGTGTGCCACCGGCGCCCATCCCCCCCCCCCCCCCATGCTCGTCACCACGGGTCGACCCCTGCCGTTACACAAGCAAATCGGCACTTCAGACGCCTGCCCGTCACCCTTGCAGATTCGACCTCACATGACCGCGACTTTGTCGCTTGGCTCAGCTTTCCCTCTCAGTCTGCCTTGTCGTCAACAGCCCCCACCAGACAGGCAGGGTTCGTCGCACGTTGGTGCCGCGCCGAAGTACGGCAAAGCATGTGAGAGTCGCAAAGAATGACGGCTTGGGACGGCTTGGGATGACAAGCTGCCATGGCTTGGGCAGCTGTAGGCATGCCCATGAGGGCTTCCTGCTGTGTACCTTCCTGCTATGAGCTGACGGGCTCTAGGACACATTACTACTCCCTCATTCAGCGCAGGAAGCGGTTATTTGAACGGAAGACCATACACACAGTACATCAAGCCAAGAAAACGTAGCAAAGTCGGTGATTATTCATCGATATCTTTCAGGTATACAAACAGTCGAGATGGTACTGGCAACACTTGCGCACATCAGAAAGCCCTTGGAAGGGCGTAAACTGGTTCCAGTTCCACGCTCCCCCGTAATAAAAAAAAGCGGCAAAGCATCCAAGTGCTGAAACAAAACCTGCGATTCGCAGTCGGGTACGCACCTCATCTGGTACTACCACACTTTGCGATAGCTCACGCAACACAAACGCTCCCCCCAGCACGATTGCACGCAGCACCAGACTTTAAGCCTGCCACACACATGGAGCTGCAGGGTCCTACAATGCAACCACGCAATGCTTGCCAATTCGCGATGCCGTCTTCAGATATATTATGAGGTTAGATAAATTAATATGCACGTCAACAAATCAAATCCTCGCTCGGGGTGTTCTCCCTGTTCAGAACGGAACGAAACAGCAACGATAAAGTGTCTGTTTCACAGCACAGACAACGAAACCAACGTCCCACGACGTCATCGCAAAGGGCCCCAGCCAAGCCCCCCCTTCCGGAACCGCTTCCGGGGAACTTGGCGTGTCCGAGACAGCCACGCCTCGAAACCAAAAACCCCCCACAAAACCATGGTCACGAGGCCCAGGGAAAGTGCCAGATTAGACTTTTCGCCAAAGGAGATAGACAAAAGCACAAGTCGCGACATAGCATGCGGTGTTGGGTAGTATCGCCTCGCCTCACCTAGCCTCGCCTGGCCGGATTGCAATCACCCTCGGCCCGAGGTCGCAGCAGTGTGTTTTTTGTCCCAAGCATGTGTTGTATGCATAATCAAACCAATGTCAGACAGACATTGTGGCGTGTAGCACGATGTCAAGAGTGTGTGCAACACGCAAAAGGACAATTTCGTTCACCAGCGCAGGTTGTGCAACACCGCGCTTATCGAGTATCTCGTACACGCATTTTTATGGCTGCTGTGGGAGTACAGCAAAGGGAACCAGAATGCAGAGATCAATTCATGTCAGACATCGAAAGCCACGTCGTCAGAAGTGCCGTGCACTAACCACATGTACCGCAAATATGCAGAAGGGGGAGAGACAGCAGACCAGATCGATGGGGCCGGACGCCTCCCCCCAACGTCTGCTATGAGTAAAAGGATATTATCTTGAATTTAAATCCAGAGGATATCCACGAGTCCCTTGAAATTAAACGCCCATTCGCAGCGAGAGACATCCTCGCGCGGTGCCCGCAATGGAGCTCAGGAACCGGAGAAGAGTGTGTGCAGCCCGCATGCGGCTCCAAACGCCGCATCTAGGCTGCGGGGATGGCCATGTGGGCGCGCAGGCGCAGGGGCATGGCCAGCGTGTTGTGTGTGATACGCATACGCCAAAGGCTGGAGCTGCTCCTTTGCTTTGCGGGGAAGAGGACTGGAGAGCGGATATGTTTCAGTAGATTCCCGCCGACAACCTGAGCCCGTGATCAACGTCACATGCAATATCTCATGCCGTGGCCCCCGTGCACTTTGTCGGCCTAGACCTTGCGCAACTGCCTGCGCCTGGAAGGAGAGAGTTGCTATCAGTGGGGAATCGTAGGCCTGGAACACACCGTCCTACCCCACAGTCGGTCCGGATCTGGAGAGTTATGTTATTATAGCGTGCTCCATTCGTGGGGAAGGAAATGGACACCTATTGCATCGTGGGGGCGACGAGGTAGGAGCGTTTCTGGCGCGGAATCATGCCAACACCCCACGATCTTGGCTTTGAAACGGGAAAGTGCTCGTTATCGCGGAGCAGAGGCCGCGCATTGGAGTCGAGTGACACTCGTCGGCGGCAGGGCAAATGGCAGAAAGTATTCACTACGGGGTCGCGCAAGAACTTGTCGTGGTTGGGGGTCATGGCATGGAATGGCATGGTCAACTGAGCCAAGCCCATGTGTCCTTTGGAGGCGCCAGGCTCACTGGAAGCAGTCCGACCATTCAGTTAGACTCCAAGAATCGTGAACCCGTGGACGGACGAGTGCCCGAAGCGTGTACCTTGGGGGACGGACCAAGAGACATGCACGTCGTCCTGTAATGTCCCAGGTTCGCACGGCCACCGAGGTTATCTACCTGGGTAACGATGGGACAGTCACCCGCGCGAAGACAAGGCGAATTGGTGCTCAACGGGCTGGGCGGGCACCCAGTCGAGCTGCGAACCTTGCAGCGATGTATTAGACGCTTGCCAAGGGCCCGTCGCGTCGATCACTCTGGGGTTGGGCGTCCGGGGAAGCACACCGTGGTGGGACACCAACAAAACGCATCGACTTTCCAGATTGCGGTCGAGCACCCGGTGTCGCACTGGCAGTCATTCCGGTCTAAAACTAGAAGGATATAGCCTCGCCCGTCCGTCGCCAAGCGCTGATCCCGGGGACAGTCCGAAGAACAAGAACCACCGGGAAGCTCCCGGAGTCGTGTTGGTGGTGTGCATATGACTCGAGAGCCCTTGGAGTCGTGGTGGTGCCCGTTCAATCAAAAGTTGAGCTGACGAGCGCCTACCTGCCGCATGAGACAAGGCATGGTGCTGCTGAACACAAGCACAGATGATCGACAGTGCGCTGGCGCTGGGACGGCGCCGAAGGACAGGCTGACATGGACAGTCTGCGTGCTGCTTGTCAATGCCACGTGAAGCTAATGCAGTGCAATCCTCGCTCTGTCGTGCATCTGCTTTGCCTTGTGGCCGATTTATCGTCAATTGTCAGCTTCCAATGCTTAGCGCTGGTCACCTAGTGTCCAATAGACCCGTGGAAGGTTTCCTTCGCTTCGACAAGTGGCCAGGTCCGGCCTCGTTCGTACATATCTAGCTCGGGCTACCAAACTGTCCGTAGGACTCGATGTCGCGTTCTGGACCCCAGGCCGGCCCAGCCAAAAGAATCACGGGCCAGTGGGGGGTGGACGCCGCACATTCGCAATTCGGGGCCGGTGTGATACGAGAAAACAACACCCATTGGGGCGACGGAGCCATTGGTTGCGACAGCGCCAGGGAGAAATCCAATTTATCGAATTGTTTCTCTCCAGATTTCGGGAGTCACTTGTAAACGTTGACCAGTCTTCTGCACTCGAGCTAATTGCTGCCCTGCCGCAGAGACACTCAATACGGGCGCATTGATTGGCTACCCACGGCTCTGGACTTCTAGGAATCCCTTGCTGTCCAGGGACTTGGCTGGCCGGCCCCGTTCCGATGTTCTGTCTTACCCCGTCCGAAATCCCGGACCCTCGAACCACCGAGCAGATA